ACTGGAGACAACTACATGTCCTGGAAACTTGACTTGTCAATGTATCTTGAATTATTGGGTTTTCTGAAAACGATAACAGAAGATGATGCCACTGCCCAGGAAAAGGCAAGGGCATTGATCTTTATTTGAAAACATCTTGATGATTTTCTAAAAAGCGAATGTCTATTAGTCAAAGATCCCAAAATTTTATGGAAGGATCTTGAAGAAAGATTTGATCACCAACTTGAAGTGATGCTTCCAACCGCCAAAGAAGAATGGAATGCATTACGCTTCCAGGGCTTCAAAAAGGTTACTGACTATCATTCGGCACTATTCCAAATAGTCTCTCGGTTGAGATGCTGTGGAGAAACAGTCACTGATGCAGACATGATTGAGAAAATATTATCCACACTAATTTCTAAACTTATGGTTGCTGAAAAGAATAATGAAATATTGATGAGAAACCATTCATCTCGTCATACTGGGTCAATAGCATTTCCCAAAGCAAATGCTGTTGGGCCAAGTAATTTTGGAAAATACAATAACCGTAGACGAGGTGAAAATCGTAGCCGTGGTCGTGGCCGTGGAAATGGAAGAAACTATAATTTTTGCCGTAATCATGCAAAAGGTTACGTTCCACAAGATACACAAGCCCAGTTCTAGAAAAAGAAAGTGAATAAAGGAAATATTCCTGATAAGTAGAAGAAGGATGAGACCAAATGTTTCCGATGTGGTAGTACAGGACATTGGGCACGTGTTTGCCGAACACCACCACATCTTTGCCAACTCTACAAGGAATCAAAGGGAAAAGAGAAAGAAGCAAATCTTATTGATCAAGTGGATAATGCTACAAACTTTGCATTGGATTTCAGTGAAGATTTTGCTGATAATTAAGGGCAAATAGTTGCCCCACTAATATGAAGTTTAAATTATGTATGGGTCTTAATGTTGTAATAATAAAATGGATCGGTGTATGATCCTTGTGTCTAACTGTATGTCTGAATGAGTAGTCTTGGTATTGTACTAATAATAATGATCATTGTATGGTCTTATAATGTTATGAATCAATGTATGGCATTATGTTTTTGAAAGTATGAACTTGATAATTGTGATAATATTTATGTTTTGATTTGTGGCTTTTAATTTTAATGTTCTCTACTTGATAATAACTGATTGATTATTTTTGTTTGAAGGTTTGACATGGAAATTCGGCAGAAAAGCAATGTTGGAGATTTTTGTATTGCAAACAGTGGCACTACACATACAATTCTGAAAAATAGAGAATATTTTTCAGAATTAAAGCCAACGAAGGCGATTGTGTATACAATATCAGGTCTAACAGATTTGATTGAAGGGATTGGTAAAGCCAATATCACATTGCCAAAAGGAGCACAAGTTGTGATTAATGAAGCCCTGTTGTCACCAAATTCAACAAGAAATTTGTTGAGTTTTGATGATATATATCGAAATAGGTATGACACCCAATCAATGACTGTTGACAATGTGAAATATTTGAATATCATTATTTATGAATCGGGAAAGACAAGAATATTGGAAAGATTGCTACTTTCTAATGGTCTGCATTATACATATATAAATGTGATTGAATCACATATGGCAATGAAAGAAAAATTCTTCGATCATTCTGTAATGAATTTATGATATGAAAGATTAGGCCACCAGGGATCTATAATGATGCGAAGAATTATTGAAAATACACTTGGCCATCCCTTAAAGGGACAAAGGATCCTCCAGAGTAATGGAATTCCATGTGAAGCTTGTTCTCTTGGAAAATTGATAATGAGACAATCACCATTAAAGATTCAAAATGAATCACCTATATTTCTTGAAAGGATTCAAGGTGATATACGTGGACCGATACATCCACCATGTGGACCATTCAGATATTTTATGGTATTAATAGATGCATCTAGTAGGTGGTCACATGTGTGTTTACTGTCAACCCGGGATGTTGCATTTGCAAAATTTCTTGTCAATTTATAAAATTACAAGCTCAATTTCCTGATTATGCAATCAAAAGGGTTAGACTCAACAATGCTGGTGAATTTACGTCTCAAGCATTTAATGATTATTGTATGTCTACTGGAATTACTGTTGAGCACCCTGTTGTTCACGTACATACACAAAATGGTTTAGCAGAATCATTAATTAAAAGACTACAGCTCATTGCTAGACCATTAATCATGAGAACAAAATTGCCAGTTTCTGTTTGGGGCCACGCGATATTACATGCTGCTTCTTTAATTCGCATAAGGCCAAGTGCAGATCATAAATACTCTCCCCTGCAATTGGCTTTGGGATATGAACCAAATATTTCGCACCTCAGAGTTTTTGGTTGTGCAGTATATGTACCAATTTCACCTCCACAACGTACAAAAATGGGTCCTCAAAGAAGATTGGGGATATACGTTGGTTTTGAATCAGCTAGTATCATCAGATATCTTGAGCCCTTAACAGGCGACGTTTTTACAGCACGTTTTACCGATTGCAATTTTAATGAAATTATTTTCCCAACATTAGAGGGAGAAAAGAAAGAATTGGCAAAAAATATTACATGGAATCAACCAACTTTTTTACATGTTGATCCTTGTACAAAGCAATGCGAGACAGAAGTCCAGAAGATTGTACATTTACAGTCAATTGTAAATCAATTACCAGATTTATTTACTGACACAAAAAGAGTGACTAAATCATATATACCGGCAGCTAATGCTCCCCCTCGTATTGAGATCTTTAAAGTGAAAATCGATGATAAAGTCACTAATGAGTCTAAACCACGATTGAAGTGCGGTAGACCAATGGGTTCAAAGGATAAAAATCCTCGAAAAAGAAAGGAAACTGTGAACGACATTGATGTTGAGAAAATATTTCCTGAGATAATGAAGAATGAAGAAAGTTCCCAAGAAAAGGACACAAAAAGGATAAATGAAGAAATCTTAATCAACTATAACAGTACAAATACACTGTTAAATAGAGATAAAATTGAATGTGACAATGAGATTTTTTGTTTCACAGTTGCAAATGAAATTATCAATGGAAATGATGATCCTGAACCAATATCAGTTATTGAATGTCAAAATAGACAAGATTGGATAAAATGGAAAGACGCTATGCAGGCTGAATTAGATTCGCTTAATAAGCAAAATGTTTTCGGGCCAATTGTTCTTACTCCAAATGTTGTAAAGAGGGTAGGATATAAGTGGGTTTTTATACGAAAACGGAATGAGAAAAACGAGATTATAAGGTACAAGGCTAGATTGGTAGGACAAGGTTTTTTTTCAAAGACCTGAAATAGATTATGACGAGACATATTTCCCGTTATGGATGGAATTAGTTTCAAGTTTTTAATCAGCTTTGCAGTTTTTGAAAAATTAGAAATGCGTCTTATGGATGTTGTTACTGTTTATTTGTATGGATCACTTGATAGTGATATTTATATGAAAATCCCCGAGGGATTTCAAATGCCAAAGAATTTAAGTACAAAACCCAAAGAGATGTATTTTATCAAGCTCCAACGATCATTATATGGGTTAAAGCAGTCTGGACGCATGTGGTATAATTGATTAAGCGATTATTTGATAAACAAGGGATATACAAATACTGTCCTGTGTCCATGCATTTTTATCAAGAAAACAACATCCGGATTTGCTATTATAGCTGTCTATGTGGATGATTTAAATATCATTGGAACATTAAAGGAAATTAATGAGGTGGTTGCATACTTAAAAGGAGAATTTGAAATGAAAGACCTTGGTAAAACTAAGTATTGTCTTGGTTTACAAATTGGGCATATGCACAATAGAATATTTGTGCATCAGTCAAATTACACAGAAAAGGTCTTAAAATGTTTTAATATGGATAAAGCAAACCCTTTAAGTACTCCAATGCTCGTCAGAACACTCAAAACTGAAAAGGATCCATTTCGCCCCCTGACAAGGATGAAGAGATTCTTGGTACCGAAGTATCATACCTCAGTGTAATTGGAGCTCTTATGTATCTTGCTAACTGTACTAGACCTGACATTTCTTTTGTAGTTAATTTATTAGCAAGGCACAGCTCATCACCAACAAGAAGGAATTGGAACGGGATCAAGCACATATCTCGTTATCTTCGGGGGAGTATTGATTTAGGCTTATTTTATCCTAATGACTCGAAACAAGATTTGGTTGGTTATGCAGATGCAAGTTACTTATCTGATCCTCACAATAGAAAATCTCAGACTGGATATGTGTTCACATGTGGAGGAACTATAATTTTTTGGCGTTCACAGAAGCAAATATTGGTTTCTACTTCTCCAAATCATGCAGAAATAATTACATTGCACGAAACTAGTAGAGAATGTGTTTGGCTTAGGTCGATGATACAGTACATCAAAACGTTGTGTGGTCTACAAGTTCAGAAAAGTCCAACCATCTTATACGAAGATAATTCCACATGTCTTCAACAGTTATAAGAAGGATATGTCAAGAATGATCGGACAAAACATATACCTCCAAAATTCTTCATATATACTTAAGAGCTCATCAAGAAAAATGACATTGGTGTTCAATATGTCATGTCAAATAATAATTCAGCTGATCTCTTCACGAAGGCGCTTCCTACTGCAACATTTAGAAAGCATGTTCATAATATCGGTTGCGACACCTACACAACATATGAAGAATTACCGATGTTATAATTAGGGGGAGAAAATTACGCACTGTACTCTTTTTTCCTTAGCCAAAGTTTTTTTTCTTACTAGGTTTTTCGTTGGCAAGGTTTTTAACAAGACAGTACCTTAAGCATAATTAAAACAACTATTTTTGCCATTCGAGGGGGAGTGTTATGAATAGTGTGAATGACAAAATTTTGCTTAAAATATGAGCATGCATCAAGCAAGGGAAACTATCCATGTATAGTATTTTGATTTGATAACTACTACTTATTTATAAAATTGCCACTAGATGATGGCTATAAATTGGAGATATACGGAGTAGTAAAACTTGTACCAAAATTACATGAATAAATCCTTGCTAGAACCTTTGCTTTGAATAAGCCTTATAATTATTTCATAACATTCAATTAGTATAAAGTTATTATATTAAAGTCTCTAGTAGAAAAGTTATATAAATACATCATCTCCTAAATAAATAATTTTACTAGAACCTTTGCTTTGAACTGGACATTAGTTTTCGAACATTATAGATATAGTATCTTTAGAGTTTATTTTCTTTCATATGGAAACATCAAGCCTCAAGAGTCCAGAGATATTGTGAACTTTCCTAGTTTTTCTCTATCCACCATTTCCCCTTTTTCACTTTTCAGGTCCCATTATTCCAAGTGGGATGATAACTCGTTTGGCTGCTTGTGACTTCTGATCTTACTTTTTTTAAAGTCTGCAATGAACTGAACTTATTATTCCAACCTCAAAAATCTCATCCCCCTGAAATGCGAAAAATATGCCATTGTTTTTTTCCAATGTCGTCAACTCCTCCTGCAGCAGAACCAGAAGCAGCACAATCCGAGATTCAGCAGCCAACGTGGGCGGAACTCCTAGGAGGTAACAACTGGCAAGGGCTGTTAGAACCCTTGAACCTCAACCTCCGGCGCCTCATTTTCCGGTGCGGCGATTTCTGCCAAGCGACTTACGACGCCTTCAACAATGACCCGAACTCCAGGTACGCCGGCAGCAGCCGTTATGGTAAGAAATCGTTCTTCGACAAAGTCATGCTGGAATCGGCTTCCGATTACCAAGTTTACTGCTTTCTTTACGCCACGGCTCGTGTCGGAATCCCTGAAGCCATTCTGCTCCATTCCCGCTCCCGGGAGTCTTGGGACCGGGAATCCAACTGGATAGGGTACATCGCCACCACCACCGACGAAGCCAGCAGGGCTCTGGGCCGCCGGGAAATCTACGTGGCCTGGCGGGGAACTTCCAGGGATTATGAATGGATTGATGTGTTTAGCGCCAGGCCTGAATCGGCTGAAAAATTGTTAAGCCCCAAATCCTGGAACAAGAAAAACAGAGCAATTGAAGATGATGATGACGACGACGATGACAAAGCCCCGAAAGTGATGTATGGTTGGCTTACTGTTTATGTTTCTGAAGATCCCAATTCTTCTTTCACAAAAAAAAGTGCCAGAAACCAGCTTATGAAGAAAATGAATGCCTTAATTGAGCAGTACAAAAACGAGAAGCTCAGCATTGTTTTTACAGGGCATAGTCTTGGTGCGACTTTATCAATTCTATCAGCTTTCGATTTGGTTGAAAATGGGGTCACGGAAATCCCTGTCACGGCGATCGTTTTTGGTAGCCCGCAAGTTGGGAACAAGGAATTCGGGAACAGGGTCTCAGAATTCCCGAATCTGAAGATTTTGCACGTGAAGAACAAGATTGATCTGATCCCATTGTACCCGAGTGGTCTATTCGGGTATGTGAATACGGGTACTGTTCTTGAGATTGATTCAAGGAAATCTCCGTATCTGAAGGATTCCAGGAACCCGAGCGATTGGCACAATTTGCAGAGCATGTTACACGTTGTGGATGGTTGGAATGGGGAAGATGGAAAGTTTGAGTTGACTGTGAAGAGGAGCTTGGCTCTGGTGAACAAATCCTGCGGTTTCTTGAAAGAAGAATACTTGGTTCCAGAATCATGGTGGGTTGAGAAGAACAAAGGGATGGTAATTGATGAGAATGGGGATTGGATTCTGGCACCCCCTGCTGAGGAGGACTTACCAGTCCCTGAAGATTGAGTGAAGAGATTGACTGTTTGTTCTTGATCAGAGTTGGTTTGAGTGAATGGCAGACAGTGATTTTGATGTATTTTATTGGGTCCATGTGTGTTTTTAGATTCTTGATTTGCATATTGATTTTCATAAGTATGATTGTTGAGAATGTAACTGTTTTTAAAGTTTTGGGTTATCTTTCAAGGAGTACAATTATAGTGTTACATTTCTTCTTCATTTTTAATTCTCAACTGGTGAACGAAACAGTACTCTATATTAACCCTTTCTAGTATTTCATTATTTTGGAATACAGGTCTTTGATTTGTGCATGAAATATGAATTGCTTTTAGATCTTTGAACCTCCAAATTCATACTTACATCAATAATTAATCCATTTTAACTTACAACTTTTTTAAAGAAAAACTTACAACTTAAAATGAGAGCTCAACGGTGAAACTTGTCCCGTCTGTGGATTCAGAGGTAGCATTTGTCTCGTCAGTTAGTCCAATGAATCTAGAATGGTTGGTAATTGGTATCATGGAGGGACACTACTTCATCCGCACTGATGGGCCGTTTATGGACAACGAAAATTGGAGCGCCCGAGCTTGGGAGATGGTAACAAGTTAAGGCTGTTTCAACACTTCATGTATGGAATACGCACTTTCAACAGAAGATGCAGACTGCATAATTTCTAGCTATTTATGACTTTCAACAGAAGATGCAGACTGCATAATTTCTAGCTATTTATGCCTAATGAAGTTATTAAATATACACAGATTCCTAACAACAAAAAATATATGGAAGTTTTAATCTTATCAGTTATGTGAAGATTACATATATGAACTTGTATTGTTTATTTAAGGTATCGGACTATCTGTAATTGAAATCTAACTAGCAATGTAGTATTGCACAGTACCAAATTCAAACACTAACTTTTTTAAAACAAAATCGTCACAGCAAACTTCACTTACAAACGAGAAGATTTCTTCTAAGATACTTTTTAAATGGGAACGGATTATTGGACCTCTAGAATATCAACATAGAACCTTACTATTAGACCAAAACTTTATTCTCAAAATTCAAACATTTATTACATTGTCGGTTGGAGCATGTTTTTATGATGTCAGATCAATCTGTAGTCGATTTTCGTATAATCTGATAACCGATACTCGATATTAACCGATACTGACTGAATTGTCGGTCAAATTAAATTTTACACCGCTAAATCGATCGTTAATCGATAGCTATAGAATCTTAGGTACATTCAAATATTATTACTTGACCTCTAACTTAGACTAGTTCTATTGCTATCACACAAACTGAGATGGTTAATTGTCCCCTAAACTCATAAAAGTTGTTTTGGAAAAGAAAAGGAGGCAAAATTGATTAGAGAAAGTCAAACCGGGTCAGGTCAACATAGGACCACTTTCTGGCAGTGAGCAGTAAGTGCTCATAGAAAAAAAAAAAAAAAGAGGGCCTGGAATCAGTAACAAAAGTAAATCCAAAAGCCCAAACAACCTCGTTAGCTTCGAATATCAATCTTCCATTTCTTTAAAAAACTCACCTCCTCAATCCAAATAGGCCCTTCCTACTACTTCCCTACCTCTCTTCAGCTCTATGAATTACAACTATTGCTCAAAGGTGAGATTCCCCTTTTGTTTTTAAACTGTAATTCGACCTGGGAATCTGTTCTTAGTTTTGTTTATATGTATATGTTCTCCTGTTTTTGCACTCAAAGAATTGTGGGGTTTTTTTTTTTTTTTATCCCTTTGGAGAAAGATTGGAATTTGGTTATTTGCAGGTGCAAAAGTTTGGATTTTGATGTGAATGTTATCAGTTTTAGCCTTTTCAGCTAGTTTTGGTTGGTGAATTATGCTTGGATTCAGTTTCGGTTTATGTCCTTTCGAGAATTTTCTGTGCTTGATCAAATAATGGTTCTCCGGGGAATCTGGTGATTGCTTTTTAACTTGTTTTGTTGAACATTCTGAGATTGGATGGTGTTGAATTTATGAAATCGGCTTCTGGAATCATTCTGTTTTTCATTTCCACCCATTTAGTACGGTGATTATTGACTTATGGTGCAAATTTGAAGTTAATTTGGTTTTTGTTTCTTTAATAGGGTTTAGAGGAACGGAATGCAAGAGGTTGAACTGATATGCATGTGGATATGTAATTGTCTTGATTGGGATTGCGCGGGATTTGCATGAGAAGGGTCTTCATTCATATAGAGGACCCTTCAGATTGGGTTGCTGCATTGTTTTCAAATTTGGTGTGAATTAGTGGTCGATTTCCCTTAAACAGTTACGAGTTGGCGGTTGTTTGGATCCGGATCTTCTTTTCTTTGTAAATCATGCCAGCTGTACAGAAGCTTTATAATGCTTGCAAAGCTTCACTTTCGCCAAATGGACCTATTTCTGAAGAGGCAGTTGAGAAAGTGCGCTCCCTATTAGGTTAGCCCACAGAATTATCTATATTAGTTTTGGATTTTTAGTTTCATGGTTTCCGGATCATCATTGATATGATTTTTGTTTTTCTTTTTGAGGTTTACGTGGGTTGTTTCTAACTCTGTACCTATGCCATGAATTTAGGGGGCATGAATGTGGTGATAAGTTGGTATTCTGAATGAATTATGTGTATGATATTTAGCCTTTTCAGTTAGATTTTTTCAAGTTGCATTTCCTTCTCCGTTGACAAGACAACCCATAATGTGTGTTGTAGCCCAGCCTTGAATGATGACATCTTCTTTTCCTTAATTAGTCAACTACGTTACCTTGTCCTCATTCTACTTGGTAATAAAGTTGTAAGAAGTGCGTTATACATGTGATGCTATTTGTCTTTATGCTTTTGGACCTGCTCCCTTTCCCTTCTAGAAAGAACCTTCTTGAGTTGTTTCTTAGTAGAGCTATACCAGCTAAACTCTACCTTTGTACTTGGTCTGTGATTTCTGCACCACATTGTTGGTTCCCCTCTCGCTCTTATAAGATTACAGAAAACAAAAGGCTTTCAGCTCAACCCTCTAATTACAGGTTCCGCGTAGTTAGTGCTTACTTATTTTGTGTGTCCTGTATCTTAGAGTACCACAACAAAACTAAGCCTTCATTGCACTAAGCAGGTCGGCAATGTGGATTATCTGCCAATCGTGTTTGGTTGAAACACATCTTTCATTTAGGTTCAACAATCATTTCTTCTTCTTCTTCTTCTTCTTCTTCTTTTTTTTTTTTTGAAGTATATTTTCAATTTTTATGAGTCTTCCCTTCCTCCTCTCAATTTGACCTACTGATTCTTAGATTCAACACACCAATTTGGGCTGTCTGTATGTATGTTTTATCCCCTACGAAAGGTACTATAAGTTTATTTCTCTTCCTAGGGAAGTTAACTTTTACTCTTGCAGTTAACAAACAAGCCAAGCTATTTTCTATCCATTCAAATTTAAATATCTGTCCTAAATCGTCCAAATTTATGCTCACATTAGTTCACAAAATTTTCCAGCCTACATACCTTCTCTGTGTGAAGCCCCCACGAAAGCTTTTCTTCTATCACTCTTTATTCCCCTGAGAGGATATGGAAACAAACATAGTTTAAAGGTTTCATATGCTTTTTTTTTTCTATTTGATCAAAATTTTCTTGTTACACTGATCTAGTTTTGTCCATATGCTGATGAAAGTTTGGTCTTCGTTAATTTTCTGATCAGCAATTTTATAACTGAATTAAATCATGTTTTCTTCCTGCCAATGGCTTCTCTAAAGGAACTTCATGTTCAATTCAAAGGCAGTCTGGTGGTTCAAGGATACAAAATGATAAACTTCTATAAAAAAATTAACTTTCTTGGAAAAGAAAAGGAGAGATATATTAACCTCTGATTCTACCATTTAAGTTATTTTTTGAACTGCTTAAGCTCAGCTTTCACTGCAATTGTGCCTTTTCTGCCAACAATTTCATTTTTCTCCTATAATGAATCCTTTATTCTCCAAGAAATTACCTCTCTCTATTGGCTTCCTGATTGGCATGTGTATGAATGTATATTATAATCAAATGAAGTGCATCATAAAGAGTTAGAGAGAATAAAAAATAATGGAAGACTCGATTCTCTCTACCTCTTGCAGAGATGGGAGAGGGAGTACTTGTTCATTATTTTATTCTTTTATGAGAACGATTTAACAGTTCTTTTATAGCCAAGAGAAATGACAGCTTCTTGGTGCTTTTGTTGTAGAAGGATGACCTAAAATCGTCCGGGAAAAAATGCTGTGTGGGTTTAATTTGGATAAGTTTCCATCTTTCCCTGGTCAAAATAAGGGGGGAATGTTTTCAGATTTTAGTGGGACAACATTATTTCTCCTGAAGTGCATATGATTTCAATACCATAAACTAAGCCAGTTTGCTCTATTTTGTGGCAACAAAAGCTACTTTGGACTCGTTCTTTCTTTTTTTATTTTTTATGTTTTATATAAGGATTTTTTTTTGGGGGGGGGGGGGGAAGCGCTCATTGCATGCGATATTTAGTAGAGATTTTGTTAGATTTAGTTGGATTTATATCATTCCACCAGTAGAGAATATAATGTAAATAACACAATCTAAGCCATCTCTATCTATTGTTTTCCACTAATTTGGCTTGAGCTCTTTACAAGCCTGTCTATTGTCTAGTAGAACTCACCGGCTTACATCTTTATTTCTGTGGCCAAAATGGACTTGAACTTGTTATTCAGTCCTGGTAGTAGGTGCAACCGAAGCTAGATAACCACCCCCCTCCCCCTTTCTAATATGCTCTGGTTGTTACTCTCTTGGTAAAGTTGAGACACGTAAATATAGTTTTATATGAACGGTTATTCAACACTGATTTGTCATCCCACGTTAGTCCTCATTTTCGACTTAATAAATTTCGTTCTAATTGATTATATGATTAGGATACCCAGGTATCTTTACTTTTTACAGTTGATTCATCCTTTTATGTTAGTCCTTCTATTGGGCTGAAGCTGGGCCTTGCTGCTTTTCTCTTGTGAAAGTCTAAATTTTGTGCTTTTGCTGTCATTTGGTGCACTTAGTAGAGTGTCATTTGATGGAACACTCTACTGAAATCTGATGTCTTCAAATGAATTGTGACATAATTTACTTCCTTTAGTGTTACCCTTGTGTGCCCTCTTAAATTCACGGTCAAGTTCATTTTTAATTTCATCGAATTTGATAATGGCATGAACTTGTGTAACGACATAGTTTGGTTTCCTCATTTTGTCATGGATTGAAACTTCATAATCTTGGTAGGTTTTACTTAAATTTTCATTTGAAAGAGTAAGAGTCTAAGCATGCTTTCGGTCATGTTCATCGTACATGTTCTGTAGACTATGTTGTCTGTAATCTAGAGGCAACGTATTTTGACTGGATTTTGGTGCATCTGATTTTTTTTTGAAGTCTTACTGTTACCTCATATTTTTATGCTATACTGTCCTATGGCAGACAAAATCAAGCCATCTGATGTGGGTCTCGAGCAAGAAGCCCAGTTAGTACGTGGTTGGAAAGGTTCAGTAAACGAGAGAAATGGAAGCCATAGATCACTGCCACCAATTAAATACCTTCATATACATGAATGTGACAGCTTCACTGTAAGTGCCGAACGGTCACAATGGATATACTCGGTTCATGGTTTTGGTTTAAATTCTCTCAATAATTTGAGTTCATAGCTGCACATTTATATGTAAGTTGCATTTTAAAAGGTGAATAGTTAGAGAATTTCCAACATATGCTGTCTGTTTATTTGCAGATGGGAATATTCTGCATGCCTGCTTCTTCAATCATTCCCCTTCACAATCATCCAGGAATGACTGTTTTAAGCAAACTTCTGTATGGCTCGCTGCATGTGAAAGCCTTTGATTGGGCAGATCTTCCTGGGCCTTTGGATGCCTCTGAAGGTATGGCACTGTAGTAAGTTGCCCTCTGGGCTTTTGTATCTGTATATATTTACAGTTATACTGAAATTGCCCCAGAATGTGTGCGTGTTTGAAGAAGTGCATTTATCTGCTTTTCTTTGCTATGATGTCCGTTATAGCGGTGCATTAATTTTATGCAAACAAGTACTCTCTTAATTTTGATATTGCACCACTTTAAATTAGACCATTATTCTTACTGATGGAGCCTTTCCTTTCGCCTCTCTTTATTTTGCACTGCGTCATTGTTATTCAAGGTGGATTTTTCTAATGAGCGACTTGCTCATTTTATTGTTTCTCTTATTTTACATATCATCAAATGTAGCTTTAGCTAGGACGATTATGGGGGTTCTGGAAAGGGACTGTAATGCCTCACCAGAACTAGGGAGGTGGCTTTTGCAGTCTTTATTTTTCAGGGTTCATCATTTTCAGATTGAGTTTGGTTTCTGTTTGCATCATTAATAATGACTTTGTACATGGAAAGGATAGATTTATTGTTTTTTTTTTCTTTACTTGAATTTGCGTTTCTGACTTAGTTTTTTCACCTGATACTGGCTACAGCAAGGCCTGCAAAACTTGTAAAAGACTGTGAGATGACTGCTCCATCTGAAACAACGGTTCTTTATCCAACTTCCGGAGGAAATATACATTGTTTCAAAGCCATAACTCCTTGTGCCATCTTTGATATCCTTTCACCGCCCTACTCCTCTGACGATGGACGACATTGCACTTATTTTCGGAGGTCCCCCAACGGGGATCTACCTGGTAATGACCTGAAGTTTGGTTTGTCATTATCTTGTCATGTCAATATTCTTGGTATTGAAGGGTTTTCTGTTTTTTAACCTGACTCTCCTTTCCCCCCTATTTAAGGTACTCTGGAGGTGGATGGAGTGACAATCTCTGAACTCACTTGGTTAGAAGAGTTTCAGCCTCCTGATGATTTTGTGATTCGCAGAGGACAATATAAGGGCCGCGTTATTAAACCCTAGTGTTCATTTTTGGTGGTGAACAATTAGTTTAAGATGCAGCGTGAGCTTCATTTAGTCAGTTTAGGTTGAGTTTGCAGATCTCTCAAATTGTTGTAGCAACGAATAATTCATTTTTCTGTGCCAAAAGAAGTTTGGCATTTTAGTTGTATATATTGATCATCCTATATTTTTTCTCCTATAGATACTAACTTATATAGAAGAGAAATTTGGTTGAAACATGCTTCCTGATATCCACAAGCTGTTGAATATGCCTTTCTGGCCCCCTTCCTGAGAAATTGGTGATTGGTTGATGTTTAGACGCACATGATGGGTTTCTAGGTTCAGATCCATTTCCTTTTTCCTTTGTTTATTGGCTCTTCCTTCATGATCACAGAGGTGGTTATCTCAATTATTCTGGTAAGTGAACCTAAACATCTACAAGGATTCAGTAATTTTTAGTTCATTGGTCCCCTGTTTAGAATATGCAGGATTACTAAGACTTGAAAAATATTTGGGTCCCCTGTTTCTTGCCGCCATTGTCAAGAGTTTACGATTACAGTAGTCCGCGATAATTTTGTATTGTACCGCATCAATGTGCCTACAACTGAACGAGCAGATAATCCGTCATTGTCGATGGTGGACACTCTGCTGTAAAAAAGGACAAGAGACTTGAATTATAAGTCATGGAAGGGAGTAAATAAAGATACTGTTCAGAGTTGATGAATGGGGGAGAAAAGAGTGAGGCACATCCAAGCTGCAAAAAATGAACATTTCATGAAAGAGAAACGTGGTCCCGCTGCGCTGAGAGTAAATATGCTTCAACTACCAAGTCACATATTCAGTTCTCGCCTCATTTGCTCTCTCATTCCGCATTCACTTCATCATTTCATCTTCACTTCCCTGCTCTTGAGCTGCCTTCCAGATCCCATTTTGGTATGATCTGATTCGCTTATTCAATCAACTGCAACTTTTGTTTTTGATGATCATTAGATTTCTCTTTATGTCATAGAAGTTATTACTTAGATGTGTACGTGATTTATTTATTATTATTATTGTAGTATTATTTTTTTCTGAAGAACAGCTGAGGGAGTGTTTAGTAGTGTCCACAGTCCGCTGTCAGTGTCTTTAATTACTCTTGTGAATTATGGTTTCAATTGATTAATTGGTTTTTGATGCAATCTTCTTTTCCTTTAAGTTTTCTCGGCCATTGGGATCACTGGAGTCTCTGGTTTTCCTGCTGAATCATTACTTACTGGGCTCCTGGAGATATTAAGATGGCCTCCTCCATCATTACTTTTCTTCATTCAGCCATGTATGATTTGGCTTCACTGCAGGATAAGTGTCCTGATGATTTGAAGCAGTCTGAATTTGTGATACTGAGGCACAGGTTGAGGAATCTTAAGACATTTCTTCTGTGCACCCGAAAACTGGGCCGTGATGTCCATTTGCAAGGCGATGAGACCAGTGATAATAAGGACCGAAGTCTCGCATCCCTCCTGGTGAGGATCAAAGAAGCAGTTTCCAGAAATGCACAGAAAATTCACACTTACCGTCTTAGTTTGGAAATTGGATTTTGTATGGATGTTATAGATGAGGTTGATAAATTTCAAGCGGACATTGAGTCCTTTGATGAAGTCATAAATGAGTGGTACATCACATTTTCGGACTATTCATGGCAATCAACTTCGCCAGCTGAGGTTCTTGATATCATTGATTCTGTTCAGGATAATCTCGCGGAGTTTCTCATTATGCCTATTCACAATGATTTTGTTGTGAATCAAATTGAAGACTTAGGCGAGAAGATAAAATTATTGAGAAGTTTCATTCCTTTTGCTGTACTGGCTGTACTGACAAGTGCTGAGCACCGACAACTGGGAGATCTGCTGGCTCACATTGAAGCTGTTGTTACCGAGACAGCACATCTAACAGCACAACATACTTTGACTAAATCTTATCTGTTTGAGATGGTTTTTGGTGAAAAGTGGTGGAAAGGAATGCCGGAGGAGATTTCCTTGCTGCTGCAGAGGATCAAACCTATTGATCGTCGAGTTTGTGAAATTTATATCCAAGCCCTGGTCAGCTTAAAGTTGTCTAAACAATTAGACATTGGAAATCTGGGCTTAAATGATAATACTGGAATCATCATGATGGATTTCATTGATTTTCTCCTGTTTGTTCTTTGGGAGTTGCTACAACTTGATGTTGGTCTTGCAGTTTCTTGGAAGGATCAGATGCAAGAGCTTGCAGAGGGACTAAGATACTTGAGAACAAGTCTCAAAAATCAGCAAAACAAGTTCAATGAGAGTATCAGGGAGCCGACTAGAGTACTGATATGTGATGCTGGAATCATAATCTTTTCACTTTATCAAAATGATGTCAAAGTAGATCATGAGTTAACTAATTTGTTAGGGAAAATTAAGCTTCTCAGAGAAGAAGTTGATGAGAAAGTTCCAGAAACATCAACTTTCAACCTCCCTAAAACTAATCAGTTGGGATTCATCGATTTTCTCTTGGAAAATTTGATGGAACTAATAAATGATGAGGCTTATTCATTTTCCTGGAGTCAAGTTCAAGCCATCCATGGAGAGCTTGTTTGCTTAAGATCTTTCTTGGGAGAGATTGTAGAGTTCCACGATGAACAAGAGCAACTTCGAGTTCTTTGGGATCGTATTATGGAGATCGCCTGTAGGGTGGAGTTAGCCATTGAACAATTGGTACTTGGACATGCTGGAGATTCTTTATCAGCACCATTTGATTCCATAATAAATGACATCAGCATTTTTAAAGCTGATTTCTCAAAGATTCTCCCCGGCATTAAAAAGGACATAAAGGTCCAGGATGTTGTTTGGACATCTAGTCATGTCCAGCCACAAGGTCACTCCCTGATAGCTGATGAAGTTGTAGGTCTCGAGTTTGAGGTGGCACCCATAAAAGGTCGGCTTACAAGAGGATCAAAGCAATTACGGGTTGTTTCCATTGTTGGCATGCCAGGATTAGGTAAAACAACAATTGCCACAAAACTCTATAATGATTTTACAGTTAAGCACCATTTTCATGTCCATGCATGGTCAACTCTTTCTCAAGAATTCAACAAAAAGAAAGTCTGTCTTGAACTTTTGAATGGTATTGTTCCCAATAAACATTTTGCCATGGATGAAGTAGATTTGGCTGAAGAGCTCCGGCGTCGCTTGAAAGGACGGAGATATCTCATTGTTTTGGATGATGTATGGGACATTCAAGCCTGGAACAGCTTGGCAGGATCATTGCCAAATGATTCTAATGGAAGTAGAATTATCTTGACAAGCCGACTTCGTGAAGTTGCTCCTGCAGCTTTGCTCGATGCAGAGCCTCATTTTCTTCGCCAACTCACTATTGATGAGAGCTGGGAGCTACTACAGAAGAAGTTATTCCATGGAATTAGTTGTCCTCCCGAATTACATGAGCTTGGAATAAAAATTGCTGAAAAATGTAAAGGGTTACCTCTTACAGTTGTCACTATAGCTGGTCTTCTGGCAAACACGAGGCTGGAGGTTTGGCATGGAGTTCTGGAAAGCTTAAGTTCAGGCATTGTTTCCACAACTGAGCAATGCATGAACACATTAGAATTGAGTTACAAACATTTACCTGATTACTTGAAACCTTGCTTTCTCTATTTTGGAGCATTTCCGGAAGACACAGTGATCTCAGTCAGGAGCCTAATCTTGTTGTGGATTAGTGAAGGGTTCGTCCGAAAATCTGAGTTCAAGAGCTTAGAAGAGGTTGCAACAGATTACCTGATGGATTTGATTGGCAGAAGCTTAGTTATGGTTTTCTGGAAAAGATCCATTGGTGGTGTCAAAGCTTGTCGCGTTCATGATTTGCTACATGATTTTTGCTTGACAAAAGCGAAAGAAGAAAATCTTTTCCTACTACTCCGAGGATATGATGAGCTTTCAGCATTTCACAAGCCATGCCGAAGATTATGCATTTACTCCACGCAAAAGCATTTAAAGGAGTCAAAGCTATTTAGTCCTCGAGTACATTCCCTCCTCTTCTTTGATCAAACAGAATGGTATGAACAAACTTCACTTGATATCTCCTTCATTCTTCGCAGCTTCCAACTTCTTAGGGTGTTAAACATCCGCCAAATCAATTTAGGCCCGGTGTTTCCAGATGAAATCGAACTTCTTGTTCAATTGAGATATTTGTCAGTTCATGGAGAGATGGATGCCATCCCATCGTTATTAGGTAACCTCTCCAAATTAGAAACCTTAATTGTGTTTTCATCAAGAAAGGTTTCATTGCCAAATACTCTCTGGAAGCTGCAAAGGTTGAGACATCTTTACATTAGGGTGGATCCTTTTGGTTTCGGTTTCAGTTTGCCTACAGAAAATCTTGACAACACCCCTCGTTTACATGAGTTGGTGAGCTTTTCGGGTGCAATCATTTCATCATGGAAGCTCATGGAAAGCCAGTTGAAAAAGTTTCCAAACATGCGCAAACTGAAATGCAAACTCTTTGAATACGATGATGTTGATCCTGAGATTTGCGTCGAGATTATGGTTCCTGAATCTCTGAGTCGACTAGAATCGCTTAATCTGTCGCTGTTTGATGAAAACCGGAAACACATTGACTTTGAGTTTCATCTCCCCGCAAATCTGAAGAAGCTGACTTTGTCTCTCTTTAGGTTGCCCTGGGCTAAAGCTTCAGTAATTGGGAAACTGCCTAATCTTGAGGTTCTAAAATTGCTCACTGACGCCTTCTCAGGAGAGTCATGGGACATGGAAGAAGGGGAATTCGCGAATCTTAGATTCCTGAAATTGGAATCCTTGGACATTGTCAGGTGGACAGCTTGTTCTGATGATGATCAGTTTCCCAATCTTCAGAAGTTGGTCCTGAATTATTGTCCCAAGTTGGAAGAGATCCCCTGTTGTTTAGAAAACATTTCAACTCTTGAAGTGATTGAGGTCTCATCCTGTTGGGAAGGCATCTCGAGTTTAGTCGAACAGATTCAGGAGGTGCAGACAGATATGGGAAATTCAGCCCTGAAGATCAGCATCAGCCATGTGAGCAAATCTTCCTAAGAAATTGGTAAGAGCTATGATTGGGAATTTGAGATACGTCTTCATTTTGAAATTTTACTTTTAGTTCAATTTATATTAAAAAATAAAAAATTTAAACTGGATAATAATTTTGGAACGGAGGGAGCATATGTTTAATTTTTTAAAGTATAATATTGTCAATATATGAATGGTCATGATAATTTATTTCCACTATCACTTGAATGTGCCTTTTCTTAATTCAAAAAGAAACTTCTAACATCCCGAAGACTAAGCATCAGTTGGGCTTCATGGATTTGGTCCTGGAAAATTTTGTGAGGGGTTGGTAAATGGCAAAGCTTATTCATTCTCCCGAAATCAAGCTCATGCCGTCCATGATGATCTTGTTTGCTTAATAAGAGAGACGTTGATTTATTATTCGATTGTTCATTTTACTTCTATCTTTCTCAATCCCTTTCGAGTCATACTAAAACTATGTTGTCGTAATTATGAAGAACCACATATATATTCATCACAAAACCGCCCATCCACCTCCTATATCGTCTCTAAATAATTCATACATTTGCAAGACCAGTCATTCGATTCTTCTATCTACCATCTGTATTGACTTTTTTTTTTTTTTTTTTTTCCATTATTCGTGTGGAGAGCTTCCATCTTGTAACCGGCACTCTTAAACATTTTCGAAACAATATCGTCCCACTAACAATCAATTGACTTTAAGTAGTAAAAATATTGAGTCAGTTTAATTATGCCTCGTGATCAAACCCTAGACATGGATGTATATAACAGTTATTGAAATACTTATTGAGAGAACTTTACATCTTGAAAAGAACTTGATTCGAATCCAAATTAGTAAGAACAATGATTTTGGATACCGGATGTGTAATATATATAAAAAAAAATATTTGACCATCCGGCGTCTCTCGCTGAACAAATTCATACACTATTTGTGCCTTTGTGGTCACGTCATTAATACAGAAAACTACGATCCATTGTGTGTGTGCCTTTGTGGTCACGTCATTACCTCCATTATTTGTGCCTTTGTGGCCGTAAAGTAAATGTTGAAAATAACAATTACATACATTTCAAAGATTTTTATAAATGTGTGTTTCCATTTGAAATGGAAATAGACATATGAGTTGACCACTAATTAACTCGTTGATCAATTTCACAGATTACATAGATCATTTTTAGTGTTAAGCTGTGTTAAAACACTACTTAATTAATCAGTAGTTATCATTCATGCAATATTTTAATTTTATTTTATGAAATTATATTATTGTACTCAAAAAAAAAAATGCTACAAAACATATGCGTTAAAAATGAGTAAATACAAAAAACAAAGTTATAAAGATAAACAAACATAGTCCATACGATCTAAAACAGTTGATATTAGTATAACCATCCTAAGCTACTTCTAAAATATCTGCTCCTACCGTCCATAGATTACCATATGACGAAGCTAGACTTGTAACTTTAGCGATTTGAAAAGGACAAAACTCACTTTTGACTACCAAAGTTAGACCAAATTGCACACCTAACCACAAAAAAAAATTAGTGCCAGTTTTGACCACCATTAATTTTTTATTCAACACTTTTGGTTTTCTGTAAGGGCAAAAAGGTAAACTAACAAATATCATACTAAAATGTAGAAGTTGAACCCATAAGTTTTGAAGAAAAATTTATTTTTCACCCAAAACTTGAGTGTTACTGTTTTTCTTTAACTTTTTGAAATATTTTTCCTTCCCATTTTATTTATTTTTAATCAATTTTATTTTTTTTGCGAAAATATTTTTTTTCTTGTTGCAGATTTTTCTATTAAATTTGATATTTAAAATTTTTTTCATTTACTTTTTAAATTACACTTTAAACATTTATAATGCTTTATTAAATTCAAATCTAATATTGTTAATATTTGACAACTCAATCAAATGATATTAATCCTTTTATTATTTAGCAAAAGAACTAACCATTATCAAATTTAATACCATTCTCCTTTTTGTTCTTTGGGGATTTGAATTTTACAATGAAATTATATTATAACAGATTAAATATTTTAATTACATTATGTTCTTTTTTTGGAAGAATTAAATTACTATCTATTCATTAAACAATGTGATATAGTTTCAAGTGTAACAATCTTATTGTTTTCTTTGATGAATTACAATTTTCTTTCACTTTATTGCAAAAAAAAAGAAGTGAAAAGAATATGAAAAATTAAAAAATAAATAAAAATAAGTCATTAAATAAAATAAATTGTTATAGTATTAAATTTTGAGTTACCAATAAATTTTTGCCCAAAACTTATGGGTTCAATTTTAACATTTTAGTATAAGATCTATTAGTTTACTATTTTGCCCCTTACGAAAAACCAAAAGTGCTGAATAAAAAGATAATGGTGGTCAAAACTGGCTACTAATTTGTTTTGTGGTTAGCTGTGTAATTTGGCCTAACTTTGGTGGTCAAAAGTGAATTTTGTCCATTTTAAAATATGTGCTCCTTCCTCCCAAATACATTACTCGTACTCCCTCCGTCCCAAAATTATTGTCCAGTTTGATTTTTCATTTTTAGTTCAATTTGTACTAAAAATGGAATCTAAACGGTTAATAATTTTAGGACAGAGAAAATATATATTTTTTGATTTATAACTGTAACACTGAATTGAGGAAGTATCATATAATCATAATTCTATGATGAATTCACTTTCTTTCTTTTTCATCTTTTGAGAATTTCAACTTTAATTAGTTTGAAGATTGAGAAGGGTTGGGTGAAATAGGTAAAGCCGTGAAAAATTGTGACCATGAATTGCTTGTTCGAATCTGGATATGTGCAATATGAAAAAATTAAAACAGAAAAAGAAGTTAACGCGAAAATGAAAATAATAACCAATGATGTAAATTATAGAATTAGTTTTTTTTTTTTGTACAATAAAAAAAATAGAAACATAAAAACCTAGATTAATACCTTGTGCCAATTGGGAAATATCGATTATATCCTTTTTCAGCTACAATTTATCACTGCACACGCATCATATCTCAAAAAATCACACAACCTGATGTGGTTAATGAAGTTTGCTAGACTGTCGGCTACGAAATTCTAAAATAAAACATATATTCCTCCCTTTACAAAATAATTATCCAGTTTTAATTTTATTTTTAGTACAATTTGAAATAAAAATGAAAATTCAAACTAGACAATCATTTCTAAATTGTACTAAAAGCGAAAATTCAAAATGATAAGTGGAAAATTATTTTTAAATTGTACTAAAAGCGAAAATTCAAACTGGATAACCATTTTGAGATCGTACTAAACATGAAATTAAAAACGGACATTCATTTAGTAGGGATAACAGTGATCAATTCCCATAATTTTTTATAATACTTTTATTGGTGTTCCTTTTTCTTTAAATTTTTTTTGCTTGTCCGGTTTTCTTTTGTGGTAGTTCAATCAACAAACATATAAAATACGTTCAGTTTTTACATCTTTTTACCTCACGGTATATCTGCATCGAGTTCGTGGTCTCCATTTCTCTCTCTATATAGCGTTCACCATATGCATGGCCAACAGAGAACTTGCATTTTCTGTAACTTTCATTATTATTTGTTCAGAGACAAATTTGAAAATCATGCCAACTAATCAAAACCATTTATGTCTTACAGTAGTAGCACTTGTTCTGTTGCCATGTTTGCTCACAGTTTGCTCAGCCGCCGCCATGACCACAAACAACATCACCATTGATGAGCTTGCTCTGTTTGCCCTGAAATCCCGAATCACCGAACCATCTTTTCAGCAAACACTGGGTAAAAACTGGACAATTGGTTCCTCAGTTTGCAGCTGGATTGGAGTCACTTGTGGGTCTCGACATCGGAGAGTGACCGCCTTAAACATTTCCAACATGAACCTTACCGGCACCATTCCTTCCCACCTGGGGAATTTATCATTCCTGGTTTCCCTGGACATGAGTATGAACTATTTTGAAGGCGAATTTCCCGATGAGTTTTCCCGGTTTCGCCGCCTGAAATGGCTAGACTTGAGCATCAACAATCTCAACGGACAGTTCCCACCTTGGATTGGCTCATCATCATTTCATGAGCTTGAATACTTAAGCCTCAAAACCAACTATTTCACTGGTGTTATTCCACCCTCCATCTCCAACATGTCCAAGTTGACGGCGTTTATCGCTTCTTTCAATTATCTGCAGGCAGGGGCAGCTTTAGTTAAAAAAAAAAGGACAATCATTTTGGGACGGAAGAATAACCGTTTTAGCAATCCTACATGCTTCATTGACTCAGGTGTTTTGTTTTTCTGCAGGGAAACCTGCCGCCAGAGATATTCAACATATCCACTCTGGAAATAATTACTCTGGGTGAAAATCATCAATACTTTTCAGCCGGTTGGCTTCCGGATGATCTGTGTCAACAGCTTCCGAACCTCTGGTGGCTTGATTTAGAACGGACCAAGTTAAAGGGTCAAATCCCATCAAGCATAGGCCAATGTACACAACTTCAGACGCTGTTATTCGGTTACAACTCACTCAATGGAGTCATACCAAGGCAACTTGGAAACTTGACAGCACTTCAGGCGCTAGCCCTCCAGAATAACCTATTGGAAGGTAACAGTATCTCATCTCAAATCCATATATATGTTTTTTTTTTAATTTTATTTATTGGTCATTTTTACTCTGAAGAATGACGTCAGCATCATTCGGCTACCTACGGCTGTCTATTAAAAAATTAATATTAAATTTTTTAAATTTATAAATTTTGAAATACCATAAATACCCCTGGTAATCGTAAGTCAATGGTCAACCAAACGGAAAAGTCTGACGGAACAGTAAATTGGGACAAAAAAAATTATGAACATAAATGTTTGGGACCAATTTTTTCAAATGTTAATGTTTGGGGACGTAAAAGTTAATTGGACCAAATGTACGAGACCAATTTGAGGGTTTACTCTATTATTTTTGTAGGTTCGATTCCAAAAGAAATTGGCAACTCATCAATGCTGCTGTCTCTGGATTTCAGCTTCAACAAGCTGAAAGGTATGTCAATAATCTCTTACAAAAAAGGTGGATGACAGACTCAATGAAACTATCAAGTTATATTAGTCTAGTTTGTTATAGTGAATCGGTTCAACAAAATAGGCTACTAATATGAAAAAGAGGAAACATTTTTAGGTTTTGCCAAGTTACATGTGTCATGAAAAATAAATTTTGGCAGGAGTTATACCTGAAGAGATCAACAAACTACCCAATATTGAGGAAATCCTCTTTGGTTTCAACAAGTTAACTGGTTCAATTCCAGTAGGTATCTTCAACTTGTCAACCATAGCACTGATGGCTCTCTCAAACAATCAACTTTCTGGCAATCTTCCTCCAACAATGTGCTACACCCTTCCATATTTGCAGAATCTTTATCTTGCCTCGAATCGCTTTAGTGGACCTATTCCAAATTCGATTTCAAACTGTACAAATCTTCAGGTGCTTGAACTTTCAGCCAACAATTTCACGGGTTCTATTCCCAACTCCCTGGGAGACCTTAGCTTTCTTCAGGACTTGAACCTTTGGCAAAACAATTTAATCAGTGATCCTTCTTCCCCTGTTTTGAACTTCATCACCTCATTGGCTAATTGCCAGTATTTGGTAGCTCTTCATGTGGATGACAATCCACTCAACGGTGTTTTGCCTGAATCGGTTGGAAACCTTTCTTCCTCACTCGAAACTTTTGATGCAAAGAACTGTAAAATCAGAGGCCGCATTCCAAGTGGGATTGGAAATTTAAGCCATTTAGATGCATTAAGCCTTTATGGTAATCCGCTTGTTGGGTCATTGCCTGATTCAATGAAAAACATGCAGAGTTTACAGATTTTGTATCTCAGTGGGAACAAAATTCACATTTCTCTGCAACTCTTTTGTGATTTACCAAACCTGGGGAATTTACAACTGGATGAGAATATTATAATTGGGGGTGCGATTCCAAATTGTTTTGAAAATATTACTTCCCTGAGATATCTTAACCTCAGTTCCAGTGAACTAAACTCTGAACTACCTGTCAGTTTTTGGAACCTCAAGAATCTATTGGAGCTTGATATTTCTTCCAATTCTTTGAGTGGTTCTCTTCCTTCTGACATCAGTAATTTCAAACAGGCAACTTATATGGATTTCTCCAGGAATCACTTTTCAGGTGACATTCCTAGCGTGATTGGAGATTTAGTAAACCTGGAAGCGTTTTCTTTGAGGAACAACAAATTTCAAGGACAAATCCCTGAGACAATGGGTAACATGCTAAGCTTACAACAACTGATCCTATCCCATAATTTCTTCTCCGGTTCCCTTCCAATGTCATTAGAAAAACTTCAAAATCTTGCTTCTTTCGATGTGTCCTTTAACAATCTGAGCGGCGAAATTCCTTCGCAAGGCCCTTTTGCTAACTTTACGGCTGAGCCCTTCTTTTCTAATCGAGCTCTATGTGGAGCTCAAAGATTTCATGTCCCGCCATGCCCAAAATCTTCAGCCCAGCGTAAGACTGCTAGTCGCGGAAATGTGCTTAAAACTCTAATCATTTTGGTTGCGGTGATATCAGCGATAGGTATCACATGCTTGGGTTTTATCTGCCTGAAGTACAGAAGGAAAAGAAATAAACGAACTAATGATGATCCTGATGGTTTGTACTTGAATACACATGAAAGAATATCTTATTACAAACTTCTACAAGCAACAGAAGGATATAGCCAAAGTAACTTCTTGGGTGTCGGAAGTTTTGGATCCGTTTACAAAGGTACTCTTGAAGGTAATCGGATTGTGGCAGTTAAAGTGTTCAATTCGCAACTTGAAGGATCATTTTCGAGTTTTGAGTCGGAATGTGAGGTGTTGCGAAACCTTCGCCATCGAAACTTAACAAAAGTCATTAGCAGTTGTTCTAATCACGACTTTAAGGCATTGGTTCTTGAGTACATGCCGAATGGAAACCTCGACAGGTGGTTGCATTCGAATAACTATTTTCTCAATGTAATGCAACGGTTGAACATAGTGATCGATGTGGCATGTGCTCTGCAATATCTCCACTGTGACAATTCAATACCAATTGTCCATTGTGATCTTAAGCCTAGTAACGTATTGCTAGATCACGAAATGGTTGCTCATGTAAGTGATTTTGGTATTTCAAAAATTTTGGGCCAAGAGAATAGCATTACATACACCAGAACGCTGGCCACACTTGGTTATATTGCACCAGGTGAGAGTTAGTTTCTTATCTTTGATTTATATTTTTTGAACTACTTGTGTACATTAAAGAAGCTTCTAATGATGAATTAATCAATCTTCCTTGCAGAGTATGCTTCGGAAGGATTAGTATCTGTAAGGGGTGATATCTACAGTTTCGGGATCATGATTATGGAAATTTTCACAGGAAAGAGTCCTAGCGAAGAACTTTTTGGCGAAAATATGAGTTTAAGGAGTTGGGTTCAAGAGTCTGTGCTTAATAATGGGATGGCTAATGTTATAGATGCTGATTTGATGTTAACAATCAATCAACACTTGCCTGAAATACTTGCTGAAATTTCATCGATTATGGATGTAGCTCTGGCTTGCACAAATGTATCTCCAAGAGAGAGAAGTAATATAAAAGAGGTTCTGGCAAGCTTGAATAAGATCAGACTTCAACTATTGCCATATACAGATGGCTCTCAAGGTTGGTGTAATATAATCTGAAGTATTAATCCCCTGATTGCTTTTATATATTCTGTGTTAGTAACTTTTTGTTGTTATTTAAATCGCAGGGATGGAAGATATCTCAAGCAATTGAACTAAAAACAATAGATAAATGAATTTTGGGCAATCGAACGGAAGCACAATTCTTGTTTGATCTTGAACACTAGGCACAATTCAGTGAAGAAAGCTAAATATGTATGCAAAGTTCGTACACAGATGAAATTGCTTTTTGTGACAGATATCACCCACCCTCCTTTTACACCGTTTTTTCAGCGTCCTTACTTTTTACATAAACTGCTCGACGGCTCCCTGGGGAGACAATCCGCAGCTCGATAACATACTCGTGAATTGCAGGTCCTAAATCCCACAATGTGGCACCATGATCAGTATCCATTCCCCCAACATTCCACCCCAATCAATATGGAGCGGTATAAGCTAAAGTTAGGCCAGCGTGCCGTAAATTCATCCCACTGTTGTCACGGCTGATTCGTTGATGCGTAAATTTCTGTTCAAGTCGCTTCCATTTTCGCTGGGATTTGGATACACAGGTTCTGGGATACCATGTGATTATGTAATTACAACTGGTTCTGCCTCAGCAGTGCGACAACTGGTTCGGTCTGGATGTATGCAGAATTGTTCCTAACTGTGAGATTAGTCTCCAGGTGAACATTTCAATTACTAAGGAGGTGCACAACAGATGGGAATATTGATAATGGTCGGCATAGAAGTTTTGAAAGAATTCGTTCAAAGATTAATGCTGACTCATTCGTCTGGTGTACAAATACTTGAAAGTTAGCTGGAATAAATTTGGGCAAGGACAGTACTACTTTATTTGGGTCACTGAGCTTCTTAAGAATATACCCAAAGTAACTAAACTGATAAATACAAGGTCATTTCAATTTACAATATCTATAATTATGTTGTTAAGAAACTACCTCAGTTACAACCAGCGGCTCGTTAAAGGTGCGCATTGAATCCAAAATAAATCCCAACACTGATAAAAGCTGCAGAAGGTCATCTGTGCATAGGATTACATCATACGAAAAAGTGAAACTAAGCTGCCGGAGACAACACTTGATTTCACTGGGGATTGCGAAGAACAATGATCACAGAATCCCCACGGAGGAACATCTTGCTGATGAACCTGTCCTTGTTCACTTCCATGGCTTTGCTCTTGCCTTTTCCCGTCTTAGGCACCTGCAAGACAATGAATTTCACAACTTTTAATTGAATGCCAACTGATCACCGCATACTCAAAATGCAAAAACTAGAAAATGAATCCTTATATTGTAGAATGGAATGAAACCCACCTCAGTCCAAAGCTCCCTAACGTTCTCAAGTACCATATTGCAATGCCTGTCAAATGCCCTCACACGGCCAAGAAGCTTCCTGTTGTTCCGGCAGTTTATCAGCACCTGAAAAAAGAAAGGCATTTTAGCAACTTAAATTATTTTTTTGATGCTGCACAATATGCTAAACAGATTCCAATTGAGGCAAGTACATTACAAATAGCAAAGGTGAAAAGGTATGAAAATGAGCAACATTACCTGCGTGTTGTTCTTCACGCTCATCATCAAAATATTCAAAGGCCCAGTACTGAATTCTTCCTCTTCAGTTTTCACCACCTGCATACAGAAAAGCAACTGATTGAGTACACTCACTTTGACATTCAAAATTCACAGCACCATACAATAGCAGAGAGCAGAGAAATTTCACATAGCCAATGGTGTTGCATTTTAAGAGTTCCTCAATATACAAGGAAAAGCTCACGGTATTTTAATGGTGTAAGCAAACCAGACAATCTAATCAATTCAAAATAGACAAGTTACTCAAAAGACCCAGATGGTACAAAGTTTCTTCAGGAAGTAATTATGCTTTGAGAATGAATATGCTTAGGATACTGCCCCACCAAAATTTCACCACATTGCTTTCCCAGAAATTATGAAAAATTTTAGGAGTTCGAAAAAAAAAAAACACATTCTGCATTGCATGCAATCACATATTAGGAGTTATAAATTTAAGCAAAAAGGTTGGGAGGCAACTTACATCCTCTTCCATTGGTCGGCTGCAATAAAAGAGATGAAGAAAAGCATCAGAGTACATTTCAATTGTGAAATGCAAATGGCTATAAAAAGATTGAATGGGAAATAATAATAAATGGAGGAAAATTAGTTAATTACCTCATTTTCAACAGAGAATCACGTTAGTCTTTTTCTGACAGAATCCAAAAAAGTGCCCACCTGCCAAAATAAGATGTAAATAGTTCAGATGACATGAAAAAAATAAAAATTACTACAATCAATTAAACTCTTATGGTAAAACAAACGATGAGCTATATCAGAAGATAAAAAATGACTGGAGTAAATAACATTTACCACACTGAACTTTATCACATTATTTTCAGATCACAACAATATCCAGCTAACCTTAGAACAGCATCATAACAAATTCAAAAGATGTCTTCAAATATATAACCATCTGAAAGTTTGAACCCACTTTCATGCTATAAGAATTTTCAAATAACGATCAGTCTATGCTTGTTTGAAAAATCTTCTATCGCTCTTCAGCTTATATCTCCATAAATTTTCATCATTGTAAAAAGTCGGGACAGGCGAAAGTTTATGGAAGCATGATCAGAGACAATGAAGCTCTTTAGTACTGGGAAAATGGCCCATATCCGCACAACCTAAGGACAAGAACCATGATTGTCCTCTCTGGAAGGGGACAAAGTAAGATAAAAGGTCCATAATACTCGCAGTATCAATGCACGGCATCTCCAACACATGTGCCAATAGAAGAAATGACGTCCTAGACATGTCCATCAACCCTAATTTACCAATCACTTGAGTTAGACCACTAGAAAGGGATAAACTCAAGAAAGAAAAAATCAAATTTCAGATACAAAAAATAATAATAATAATAAAAATAAGCAGATAAACAGAGGGAAATCAACAACAAATGGAAGAAAGCATAACATGCTGCCTTTTTCTAGTATTTAAGGCCATTAGCTCCTCTCAGACAAATGCCTCATTGTCCTCATGCATAAGAATGGATTTCAGACTCGTCATCTTATTTGTGCATCACAGAGGAACATGACCAGGTAATGGAAATATAAACTAGGTGCACGCGTAAATAAAAGAATTAAAAGTCTAAAAAAACAAAACTACATAAAACCAGAGACAAAGGGGGCTTTACATGGGCAAGGTGACACTAGTTAACTAACTTTCTAATCCTATTTAAAACCACTAAGGGAACAACACATCTCAAAGTCTATTCAATACAATTAAGCCATGGCCCAATAAAATCATTAAAGCATGAGCTCAGGTATCCCCCAAAAAAAAAAAACACAAGAGGGATTTGTAGTAAAAGCATTCAACAAGATTCAAAGACTCGGAAAATTCATATTCACGCAACTAATAAGGTCCTGAAAACAAGAAAAGCTAAAAGAAAAAAAAACCCTTGGCGACCAGCAAACTTTCACAGCACAAATAAGACTAGCCTCTTCAGTTCAGGTCTCCAAAATTCTTCCGCACGAAACATTCTCAGAAGAACGAAAGTTTTTGTTTTATTCATCATCAGAGGCATTAGAAAGTATAGTCTTCTACAAAGGATAAACATGGAAACGAAATACATTCCCAAAACCTAACTATCCAAGGAATCAACAAGGACACAATAGGAGAGAAGCTTAGGCTACTAATCATTCCTCCATACGATAAATTAATTGCAGAAGAAATACATAAACTAAATATATATATATATATATATATAACACAGAATCGTAGAAAAGAAAAGCCAACAACAATAAAAGTATCCGCACTCTTTTTTCCCAATGACTGGTCGTTTATTACCGCATTCTTTAACCAGATAATCAAATAAACACAAAAACATCTGTCAAACCATAGCGAAGCAAACATATTAAACATCAAACTGAACGTCAAAGAGCTAACGCAATGAGCATCACTGAGCAGGAATTATTACACCACAAAGATACAGAAATCAGATCAACACGAAATCGAAAACAAAGAACTGAGAGAGGAAGAGGGGAAGGAGATGGTTGAATTACCAGAGAAAAAGAGGAACGCAGAAGGAGGCGGCAACAAACCAGGGGATTTAGGGCACAAAACGACCTTACAAAGCAGCAGCCCTTACTGTGTGACTGAGGGTTTATCCTTCGATTCACACTGGAGTTTCTAAGAATTGTTTAGGGTTTAGGTTGTTGGTGAAGGAAAAGAACGATGGCTATTTGTGAAGCCCACTGGGTTTAGTCCAGTGGAAAGCCCATAACTTTTAAAGCCCAGTTCTTGTAGGGAATTTTTTTTGTTTGTTTTTACATGGATTACTACTACACTTTCTTAATTAATTAGTTATTCCGTGTTATTAATTTACAACAATTAAAAATGCAGAAATTTATTTGAAAAGTACATTAATGTTGAAAACCATTTGTATGTATTAATTTATTATAAATTGATGATGTAGTAAAAAAGAAATGAATACTTGTTGAGACAGTTTTGCCTCCCGAAAAGGACCTATCCGGCTCGAATGCGGATTAATCGGAGCAATGATTTCGGACGGCGGGTGTGTAATATACCAAAACTTAAAAAAAGAAATGAAAATGGAGATTGGGAATTTTCAACGCACAATGGCTTCATTTTGAAACTAGCAGCTTAGGCTTTTAAAAGAATTTTTGAGCACAACTTAGACGCACTATCTCCGTCCTATTTTAATAGTACTTCATATCATTGTTAAGCTATTCAGGAAGCACATCCCTAACTATGAACTAAACTTGTGAATAAGATAGTATTTCTTCTGTAACATTTATTTATTTTTTTTAATTCTTTATATTTCTGTAAACATAACACAATACAGACAACTATTATGAGCGAGAGGCTGAAAGAATAATCGAGCATGGGTCAATAAAGCTCATACAATCTCCATTTCTAGACCAATTACAAACCATATAGGCTCTCCATTGGAATGTAGCTTTGGGTATTACCTGGAGGCGTCAGGGTCTGGAATATTATGAATTCATGAAATGTCAATGGTTTAAAAACACATCAAACTAGTACAGGCTACTGTAGCCATGGCGATTCACATTGTTTTTAATTTTTCCGGTGAAATATAATATATATTTTTTTATACTACATTATAATTTTTTGAATTATATTGTAAATATTATGAATTATTCTTTGATGCAGAAGAAGTATCCTTTAGTATCATGCACGATTAACAAACAATTAAGAGCACAACATCTGGTAGTCACGAAAAGCCTAAGGGCATCTCTTCTAAACTCTATATTTGGAGTTAAAACAGAGAAATTTCAATACTTATACAGTTTAAACAGTGTAAACATCTCCAATCCATTCCCTTTATAACATCCCTCTAAAAGGAATATTCTCAGCATATTCTATTATTTATTAATTTTTTGTAAAATTAACTTTTGTTATTTGTATTTTATTATATTCTATTACTAAAATAAATTACATTTAAGAAATTTTATAATTTACGCATATGATTGTTAATTTAAATAATAATTAGTAATATTAATTATTAAATTTAAATTACATAATTTTTATGTTATTACTTAATAGTAATTTTTTCACCATATATTATGTCAATTAAATAAAATTACAAATAGTAAAATAGCAAAAACATTTGGCTCAATGATAATAATAAAACACCATTACTAATATTACATTTAAATTATTAAAAATACATAACAAATACAAGATGAAGGAGAAGTTCAAATTTAAAAATGGATTCAAGTTTGATAATGTTTGGGACACCCTCAAGGATTTTTAGTAATTTCAAGTCTAAATGAAAATTATTCTGAATCCATTAAGAATTTCAAATAATTTATGAATGGTTGATTTTATCAACCGAATTTATCATTATAGTCTTTTTGGTGTTTGGTTTTGTGAGTTTAAATGATGTACTTTATTTTTTCTTATCGTATAATTTAAGTTTATAAATAATCAAAATAATGTATTTGTTTTGATTGTTTGTAGTTTCTTTTTATGTGATTTTATTAATAATAATATGTGTCTTATGATTTTATAATAAATTGATAATGGTTTCTTAGTCCATGTTAAAATACACATACATATATTTACTATTAAGACTTAAGTTCACTCATTAAAATAATAATTATGATTATTAATTTTGAGTTCTACAACTTAAATAATAATTAATAATGAAATAGATATGTAATTAAATTAATTAAGATCTAAACTATTAAAAAGGATTAATAAAAACAGTTCAAAATAAAACAAATTGGCCCAAACAAATCTTCTAGTTTGGCCAAATTTTAATAAAAAAATAAAAAAAAAGGACAAGGTCCACCCGCTTTAGCGGGTGAACAGTCTCCTTCAAGATTGAAGGAGTAGCGGCCCCTTTGAAGGAGCGGGCCTGGGCAGAGCGGACTATGTTAGAGAGCCCGTTCCGCTAAATCCAACGCGTCCGCCCAGTTTAGCGGACGCGTTGGAGATGTCCTAATCCTATTTCCTTGAGTGGATTATCCATGGATAAAGCCCCGCTCGGGATAATTAAACAAAAACCGGGATAAAGTAGTAACTAGTGACAAAATGAAAGTTACACAAATGTAGACCACAGTTTTGTCAGGATTTGGCTCCATCGCTTTTAGTATAATAATTCTCTCCTTCTCACTTTGGTTGCAAAATCAACTACTCCGTATTTAAGTATGATGAAAAGAGCACTATCAAGTATCACTCTATCTAAACAATTTATTTATTTATTTTGATAAAACCAGCACGCAGAGTGCTATATATTAGCAGCATCAAACTGAGGTATTAGCAGGATTACAAGCTGCTTGTCCAGCCAGCACATGTGCCGCATTAACCTGATCTCGAGGCACCTTAACTATTACAAACTATCTAAACAATAAGAACCATTATCTGTTGGTCTAAAGATTCCTCCTGGCTTTTATTGGGACAACATATCATCATAAAAAAGTTGATTTTAGTGAACTAAAAAATTTATGAGCAGTAGCGAAGTGCTTTTGTGGGGGATTTGATTTATATATATATATATATATATATATATATATATATATATTTACCATCTCCAGTTTGATTACCACTATCAGAGTTGTTAAAAAACCAGAACTATCTAACAGCATCGAAACTGTGCCAAACCGATGACTAAACGATATGATTTCTGATTTGCAGCACAAAATCAAATTATAATGAGAATAATTTATTGGAGATAGAGAGGTTAATTTTTTTTTTCTTATGCATATTTGTAGGGTTTTATCATTAATTACATTGACTAATTTCCTCGCTACATTGTAAGTAGTTTGATAGGTGAATCAGATGGTGAAGAGATTTAAAGTTATTTCATGATTATTTTAAATCTATAATTCCGCCTCCCCCCCTCCCCCGGTTTTATTCTCTGCCGCAAACAAAAATAATTCAAATTGTATTCAATAACAAGGAAAAATATAATGTGAATAATTTTTCTCGTACAGCGTAAATATTACAATTATTGGTCTCGAATTGTTAATTTCGAATGTCCTTAGATGATATTTTGTTAGGTGCAAACCTAATTCCACATCAGTAGTGGCTAAACTTCAAACTCAATATATAAACCTAGTGGGTTACTCCCTTTATTACCAATTGATTTTAGAGTGGAACCCTATTTGAGTCTTATATAGTGTACTTGAGGAGTGCAACATATTCTATCACTGGGCAAGGAGGAAGGATCCCTGCAACCTATTTTTTCTCCCAAAACATAACAACTAATGTTACTGTGCCATTAATAAATTTTATTTATATATAAAACATAAAATATATATGGATTAAAAGAAAAAAAAAAACCCCCATAGTTTGCATTTTCCAAGAATGCTTTCATCGCACAGCATGTCGCGTAGTGATTTTAAAAAAATGGGGAAAAAAGTTAAAGTTTCACTTCACGCGGACACATGGAAGACAAAGGCGTTGGAAACAGAAGCAGCATCATTGTAATTTGCTACTCATCTTTCTTCTCACTTCATTTCTAGTGCCCTCTTCTTGACTTCCTTTGCAGCAGCATCTATATTCAGCCACTCCAATCACCTTGGCCTTGAGCCAGAACATTTTCTTTTCTAGTACAGCAGTACTACTCCTTCCATTTTGTTGTTTCATTATTACTCCTGTTGTATGTTGTTGTTCTGCAGTCAATTAGGATCTTCTCCTCAAATAATTTAAGCTTCTGGGGAAGATGTCCTCCTCCGACTCCATCCTTGGGGATATAGTTTCCGCCTTGCGAGGCCTGCAGTTCCTGGGCAAGAGATCTTCTGATTGGGTCCCCTGGGGGATGTCCTCTTCTGTTAATTCTCGTCTGGATGCGCTTCAACCTAAAGCGAAAAACATTAGCCTCTCCATCGGCAAGCTCAGACTTGTCGAAACATTTATTAAATGTTCCACAACCTGGTTGGGCAGTGAAACTGTGATTCTGACAATTGAAGAAAAGAACGCAGTGAGGGAACTAATACTGGTTTCCCTTTTGGAAAGGATTCAAGCCGCCGTTTGCAGTTTCCGAGGTAGCATCAACCGTTCTGTTGATGAATTAAGGCGTGGAGGATCTCCATCCACTCTCCATTACCATGTTGATGAGTTCATAGCTGCCATGGAGTCTTCTTTTGAACAAGAAATGGAGGTTTTGTACGTGATTTTGGCGGAACCGCATCGGCAACCAACATTCATTCAAGTCCGGAACAGGGCTTGCCCTGTTCTGAAGAATCTGGAGGATTTCCTTCTCCTCCAGGTGCCTGGAGTTTACGCTCTCCAAGATTCCGTGCAAGCATTGCTCGAGAGCATGGAATTCTTGAGGAATTTCATGCGTTTCGCCATTCTTCGCGCTGGTGATGATGACGAGCCCCCAGAAGATCTCCTTCATCTGTCCACTCACTTTGGTGCTCTCCCTGTAAAAGCAGAACTTATAGCGTTGCGTTTGTTTTCGCCCGCCACGTATAACTCCAAGACAAGGTTGCCTTCTTTTATTGAGACGACCAAGCGTATGATTTCTGATTTTCAGCGCCAAATGAAACCTGTTGATGACGATGATTCTAAAGTGTGTGAGACTTACATTAGAGCACTGGCAAGCTTGAAGCGTTCTTCCAGAGAAGAGGTACATTTTTCCACTCTCACCCTACATGATGATGTTCCCACAATTATTTTGATGGATTTTATTAGTTCTCTGCTATGTTATCTTTGGGAGATCCTACAATCGGATTCTGTCCTTGTAGTTTCCCTCAAGGATCAGTTGCAAGCCCTGTATGAGGGACTAAGATCCTTGAGAACTTCTCTTAAGGAGCAGCCAAACAAGTTTGTTGATGTCCAAATTAGGGATATTGTTGGACTTGTGATATGCGATTCTGGAGTCGTGATCTTTTCACTTGTTCACAAAGGCACTGAAATTGATCTTGGGATTCCGGATTTGCTAGAGAACATTACGGTGATCCGAAAACAGGTTGAGGAGGGGCAAGTTCCCGTAACAACATCCAAGTTCAACTTTCCCAAGACCAATGTCTTGGGCTTTTTGGATTTTCTTTTAGAAAACTTGCTCAAGGTAACAATTTATGAGGTTGATTCAGATACCCAGAGTTGCATCCAAACACTTGGAGAATATCTTGTCTTCGTAAGATCATTTTTGGGAGTGCTGGCGGAGTTGAAGAGTCAACAAGAGCAACACCTCCAAGCTCTTTATAATCAAACTCTTGAGGTGGCTTATAACATGGAATTTCTCGTTGACCAATTGGTGCTTGGAGATATTCAAGAGTCCTTTTCAGTGTCATTTGCATCCATCAAAGAAGACATCAGGATGATTAAGGATGATGTCATGAAGATTCTCCATAGCACTAGCAGGAGACAACCATTCCAACTCCAGAGAGCCACTTGGACACCAGTACCATCATCATCTCAGCAGACATCAACCACTGCAACAGAAGGGGAAGTTGTAGGTTTTGAAATGGAGACAGCAACTATTATTAATCGGCTCACACGAGGATCAAAGAAGTTGCAGGTTGTTGCCATTGTGGGAATGCCCGGCTCGGGAAAGACAACTTTAGGAAAGAAAGTTTACAATGATCCTTCGGTCATGAGTCATTTCCATGTTCGCGCCTGGTGTTCGATTTCTCAAGTGTTGAACCGTAAGGAAGTCCTACTCACTCTTCTATCTCAAACTCTTGGAAAGCGTCCTGATGGATACCATAAGACGGCAGAAGATGATTTGGTCCAAGAGCTTTGGCGTTCTTTGAAACGACGTAGATTTCTCATATTTTTGGATGATGTATGGGACATTAAATCATTTGATTGTTTGAAAGGGTCATTTCCGGACGATTCCACTGAAAGCAGAATCCTTCTCACCAGTCGACAGTGTGATGCTGCTCCTGAAGCTATGCTCGATGATAAGCCTCATTTTCTTCGTTCACTCGCTACTAATGAATGTTTGGAGTTACTGCGGAGGAAGTTATTCCCCGGGAAAGATTATTGGCCTAAATCTTTACATGAATTTGGAATGGAAATTGCGGAAGCGTGTAAAGGATTACCTCTAACAACTGTCCTTGTAGCTGGTATTTTATCATCCACGAAGCAAGCGTCTTGGAATGAAGTTCTTCAAAGTCTAAGGTCCGGTATCATCTCCAGTACAGAGCAATGCAACAATACGATGGAGCTGAGCTACAGACATTTGCCTGATCATTTGAAACCATGCCTCCTCTTGTTTGGAGCATTTCCAGAAGACCAAGAGGTTTCCGTCAAGAGGTTGATCTGGTATTGGATTGCTGAAGGGTTCGTGCGGGAATCTAAATCAAAGAGCTTAGAAGAGGTTGCAACAGATTACTTGAAGATTTTGATTGGTAGAAGCTTAGTTATGGAGGCCAAAAAAAGCTCCAGAGGAGGTGTCAAGTCTTGCAACACTCATGATTTGCTTCGCGGCTTTTACGTGAAAAAAGCTAAGGAAGAAGATCTGTTTCGAGTGTTAGAAGGGTATGACAAGTTGTTATCTTTCAATGGGCCACGTAACCTGCGAAGGCTATGCATATATTCATCTCAAAGTCATTTTAAGAACTCAAAGCTCTTTTGTCCTCGCCTACGATCACTACTTCTCTTCGACCCAAATCCAGTTAAAGAAAGAATGATTGATGGGTCATTCATTTTTCGTATCTTCAAGCTTCTCAAGGTTTTGGACATAGAGCAAGTTCATCTCAGCTCTAACATTCCAAGCGAAATAGGGGTTTTGGTGCAGTTGAGATATTTGGCAATCCAATGTGCCAGGAATGTCAGCCCAGCTATAGGTAATCTTTCAAACTTAATAACTCTCGTTCTTCGTTCATCAGTAGGTGCATCTATTCAATTGCCACAGACATTCTGGAACTTGCGGAAACTGAGACATCTGTACTTAAGCTCGTCGGTTTGGGGCATTAAGTTGCCAGTTGATAATCTTGGCAGCTCACCTAATTTGTACTACCATGATCAGCTGATCAGTTTATCAGAACTCGAGTGTGAACGATGGAGCATCTTGGAAAATCAATTAAGAAAGTTCCCAAACATCCGTCGACTAAGGTTCACGGTACATATGGACAGGGAAGCCTGCGAGCTCATGACACTTTCATTTCTGAGTCGACTTGAATCGCTCCATATCCAATTTGGGCGTTGTAGTGAGCTTGAGACTGAGTTTGTCTTTCCAGGGAATCTCAAGAAGTTGACTCTGAGTGGATGTGAGTTACCCTGGGAAAAGATTACAACAATTGCACAACTCCCTCATCTTGAGGTACTCAAATTACTAGATGAATCCTTCATCGGGGAAATATGGGACATGGAATATGAAGGGGAATTCTCGAAGCTTAGATACCTGAAGTTGAGCCAATTGGACGTCGCCAATTGGACAGCTTCAGATGACCAGTTTCCGAACCTTCAGAAGTTAGTGCTGGATTACTGCCACAATTTGAAAGAAATTCCTAGTGACTGCTTGCAGAATGTTCCAACTCTTGAAATGATTGAGGTCTTCTATTGTCCTGAACTTGTTGCAAATGTGCTGGACCAAATCCAGGAAACCCAGGCAGTAATGGGTAATTCGGCTTTCAAGGTTCTTGTGCATTATTAACTACATACACTAATTCCACTTAGTAGCATGAAGCTCCTCATCTCTTTCCCTTTGTCTATCAATAGCATTATGTTTTTTTTTTTTTTCTTTTCATATGCTTTGTAGTAATTTGCATTATATATGGTAGTTGTTATGCATCTATTTTTCCTTTTTAGTTTCCGAAGAATATTACTAATATTACATTTCAAGAAAATAGCACAGAATAGTTTCATTATTGCCAGTGGTAAATAGTGCTGAATAGTTGTTATACTAAGGGAAGAGAAGAGATTGCTTCTTGAAGTGATCGAGCTCTCGCGTTTGTGCTGAATGCATCTTCGAATCAAGTCGAACAAGGGTTACTGATTGAACATGGGAAAGTCAGTTCCAAAAGATCCTGGTTAACACATGATAATTAGCTGAATGTCTCCAGTTCATTTTTGTAATGAATGAATGCTTCATTTCATAGGAACAAGAGACTTGTACAAAACCGTTGGAGTTGGTATTTGTTAACCTCATTACAACAAAATTTAATCCCATTATTAGACGAATTAAAAGCAGCCTATTTGTTCTGAGTCACCAAAATAAACATGCGAAATTGATGGGGATAAATAACTGTTTAATTTCTGTCTAAAACTCTCACTTATTGATTGATGGAGCCTTGAGTCAAGCAATTGTTCAGATACTGTTTCATGCGGAAGTTGAGGCTGATGACGAATTGGGAGCTTGTTGAATTTGCACATTACTGTCCTCTGTGGTGTGTACTAATTCTTGAAACCCCTTTGCTAGAATACCAGTCCAACTGATTCCCTTTTCATATGATGGAAGCAAAAGATTACACCAAAAGTAGCTAAATTTTTTTGGTTCTGTTTCAAAAGAGAATTAAGAAATATCCTCATGGTAACCATTCCAGCTGACGAAATTCATAGTATCCGGTAATGGATCGAACAATATGATAGCGAAGTAAAGATTAAAATTACCGGTGACACGCTTCAAGTGAGTGATGGTAAAGAATGGACTCGGAGAGCTGGAGAAATATTCACAACAGTTCGGGACTTCTTTGACCTCTTGTGGTTATCTAATTTTTGGATTCTGCAACATGATACTTTTCTTCCTACAGAAAATAGTATTTATTCATACAAGATTGTAAATGTGAATTATTTTTGCAGCACATATGAATTACTAATTTATACAATATAATTTATACAATATGCCACTAACAAATGGATCGCGGGAAGTAATCCGGGAAAGAACGTTCTTATGTACTTGGATGATTAAACAAAAGAAGAGATTAAGGGATAGTGACAAGAATAATGATACGTATGAGAAAAAATTACAAGGAAAAATGATAAATAAATGATCTTACCCATCCATTTTAAAAATTTTTCATACGGAGTTTAAGTATTTAAAGTTAGGGTCTAATTTATATGTTTGACACATCATTCTTTGTAAATTTTCATTGTCATTTTTTCTCTGTACGTATCACTATGCTAGTAACAAAAATAGGAGTAATGCCTTCATTCTAAAATAATTATCCTTTTAGGATAGAGTTATAAATTACGCTCTATTTTTTATTGGTCTCATTCATAGCCCTCAATCGAAAGTTATCTCAAAGGAACGAAAAAATTTATGGCATGCTGTTAGTCCAAGATTCCTTTAATTGGCACGGTGTAATATTTTAATTGCCCCTACTACCATGTTGAAGGATAAGATTACTAATACGATGTAATTGACTACTCTCTCCATTCACAAATAGATGTCGCTAGAGAGATTTCACAAAGTTTAAGGAGGCAATAATTATCTTGTTAAAATACTATAATACCTTCATTTATTCTTAATTCAATTGTAGTCCCAATAAAATTCACTTCTAATACAATTCTACATTAAACATCACAACAATTTCTAATATAAGGGTGATATTGGAAAAAATTGACAAAATATGCCTCGATTTGTGAGAACGACATCTATTTTGGAATATTTGGGTTTTCCTCCAACGACATCTATTTGTGAATGGAGGGAGTATTTGACATCTCTCTCATTTCAATTTGTCCCATCTGTTTGACCTCCCGCAAATCAATCTGATCAACAGCCAATTTTTCTCTGATGTTGCAACAAAGTCAATGGCTCAGCAAAATATGTACACTGCAGAGAGGTTTTAGCTCAAATTTTTGTTCGTTGATTACGCATCCCGGACGGTTCCCGACTGCCATAACTACAACTGCTGTTTTCGTTGAGTTGTCGGATCCTACTTTGGAGGTATGCTTTTGAATTTACACGAATCTGTTACTATTCTATATGAAGTTTCCTGGTGACCCAATTGAATAGAAATGTATTCAACATCAATTCAAGGAAGAAAAATCAAGGCACAGAGTAACATTTTAAAGATAGAAATGATGGATGAATTGATGATAACATTTGCAGTGTTCATAAGGCTTTACTCTTGAATTGGTTGAATGTTTAGAATTCATGTGTAGTATGATCTTCACTTTGGATTTCTTTTTGAAGTTCCCAGCCTTTCAACTGATTATTGATTTCGTTTGTATTTGCATTTACATATATTTGCCGTTTTTTTTCATCTAGTTGCTCTGCTATTTGGATTTCGAAAAAGCCTGTGATCTGCAGTACTGCAGCTAAAATCAAGATGGCCTCCTCCTCCAACTCCATTATTACTCATATTCATTCTGCCCTGGATGCTCTTCAGCCGCTCCTGTGTTCCGTTGATGATCCTATACTAATAGAGAATATCATGTTACTGATGGGCAAGCTCAGACTTCTCAAGACATTCGTTATCTTTTCAAGAAGGCTGGATCGCGACTTGCATCTGAGGACCGATGAAAACAAGGAGAACATTAATGCGGACAGAAGTTTGGGCTCTCTTTTGGTGAGGATTGAATGTATCCTTTGCAGACACTAAAATGATATCCGCTCTTATTGTCTCAGATTAAAGAATGATGAAAAGCCTGATGATGTCGTGTACAAAGTTATCGCCTTTACACTGGACATGGATTCTTTTGAAGAAGAAATAGAGAAATGGTACATCACTTTGTTAGACTAATTGCAGCAATCAAGTTCTCCAATGACCAATCATGTCAAGGATATTGTTGATTCCACTCTGGAGAATCTAGATGATTTCCTTTCCCACCCTAGAAATGTTACAGGTTTTCTTGTGGAACCAGTAGCATCCTTGAAAGAAAATGTCACATTCTTGAGAACTTTCTTCCGTCTTGTTACTCTTTCAGGTGCTGATGAGCCCCGAGAACTGCAAGAATTGTTGAGTCACATTGAAGCTCTTGCTATGACTGCTGCTCAAATAACAGTACGTCTTTCTTCAACTTTGACTTCCTATGAGTTTAACCTTTCATTAAGATTTTCCTATAATGATGGAACAAATCTTATGATCTCTGCTTTGCTGCACAAAATCAAGTCTATCGATTCTCGTGTAGCCGAGACTTACACTAGGGTGCTTGCAAGCTTAAAGCATTTCATCAGAGAGTCACATATTCCCGCTGTCGACATGTATGGTGATCCCATAATTACCTTCAAGGATTTCGTTGTTTCTCTACTGTGCAATCATTGGGAGATCCTGCAACTGGATACTGTTCCTCTTTTTTCATTGAAGGATCAGTTGCAATCACTGTATGAGGAACTAAGATCCTTAAGGATGGCTCTTGAGTTGAAGCCAAACAAGTTTGTTGATGTCAAAATTAGGAACCTTGTCGGATTTGTGATATGTGATGCTGGAATTGTGGATCTTTTCGCTTTATCAGAAAGATATTGCCATTGATCCTAGGGTTCCAGGTCTGCTAGAAAACATTAAGGAGATTCGGACAGTGGTTGAAGAGCAAGCAGTGGAAAAGGCAAAGTTCAACTTTCCAAAGACCAATCTCTCGGGCTTTTTGGATTTTCTTTTGGAGAATTTACTGCAAGTGAGAAACTGTATGGATGATTCAGATATCCAAAGTTGCATTCAAATTATTGGAGAGCATCTTGTGTTCTTAAGATCATTTGTGGGAATACTGGAGCAGTTACAACAAGAAGATCTTCAAGCTCTTCACAATCTTGCTGTAGAAGTGGCATACAAGATGGAGTTTCTCATTGATCAGTTGGTTCTTGGAGATAGTCAAAATTCTTTTTCAGCTTCATTTGTATCCATCAAAGAGGACATTGGGATCATTAAGACAGATGCCATGAAGATTTTCTGTTGCAGGAGACAACCGTTCCAATTCCAGAAACTAACAAGGACACCACCGTTTCAGGTCGCACCACAAAGGTCCGCGACAGCAGCTGATGAAGTTGTAGGTTTTGTTGTGACGGAAAGGGTATAAACACAACAAATCAGCGAAAACGATTCCCAAGAAAAACTTCTTTCCTACTACCAATAAAATAGGACAATCAACCAAACAAACAAATAATTCAAGAACTGATAAAGTAAAGGAGCCACACGAATTTACATGGAAATCCAAATCGGGAAAAACTACGGGACTGTAACAACAGTCAAATCTCCACTATCACAATAATGGAAAACAATCTTCACCAACCGGTGGATACACAGAACTTCACCCAAAGGTAGATTACAACAATAATACTCTTCCACACACCCCTATCACAAAGTAGGATTAGAAGGATCTTACCAAAAGAGAGCTAAACTGAAAACAAAACCAGAGAATTTGTAGATCTTGTTGAGAGGAACACACATGCAAACTTACACCAATAACTGATTCTGTTTCGTCACCAGATCAAAGTCAGTGAAACACTTTCTTCTCGCAACACAAAAAAACTCCAGAACTAGTTTTTTTCTCTTCTCTTTTCTTTCGCACAAAAATAATGTGCGGCTGCCCCAAATTTGCTTGTCAAATTCCCGGCCAAAAAGTGTGGCCACATTGTTTTTATAAGCAATCAAACCAAAAAACCAAATCCAATTGGTTTTCCTTTTATTCGGTCAAACCAAACCAAATCCAACATGGATTTTGGCTTTAAATCATGCTGGGCTCAATTGAGGGAAAAAATTAGCCGAACAATCTCCTCCTTCACCTCAACTGGGGAGTAAAACCAAACCGGGCTTCCTGTCTGCAAAACAGGAGCTTGTCTCTACTCACAGTCTTCGTCAACATATCGGCAACCTTGTCATCTGTATGGATCTTCTCAAGAAACAACGCATTGGACTCTAACACATCCCGAATCCAATGATATCTCACATCAATATGTTTCGACCGCAAATGAAATGTGGAATTTTTAGCTAAGTAAATAGCGCTCTGGCTATCACAGTAAACCACATACCTCTCTTGCTTTATGTCAAGTTCTTGTAGAAACCTCTGCAACTAAAGTTCTTTCTTACAAGATTCAGTAGTTGCGATAAACTTTGCCTCTGTAGTAGACAAAACAACACAGTTCTACAACCTACTCTATCGTGAAACTGCTCCCCCTCCATAAGTCATCAAGTATCCAGAAGTAGACTTCTGACCATCAAGGTCATCCGCCATGTCAGCATCTGTATATCCATCTAACATGGTCTTCCCATTGCCAAAGCAAAGACTCAATCTGGAAGTACCCCTAAGATACCTGAGAATCCATTTCAGAGCATTCCAATGCTCCTTACCAAGATTGGAGAGAAACCGACTAACAACACCAACTGCATGAGCTATGTCTGGCCTTGTGCAAACCATCGCATACATCAGGCTACTAACTGCCGAAGTATAAGGAACCTTTTTCATCTCTTTCTTATCTTTCTCACTTTTAGGACACTGCGTTTTGCTTAACTTAAAATACCCCGCAAGTGGAGTCGAGACTTCCTTAGCACCGCTCATGTTAAACCTATCAAGAACCTTCTCGATATACTTCTCTTGAGATACCTAAAGCTTCCCATTCTGTCTGTCACGAGAAATCTTCATCCCAAGGATCTGTCTAGTCGGACCCAAATCCTTCATTGCAAAGGACTTATTCAACTCCTTTTTCAACCTGGCAATCTTTGCAGTATCATGACCAACAATCAACATGTCATCGACATAAAGCAAAAGAATTATAAAATCACCATCAGAGAATTTCTTCACAAATACACAGTGATCAGCTGTAGTCCTTTAGTATCCCTGCCCTATCATAAAGGCATCAAACTTCTTGTAGGACTGCTCGGAGCTTACTTCAACCCATACAACCTTTTGTTGAGACGACATACAAGCTTCTCTTTCCCCTTCTCTTGAAACCCATCTTGTTGTCCCATGTAAATCTCTTCTTCCAATCACCATGCAAGAAGGCTGTCTTCACATCAAGCTGTTCAATCTCAAGATTCAAACTGGCCGCTATCCCAAGCACAACTCGGATCGAAGACATCTTTACAACAAGAGAGAATATCTTATCAAAGTCTATGCCCTTTCTCTGATTGAATCCCTTCACAGCTAATCTAGCTTTGTACCTCGGTTGTGAGCTGTTCTCACTTGTCTTCAGTCTGAACACCCATTTATTCGTGAGTGCTCTCTTGCCCTTAGGCAGCTTCACCAGGTCATACGTGTTATTCTCATGCAAGGATTTGATCTCATCTTGCATGACTGCTAACCACTGATCTTTCTGCTTATGACTAAAAACCTCTTCATACGACTCTGGTTCTCCCCCATCAGTAAGAAACAAATACTCATGAGCATTGTACATGGTGGAAGGTTTTTTGTCTCTGGTGGACCTCCTTGGCTGGACAGGAGGTGATGAAACCGGTGGTGTCTCTGTTTCAGAAGTAGGATTATCATTAAACTCACCATTCTGCTCTGTCTCAGCTCCCCCTTCAGGAAAATCATCTGATTGTGGAGGAACTAGATCTAGATCAACAAGAATTTCAGGTGAAGATTTTGGTATCTAGCCTTTTCCCATATCATCAATGGACTGGTCTTCAAAGAAGATCACATCTCTGCTTCTGAAAACTTTCTTCTCTACAGGATCCCAAAGTCTGTACCCAAAATCATCAAGAATATACGCTGCTTGGATTTTCCATCAAGTTTCGACTTTTTGTCTTTGGGAATATGAACAAAGGCACGACAATCAAAAACTCGCAAATGTCCAAATGAGACATCTTTTCCTGTCCACACTCGTTGTGGTAGATCACCATCCAACATAACTGAGAGAGATAGGTTGATCAAATCAACTGCTGTCTGCATGGCTTCACCCCAAAAAGATTTAGGCAGCTTTGCATTCAAGAGCATACACCTAACCTTTTTCGTAATAGTTCTGTTCATTCTTTCTGCCACGCCATTCTATTGCGGAGTCTTCGGAACACTCTTCTGAAGTTTAGTGCCATGGTCTCAGCAATACTTCTGAAACGGACCCCTGTACTCACTACCATTATCTGCTCGAATACACTTCAACTTCTTGCCAGTCTCTCGTTCAACTTTAAGGTGAAAGTCTTTGAATACATCTAATACCCGATCTTTAGATTTCAAAGATAAACACCAAACCTTTCGAGTATAGTCATCAATGAAAGTAACAAAGTACAATGCTCTACCCAACGACCTATCTTTCATGTAACATACATCTATATGAACTAACTCTAGAGGACTGGACTTTCTAGATGGAGGATAATTTTGAAAGGAAATCCTATGTTGTTTACCATAGATACAGTCAACACAAGGTTCTAGAGCAGTACCTTTTACCTCAGGGAGAAATTGCTTCTTACCAAGAATCTAGAGCTCCTTGACACTAATGTGTCCAAGCCTTCTGTGCAAGAGATCAATGGAGGCATTGGGAGTTGCATTCACCTCTCCATTCTTCAACTTTGCATTCAACACATACAAAGAGTTCAACTTCTTTCCTCTAGCAATAACAAGATTCCCTCTGGTAGTTGTCCAACGGCCAACACCTTCAGTGCTATGATAACCCTCATCATCAAGTTTTCCAATGGAAATAAGGTTTAGACGCATATCCGGAACATGTCTGACATTCTTCAAGACAAGAGTACAACCTGTATTTGTTACCAATGATACCTCTCCCATGCCGACAACATCGCACGAGGCTTGATTGCCCATTCTTACACGACCAAAATCTCCAGGTGTATAAGAGGTAAAGAAGTGTCTGTGAGGCGTCACATGATAAGCACCTGAATCACTGAATCAATCACTGTCGTGACTCGCAACATTAATTGTATCATCATCACAATACAAAAATACATCACTGGTAGTTACTACTGCAGTAGTGTCATCATCACTTGATTCATCCTTCTTGCCTTTACCTTTTCTCGCTGCTAGTTCTCTCTTGAGAACCCTGCACTCCCTCTTAAAGTGCCCATTCCCTTGACAATGGTAGCACATGACATCTTTCTTAGATTTAGATCGTCCTCTGGACTTGTCATTCCAATCACGTGTCCCTCTACTTTTACTTCTCCCTCTTCTATCTGACTTTTCTGTCACCAGAGCATACGACTCAAACTCAATACTCTGCTCTTTTCTTTTGACTTCTTCATTCATCAAAGTCTCTTTGACCTGATCTAAGGTCAAGACACCATCCTGGGTTGAATTACTAATTGACAATACCAAAGTATCCCAACTGTCTGGAAGAGAACTAAACAATAACAAAGCCTGCACCTCATCATCCAACTTTAAACCTACATTCACTGCCTCAACAAACCCTGAAACGAACTCAAGTGCTCATTCATGCTATCACCATCTTTGTACCTCAACCTGGTAATCTATTTCAGCGTAGATGACTTATTGATGCCGGACTTCTTCCAATACATATTCTGGATTTTCTCTCAAAGTTCATCAGCTTTTGTTTCTCTTAAAAAGTGATGAAACAAACTTTGATCAATCCACTGTCGAATATTACCAATAGTTTTCCTGTGCATATTAGCTAACTTTTTATCAGTCATATCACTTGGCCTACCTTCATCTCCTAGAACAGGATCAAACAAATCTTTGCAACACAACAAATCTTCCATTCTAGGCTTCCACATATGATAATTAGATGAAGTCAATTTAATCATCGTACCAGTACTCGATGACTCTTCTATTTTATTGGTATAACACCTCAACTACCAAACCTGAGCTCTGATACCACTATTGTGGCAGAAAGGGTATAAACACAACAAACCAGCAAAAATGATTCCCAAGAAAAACTCATTTCCTACTACCAATAAAATTGGACAACCAACCAAACAAGTAAATAATTCAAGAACTGATAATGTAAAGGAGGCACACAAATTTACGTGGAAACCCAAATCGGGAAAAACTATGGGACTGTAACAACAGTCAAATCTCCACTATCACAATAATGGAAAACAGTCTTCACCAACCGGTGGATACACAGGACTTCACCCAAAGGTGGATTACAACAATATTACTCTTCCACACGCCCCTATCACAAAGTAGGACTGGAAGGATCTTACCAAAAGAGAGCTAAACTGAAAACTAAATCGAAGGATTTATAGATCTTGTTGAGAGGAACACACATGCAAACTTGCACCAATAACCGACTCTGTTTCGTCACCCGATCAAAGCCTTAAAGTGAAACACTTTCTTCTCGCAACATAAAAAACCCCAGAACTAAATTTTCTCTTCTCTTTTCTCTCGCACAAAGATAATGTGTGGCTGCCCCAAATTTGCTTGTCAAATTTCACGGTCAAAAAGTCATGGCCACATTGCTTTTATAAGTAATCAAACCAAAAAACCAAATCCAACTGGTTTTCCTTTTATTCGGCCAAACCAAACCAAATTCAACATGGATTTTGGCTTTAAATCATGTTGGGCTCAATTGAGAAGAAATATTGGCCCAACAGGTTTTGAAGCTGAGACAACAGCAATTATCGATCGACTTACAAGAGGATCAAACAAGTTGCAAGTTGTTGCATTATAGGTATGCCCAGCTTAGGAAAGACCACTTTGTGCACCACTTTCATGTTCGTGCATGATTCGATCTCTCAAGTTTTCAACATGAAGGAAGTTGTACTTGCTCTTTTAGCTCAAATGCCAGAAAAGCTTCCCAATGGATACATTGAGATGACTGAAGGTGATTTGGTTCAAGAGCTTTGGCGTTCTTTGAAACAACGTAGGTATCTCATAATTATGGATGATGTATGGGACATCAAAGCATTTATGATATGCTTATATTTTACCTATTTATTATATCCCTAATTTGTAATTTTTGCAAAATATTTTGAGTACAAATATGCTATTTATGTGATTTTATCTTTAATTGTAGGAATTGTACTCGAATGGAGGAATTATTGAAATTTTGGGCTAAAATGAAGATTAAAGTAACTCAAAGGGAGAATTGAAGATTTGATAAATTGACAAGGAAGAAATTGTAGCACTTGAAGAGTTGGAGGAGTTTTAATTTAAATTGACTTGAAAAAAAAATAACTTTCTTATTCCTGAAGAAATAGGATTTGACGAAAGCCTATAAAAAGAGGATTAGAGTTTTATTTTTGGAGGAGGGAGAACTTGACCGAATTTCCACCATCTCCACCCCCTTGTTTTGGCCAAACCCCACGCCTCATCACCTCCTTCTCCTCCCGCCTTTCTCCACGAATCACCAAGTCCCCCCAAACTTCCCACGCACCACCGAACCTTTCTCTTCCTTGCTCACCCTCACTGCACTACCCATCACCTCTATTCATCATCATCATCATCGAAGCCATCATTCTCCACCCAGCCCTTTTTCACGCATCAAATCCCCCAACTCCAAAACCAGCTCCATCTCTTCCGCCTAACACTTCCACGCACACCACTTTAAGCCACCAGCACCATCATCATCTTCACGCATCATCGGAGGGAGGAGGAAGGAATCAACTTCAATCTCAACTTTTGGCCTACTTTTCCCGGGTTTTATTGTTTTATTTATTTTTGAGATGATGTGTAGCTAAATTATTTAATCTAGGTTTTTGGATGTAGCCACCATATTATTTAATTTAATTTAAGTTATGATTGTGACTTTTTTATTAATTAATATTTATTATTCTTGTTTTTCATCCATGTGCATACATGATCAACATTTGCATGCTTTAAGATGCTAGCTGAAGTAGCGATAGTGGAAGGCTAGTATTAGTTTGTAGGAATAATAAACTTAGGTAGTGAGCCATGAGAGTAGGAACATCGCCTTTGCGACTAGTAATTCCAAAGTTCTTAATGTGTTTTTATTAATCCCTATAGTCACGAGAGTAGTCATAGGGTTAATCTAAGTAAAAGGATTATGACACGAGAGTGTATAATTCTTAAATTGGTGAATTTTCGTGAGATTAATGAGAGTCGAAAGTCACATATCTATAAATTAAATTAAACTGAATAGTCGGTTGGTGAACCCTTTGCCCTAGATTTTTCTTTTACTTATTTATGTCTTTAAATAATTACAATTGATAGTTTTAGGTTTAGATTAGTTTAAGTTGATAAATTATTAATCTAAATAATAATAAGAAATAATTTTAACCGGTACTTGGTAACCTTCTCTATGGGATCGACCCTGCCTGCTACTTTACTACTAGTAATTGTATTAAGTAGGTAATTAATATTTGATTAGTGTGACAACGACTTGTCAATTTAATTGCCTGAAAGTATCATTTCCTGATGATTCGCAGGCAAGTAGAATTGTCTTAACAAGTCGACAATATGATGCAGCTCCAGAAGCTCTACTTGATGAGAAGCCTCATTTTCTTCGTCCACTCACCGGCAATGAGAGTTTCCAGTTATTCAGGTGTAAGTTGTTCCCTGGGAAAGACTGGCCGGCATCATTATATGAAGTTGGAAAGCAACTTGTAGAAATTTGTAGAGGATTACCTCTAACAATAGTTGTCATGGCTGGAATTTTATTAACAAGAAATCAAGATGCTTGGAATGAAGTTCTCGAGAATCTAGGTCAGGCATCACCTCCAGTGCAGACCAATGTCGCTATGCGATAGAGCTGAGTTACAGGCATCTACCAGATCATTTGAAGCCATGTCTCTTCTCTTTTGGAGCATTTCCAGAAGACCGAGATGTCTCGGTCAAGAGGTTGATTTGGTATTGGATCGCTGAAGGGTTCGTGCGAAAATCTAAGTCCACGAGCTTAGAAGAGGTTGCAGTAGATTACTTGAAGAATTTGATTGGCAGGAGTTTAGTTATTGAGGCCAACAAGACCTCCAGGGGACATGTCAAAGCCTGTTGGACACATGATTTGATTCATGACTTCTGTTTGCGAAAAGCCAAAGAAGACAATTTTTTTGAACTTTTAAAAAGCTCTGAGGAGCTTTTATGTTTCAATGAGCCAGGCAACCTGAGAAGATTGTGCATACACGCTGAGCCAGAGCAGTTTTTGGAGTCCAAGCTATTTTGTCCTCGTTTGCGTTCACTGATGTTCTTTGATCCAAACCCATGGTATGGACATGAAATCGACGTCTTGTCCATCTTTCGCATCTTCAAGCTTCTTATGGTGTTGGATATATAACATATTTATTCCGGCAATGATTTTCCAAGTGAAATAGGACTTCTGGTCCAGTTGCGATATTTGGCAATGAAAAGTCCTACAAATGTCAGCCCATCCATAGTAACCTTCATAACTTAGAAACTCTCATTCTTCGTCCATTATCAGGTTTTGTTGCATTGCGGGAGACATTCTGGAATCTGCATAAATTGAGACATGTGTGCATAAGCAATTATGGATCACCTTCTTTTGGCATTGAACTTCCTGTTGACAATCTCGACAGCTCCAGTAACTTGTATGAGCTAGACAGTTTATCTAACCTGGGGAGTCAGAATTGGGACAACATGGAGAAGCGATTGAGAAAGTTTCCAAACATTCGCCGACTAAAATGCAGCCTACGAACAAATGAGGATGATCCTGATAATGGTACCGTAAGCCAGCTTATGTCATTGCATTTCTGAGTCGGCTAGAATCACTTCATGTGTCATTTCATGATATAGTGTTGTGGTGAAAAGGGTATAAACACAACAAACCAGCGGAAAAGATTCCCAAGAAAAACTCTTTTTCTCCTACCAATAAAATAGGACAACCAACCAAACAAGCAAATAATTCAAGAACTGATAAAGTAAAGTAGACACACGAATTTACGTGAAAAACTCAAATTGGAAAAAATCACGGAACTGTAACAACAGTCAAATCTCTACTATCACAATTATGAGAAATAAACTTCATCAATTGGTGGATACACAGTATAGAAGCCCATATGATTCCACCTCAAAACCAATTAGCAATGAGGGGAGTAGTCCATAGTCTTATATATTTATCAAGTCTGTCCCATCACCGATGTGGGATACTCAACACTCCCCCGCAAGCCCAACGTATCTTCTTCGTTTAGGCTTGTCTATTTTTTTCAGCCCAGTCACTGCCTCACGTCTCAGCCCTACCAATTCTATCACATCAGGCTTGGAGTCCGACTCTTGGTGGGCTGGCTCTGATACCATATAGAAGCCCATGGGGTTTCACCTCAAAATCAATTGGCAATAAGGGGAGTTGTCCATAGTCTTATATATTGATATCAAGTCTGTCCCATCACCGATGTGGGATACTCAACACACAGGACTTCACCCAAAGGTGGATTACAACAATACTCTTCCACACACACACCTAAACCAAAAAGTAGGATCGAAAGGATCTCACCAAAAGAGAATTAAACCGAAAACTAAACCCTAATTTTCTTTCTTTTTCTCTTTTCTCTCGCACAAAGGAAGTGTGCGACTGCCCTAATTTGCCACTTCTCTCTCGGCTGGAAACACACTTCTAAAAACACAAAGCGACCTTGGTTTTTATAACCCACCGGTCAAGCCAAATCAAAATCAAACCCAAAAGGATTTGTTTCCCCCGGTCAAAACCAAAGCCTAACTAGGCTTGGTTTTAATTCTCCTTTTGTTGACCCAATTGAGGGGAACACCGGGCCTAACATATAGTATCTAACTGCATTGAATTTGATTTCCCGAAGAATCTCAAGAAATTAACTCTGTTTGGATGTGGGTTGCCAAATCCGAGAAACTCAGAAGGATATGGGAAATTCGGGTTTCAGAGTCTTTTTGTGTTCCACCTTCAAAGACAACGAGTATTCTTGGACTTGGTGAAATTAGCTGCGTAAATTTAGCCATCTTTTTTCCTCTTTTGTCTATGAGTTTCATTTGGAGAGAGTGGTTTCAATTAGGGGATGGATTTTTAAAGCCACTCGGTTTAGTACTCCAAGCCACAAAAAGAAAAATTAGACGATTTTGCCCTTGTCATTTGATACAGTAGAGAGAGAAAGAAAATGAGCAATTCAGAGGTAAAAAAATAAAACTTAAACAAAACCGAACCGGGCAAGAAAACCGTCCCGGTTGAACCGGGGACGCGCAACAAACGCGTGTGGCCATTGAACCGGACGCGTTCATTGCGCGTCCCCGGTTCAACCGGGACGCGTGTGTTGCGCGTCCGGTCCAGGTGAAATCAGACCGGACGCGCAACACACGTGTCCCGGTTGAACCGAGGACGCGCAATAAACGCGTCCGGTTCAATGGCCGGACGCGTTACACACGCGTTTCGGTTGAACCGGGGACGCGCAACAAACGCGTCCGGCCATTGAACCGGGATGCGTGTGTTGCGCGTCCGGCCATTGAACCCGGTCCAACCGGACGGGCCGGTTCGGTGTACAATTTTTTTTAAAATTTTTTTATTTTTTTTAATTTTAATTTCATGCATGTTATGTTAATTTATTTGTTAATTTAATTGTTAATTTAATTAGTTATGTTAAGTAATTTAATTAGTTGAATTATATTTTTTTATTGCATGTTATGTTAATTTAATTAAGTAGGAATATTATTATTTTATTTGTTAATTTAATTAGTTATATTAAGTAATTTAATTAGTTGAATTATATTTATTTATTGCATGTTATGTTAATTTAATTTAGTAGGAATATTATTATTTTATTTGTTAATTTAATTAGTTTTGTTAAGTAATGTAATTAGTTGAATTATATTTATTTATTGCATGTCATGTTAATTTAATTAAGTAAGAATATTATTATTTTATTTGTTAATTTAATTAGTTATGTTAAGTAATTTAATTAGTTGAATTTTATTTATCTATTAAGGTTTAATTAATTAGAGATAATATTTATTTAGGGGAGGAATTAAATAATCAAAGAATTTTGTGGAATAAGTATTTAATTAAGTATTAGAAATACAATTAATTAAATCGCTAAATTAATGAATTCTAGCTATTTAGGTAGGTATTGGGAAATTTAATTTAGTAAATAATTAATCTTTTTACTGTAAAGATATGTTTTTTTATTATTTATATAATTGTATATCTTTTTTAAATGATTGGAATGTGTGTTTAATTTAATTTATTATAATACAATTTTTTATTGTGGTAATTTTATATTTAATTTGCAGGATTCTTTCGAATATTTTGGTGGCGATGGTGAAGATTATAATATATTGTTTGCTACAGAAGAGGAATTTTCGGAAAAGGATGATGCTGTTGCTTGCGTGAAAGGCATGGGCATGACAAATGGTATGATAATAAACGTAGTTTCTAGCAAGAGGAAGAATGCTGTTCTGATGAGATGCTGCAAAAGGGGAAAGGTGTCAGTTGATGATGGTGAATACTATCTCACATCAGATTCGAAGACACAAATTACTGGGTGTAAATTTAAGTTATATGTGCACTTAGTTGATGGGAAGTGGCACATTCGGGTGTATCCTGGTGAGTTTGGAATTCATAACCACGAGCTGTTTGACGAAGATCATCCCACGAGGGGCTTTAGCGATGGAGTGAAATAGCTTATACAGGGTATGTCCAAAGATGGGTGCTGACCGTGTCAGATCATGGGTGCAATTGAGAGGATCTTTCCTGATGAAAAAATTAACAGACGGCAAGTGTACAATTTCAGGAAGAAATTGCATAATGAGGGGTTCCTGGTCTTGGGTGACTCGAGTGCCATGGATGTCGCGACGAAGACACTATCGGTGGCCAAGCATCATCGTTACATCATCATGACAGATTGCAATCAGGAGACAGGTGTGCTGACTCCGGGAATCTCCTCCAAGTACTGAGTGTGTCAACAGCAGAATGCTCTACAAAGTATTGGGTAGTCCTGGGTTCTCGGAATGCATCATCAGGGGACATGGGCGAACGAGGAATACTCTGTACGTAGCCAATCTGACGTATACATCTGTCCGGCATGTATGGCTCCTGCAAGTTCCTATACATTATCCACCCACTGTAGATAGTCCTCGGAACTATTCCTTGTTGGCCAGGTCCAAATGGCTCCCACTTTACCTGCAAAATATTATTTAGATTATTTATAAATATAATTTTCAAAAAATAAAATGAAATACAGTCAAATGACGCAATCATGTACCTCTAACTCGGTGAAACGGTCGAGACGCTCCCTAATCTGACAAAGACGATCTGGCACAGATGTCGGCCCCGCAAAAGATAGTGGTATCCAGTCATGTACTCTGGGCCTGTCATTACCCCCACGGGTAACTCGCCCTCCCTGGGGGCAGAAAATCGGGAAATACTCGTATATCCAGGCCTGCAGTAGGGTCAAATAACCACCTAACTGAGTGCACTTTGCCCTAATAGCCATCTCTAACTGACGGTATAAGAACGCAAGCCTAGCAGAGCCCCACGAGTATGAACCCATATTCTCGATCCCAGCCATCAGCTCATGTACAAGTGAAACATTGCACCTCCCACCACTCTTGCCCATGAACAACGTCGAGGCCAACAATACCCACAAGAAAGCAGAGGCCTGGGTATTCTCGTCCGCTTTCTGGAATCGCTCAAGGATGAACCAATCAGAGACACCACCATGACTCCATTTGTAACCATTCACATCCAGGCCAAGTATCCTTGCGCATGTCCCCCCAACACATCTGTCTCGGACGTACCTGACACCAACTCTCCATCAACCCCAATGCCCAAAATATGATAAACATCATGCATCATGATGGTCATCTCCCCAAACAGGAAATGAAATGAGTTGGTGTTCGGCTGCCACCTCTCAACAAATGCACTCACTAAGCCAAGATCAATATCTTCATACGAGGTATGAAGAAGGTGACCCAATCCAGTCCCCCGAATCTTGCCTTTCACTACATCATCCATATCTTTATATCACATCTTCAACTTATTCAGAATCTTTTTACCTTTAAAAATCTTCAATGTGGGTCTATTATATCCATGCCAGAAATGATAAGCAATATGCCCATGGAAGTTAGGAATCACAGTACCATCTATCGGCCCACCAGGTACTTCATCTGTCACTAGCCATATTGTCGGATCAATTTCATCAGAAATTCTCGACTGGCTGCTGTCGCCTGTACCATGAATGAGTAAGCCAAATATTATTTATTATATTTTATACACGTACAACAATTCAATAAATATAAGTGAAAATAATTAATTAAAAATAATTACAACAATTAAATATAGATATTTGGTAACTGATGATGCAATAGCGGTAACTGGACTTGTAGATACTCCAGTGGATCAGGGACCTTGGCTAAGGCCCACGGGATCAATGAGAGGGGGAGGACGTGTAGATACTCCAGCGGAGACGGGACCTCCGCGAGGGGGCACGGGATCAATGTAGGAGGGAGATGCCTGAGCGGGGCGGGAGGGACGAGGCCGACTACCGGTGGATATACCCTGTGGGAATTGACCGGGATGCGGGAAAGAGGGACTATAATGTGGATTGCGCTACTCACCACTCATAGGAGAAGGGATAGGGGTAGGGGGAGAGGGTAAACCGCCAGGACCAGGCCGGGGACAACTGGAGTATCGGGGAGGAGGGTAATTACTAAGATTGTACATAGGCGTATCTCTATGATGCGCACCCATCCTAACACTGTCCTGCACATCATCCTCATCAAACTCATTCTCCTCATCCTCCTCATCCTCATCCTCCTCTTCCAGGTCGTCCTGAGAATACTCGGGTACATAAATCGGCTGACTAGACCGAGTCTGAAACGGTACACCACCCATATTGACCTGAGTCATTTTCATTCGCTTCTTTTTCTCTTTTTCCTCTTTTTTCTTCCGACGACTCATGGTCAGATAACGTGCACGAACCTTACGCTTTCTAGTATCTTCAGTATCACTAGTATCACTATCATCATCGTCATCACAATAAACCTATAAACAAAATTTTATTCATCATCATCATATTTTCATAGTCTAAACAAATAATTATACACATTTCCTAAATCTTAAATAGTTTAATAATTAAGTACACTTTGATTAAACGTACAATTCATATAATAATTAAGTAAACTAAAGTACTTTAATAACCTAAATTAATGAGTAAATCAATCAAACTAATTAGGTAATGAACTAATCTACTATTAATTAAATTATTTTTTCAAATTCAACTAATCTAAATACTATTTAAATTAATTTACTCAATTAAAATGATTAATTTACTAATCTACTAATAATTAAATTAAAAATATAACCTAAATACTTTAATAACTATTTAAATTAATGAGTAAATCAATCAAACTAATTAGGTAATGAACTAATCTACTATTAATTAAATTATTTTTTCAAATTCAACTAATTTACATACTATTTAAATTAATTTACTCAATTAAAATGATTAATTTACTAATCTACTAATAATTAAATTAAAAATATAACCTAAATACTTTAATAACTACTTAAATTAAGTAATTTAATCAATTAAACTAATTAGGTTGTGAACTAATCTACTATTAATTAAATTAGTCTTTTAAACTCAACTAATTTACAAACTAATCAAATTAAATTATTTACACAATTAAACTAAATAACAACCTAATAGAGAACCTCAATCTAAATCACAAACTATTAATTAATAATAACTACTTAATAACCCTAATTACATTAAATTAAACATAATTATACACTAATAATATATTAAACAAATTTAGAAATAAAATTTAAAAAAAAAAACATTCTGGCCGCCGGACGGCCAAAGAAGCCGTCCGGCGGCGCGATCAGGACGCGCAAGAAACGCGTCCCGGTCGCGCTGCCGGACGCCTTCCATGGCCGTCCGTCGGCCACACAAAATAAAAATAAATAAAAAATTTCCACCCGCCGGAGGGGCAAAGAAGCCGTCCGGCGGCACGATCGGGACGCGTTTCTTGCACGTTCCGATCGCGCCGCCGGACGGCTTCTTTGCGCGTTTGGCGGCCATAATGTTTTTTTTTTCCCTACAATTCATAAATTTTTTTTTTTATAAAAAAAACGTACCCGTGATGAGATCGGCTCTTTCCCGATTTGATTCTTCCGTGTTGCCATTAATTTTGGATCAAATTAGACTTCAAATTGGGGTTTAGAAGAGAGTTGCCTTCAAGTTTTCTCTCTTTTTTCCTTTGGTGGAAGTTTGAAATGTGAGGAGCAAAATAGTCCAAAAATATTTACAGTAGCTTTAAGTAGTAAAGATGATGGTTTCAAAAACTAACACCCTTGAATTATTGTTGTTCCCTGTCTTCTGTTCTGCATTCTGCCAGTTCTAGTTTTCTGTTTGAATGTGCATTTCAGATTTGAAGATTAAATAAAAACTGAAACCAATTTTTTTTTTTTATTAAAAAACCTTATTAGTTGTTTCCATGACATTATGAATGATATGATACCTTTCAAAAAACAAAAAATTAAAAAAATGAATGATATGATTAAAATAAAACCAACAAGTAACTTTGAATATGTCTAAGTTGAGATTTGTGCCCACATGACACAGTTTCTTCCGCTTATACGAAACCGCAGTTAATTAATCAAAACAGAGTTGCCCACTAGAAAGTGAATGTCAACTTGGACATATTCTGCGCCGTGACTACTGACTACTCTTGAGAGGCTGGGTGTTTTTTTCATTCTCTTTTATTTCGTAATTTTAGTACAAGAAAATGATTAAAAAGTAGTGACTTTATCGAGTGCATTGAAATAGTTACAAAACATGAATAATAAAAAGATACGAATCTCCGTTTAGAGGAACCACCCCCACAATAGTGTATTTTATTACTGTGAGCATAATGAAGTATGATATAATTATTGTTCAATATTATACTTTTATTCAATTTTTTCGTATATTAATTTACATTATACAACTGTAAAATCATGAATTCACTTTATATATATATATATTTTGACCATAATATATTATTATATTGTGTAAGAATTTCTTACACTATTATAAATTATTACACTCTATACAATAATAATAATAATAATAAATAATGTAATAACATGGTTATTTTAACTTGATGATCGTAGGTAGAAAGAAATAGTATTAGTCATAACTATATTCATTCATTCAACCCGGAACAACTTGCTATTCTTATGTGTCCATTTTTCAACTTCAACGTGAATACTTTACCTCCAAGAAAAAAAAGAAAAAGAAAAAGAAAAAGAAAAAGTCTAATCAATTTCTTCTCCGTCTTCCCACCAAGGGGAGCAGATACCGAACTCTAGAGATGATGAGAGAGTGGAAGATGAAGTAAAAACTATTGGAATCAGCATCGATCGTTGGCTTTGCTTTGGTGCTTCTATTTCTTTGATCACTTCCATAGATCATCCCATTTGCAAAAACGATATAATCATCTAGTCTCAGATTTTACTGGCCTTGGTAAGGATTAATTAATATCCCGAACTTAATTATGTTCTTATAAGAAGCTGATCATGTTGAGGATGATATGAGTTTGGGTTATGCAGCAACTGCCGTTTGGTTTGTTCATGTTGATTTGCTCTGCTATTATTAAGTTTTCTTTTGCTTTACAAACTATGATTTTTGGATTTGGTTGTCTTCTTAATTTGCATTCAACCCGTTTCATTTATGAGTGAATTAATTTTGGATCTGCGGTTCATCTGCACTCTGCAGCTTAAATACTACTATCAAGATGGCCTCCTCCAACTCCATTATTCTGGATTCTATTCAACTTGTGCTGGATGATCTTCAGTTGCTGTTGGGTTCTGTGAAGGACTTCCAAGTAGAACAGAATATCAGGTTGCTGATGGGCAAGTTAAGGAGTCTCAGAACCTTTTTTCTTTGTACCACAAGTTTGGGCAGGGATGCCAATCTGAGAGCTGAAAACACAAATGTATCATCCTCCCTTCTGGTAAGGAGTCTCACAACAGTTATTACATGTTCATCAAGGTTGTGCCGCGGAGAGTCGAACCTCCTCGCAACCTCAGAACTTTTGGTAAGAATTGAACATGTTCTTTGCAGATACCAATCTAGAATGCGGTCCGATTGTCTCACTCTTAGCTTAGAAGGGAATTTCTCCTCCGGTTTTCCCAACGAAGTCAAGAAGTTTCGACGGGAGGTTGAGTCTGTTGAACTAAAAATAGACAAATGCTACTTTACTTTGTCAGAGTCAGTAAGATCACAATCTCATCCAATGATGATGATAACCAGTCAAGTCAATGCTATTTTTGATTCGATTCTGGAGTCTATAGAGTATTTCTTTACGCTCCCTCGGCTTTACATCGAATTTTTTGATCTACCGGTTGAGACAGTGGAAGAGAACATCAAGTTCTTGAGGAATTTCGTCCGTTTTGCTACTCTTTTAGGTGCTGCTGCTGATGATGAATCCGGACTACTCCTGGATTTCGTGACTTACATTGAAGAGCTTGCTATACATGCAGCACATTTAACACTCAGTCTGTTTCCTATTACTAAATCTGAAACGGAATTTATGGTGTTTGCTTTGCTCCTTGTAACCAAACCTGTTGGTCCTCGTGCATATGAGACTTATACTCGAGCCCTGGTGAGCTTGAAGGACTCAGGAGCTTTGAATGTTCCTACTGTCAACATGACCGACGATTCCTTAATCATCGTTGAGGATTTCCTTGTTTCTCTACTGTCTAATCTCTGGGATATGCTACTAATGGATGCTGTTCTTGTGGTTTCCAAGGTTGAGTTGCAAGCAATGTACGAGGGCCTAAGATCCTTGAGAACCATTCTCAAGCAGAAGCCAGACAAGTTTATGTTTGATACCAATGTTAAGGATCTTGTCCGATTTGTGTTATGCGATGCTGGAGTTGTGATCTTTTCGCTGTATCAGAGTGAAATTGTAGTTGACCTTGGTGTTCCAGATTTGCTAAGAAACATTAGATTGATCCGGACAGAGGTTGAGGATCAAGTATCAGAAACATCAATATGCAGATTTCCCAACACCAATGTCTTGGGCTTTCTAGATTTTCTTTTGGAAAATTTGCTGGAAGTTGGAGGAAGCTATGAGGTTGATTCAGTCACCCAAAGTTACATAAAAACATTTGAAGAACATCTTCACTTCTTAAAATCACTATTGAGGAAGTTGCAGAATCAACAAGAGGAACTCCAAGCTCTTTATAATCTTGTTGTGGAGGTGGCATATAAGATAGAGTCTCCCATTGAGCAATTGATGCTTGGAGATATTCAAGGTTCTTTCTCAACCTCCTTTGGATACATCAAAGAAGACATTGAGATGATTAAAACTGTTTCCATAAAGATTCTACATTGCAGGGGACAGCCGATCCAACGCCAGAAGGTCGATTTCACATCATCATCTCAGGTCACATCACAAAGAAGTACCGCAACAGCTGATGAAGTTGTAGGTTTTGAAACTGAAATGACAACGGTTATCGATCGACTGACAAGAGGATCAAGCAAATTGCAGGTTGTTGCCATTGTAGGAATGCCCGGCTCCGGAAAGACGACATTGGCAAAGAAAGTTTACAATGATCCTTCAGTTATGTACCATTTTCATGCCTGTGCATGGTGTTCTATCTCTCAAGTGTTCAACACAAAGGAAGTCGCACTCACTCTTTTAAAGCAAACTCTGGAGAAGCTTCCCAATGGTATTCTTGAGAGGAGTGAAGCTGAGTTGGTCCAAGAGCTATGGCGTTCTTTGAAACGGCGCAGATATCTCATATTTGTGGATGATGTTTGGGATATTCAATCGTTTGATCGCTTGAAAGGATTATTTCCAGATGATTCCTATGGAAGTAGAATACTCCTGACAAGTCGACAATCTGATGTAGCTCCTGAAAACATGCTTGATGAGAAACCTCATACCCTTCGTTCACTCACAACTAATGAGAGTTTAGAGTTACTAAAAATGAAGCTGTTTCCCATGAAACATTGGCCTGCATCATCCTATGAAATTGGAATGCAAATTGCAGAATGCTGTAAAGGATTACCTCTGACAATTGTCCTTGTGGCTGGACTTTTATCAACTACAAAGCAAGAGGCGTGGAATGAAGTTCTTCAAAGCTTACGGTCTGGCACGCTCTCTAGTATGGAGCCGTGCTACAACGCAATAGAGCTAAGCTACAGACATTTACCAGATCATTTGAAACCATGTCTCCTCTCGTTTGGTGCGTTTCTAGAAGACCAAGAGGTTTCTGTCAAGCGGTTGGTTTGGTATTGGACTGCAGAAGGTTTCGTGCAAAAGACTAAGTTAAAGAGCTTAAAAGAGGTTGCAGCAAACTACTTAAAGAATCTGATTGACAGAAGTTTGGTTATAGGGGTGAAGAAAAGCTCCACAGGAGGTGTCAAAACTTGTTGCACACATGATTTGCTTCATGAGTTCTGTTTGAGGAAAGCCAAAGAAGAAAATTTTCTTCAATTGTTAAGAGGCCGCGAGGAGCTCGCATGTTTCAATGAGCCAGGAAACTTGCGAAGACTATGTGTGCACTCCGAGCCAAAGCATTTGAGATCGTCAAAGCTGTTTTGTCCTCGTATACGCTCACTGCATTTGTTTGGTGATCCAACGGCACACTGGGGAGACGTGCTCCTTGACGCGTCGTTCATTTTTCACACGTTCAAGCTTCTGAGAGTGTTGGATATGGATCGAGTGATTCTTCGTTATGGTTGTCCAAGTGAAATAGGAGTTCTAGTCCAACTGAGATATCTAGCAATCCATGGTAGGCGCATCGGCCCATCAATCGGTAACCTATGTAACTTGGAAACACTCATTCTATGTTTAGTAGGCGGAGAGACTGTTACATTGCCTGAGACATTATGGAATCTGCAAAAACTGAAACAGATCTTCTTAACCTTCCGGGGCGGAAATGTTTATGGCATTGATTTTCCGGTACATAATCTTGACAATTGTCCTGATTTGCATGAGCTAGAAACTTTATCTAGTATAACAAGTGACAGTTGGGACATCATGGAAAAGCAATTGAGAAAGTTTCCAAATATCCATCGACTAAGATGCAGGCTCCAGGGATACCGGGATCATCCTAACAATGGTAGCAGGCTTATGATATTTTCATTTCTGAATAAACTAGAATCACTTCATTTGTCATTTCAGAGAAGACATGATTGGTTTAGCTTTGTTTTTCCGGAGAACCTGAAAAAGTTGACTCTCTATGGATGTGAGTTGCCCTGGGAAAAGATTACAATGGTTGCAGAACTACGTCATCTTGAGGTACTGAAATTGCTGAACCAATCCTTTACAGGGAAAACATGGAACATGGAAGAAGGACAATTCACAAAACTGAGGTTCCTAAAGTTGAAATCCCTGGATATCATTAAGTGGGCAGCAGCTTCAGACGAGCAGTTTCCCAACCTTGAGAAGTTGGTGCTGGAAAGTTGTAGCGGTTTGGAAGAGATTCCTATTGACTCCTTGCAATATGTTTCGACTCTTGAAATGATTGAGATTTCATATTGTCCTCATTGTGTTGCAACCGCAGTTGACAAAATTAGAGAAACACAGGTCGAAATGGGAAATTCGGCTTTCAAAGTTCATGTGCGTTCGAGTGGTTACTAAGAAGAAAAGAACCCATCTATTTCCATTTTTCTCTTAATGTTATTATTATTTATTTAAATAATCTTTCAGTGGATACGGGAAGAAAGAAAAAAAAAACATGACTGAATTCTTCTCTTTCGAAGCTCATTTTATCCCTGTTTCTCTCTGATTGTAGTTATTTTTATTTGTTTTTTTTTTCAGCATGTATTGTGCATTAGTAATTCACAGAATAAAAGAGACCTTCTCAGTGAAGTGCTAGTGTAGTTCGTGTGTAATTTGATATACAATCATAATCTCTTGGGAAGTCGAGTAAAATTACTAGATAGTACCTATATTTTAATAAACTGAGAAATATAATTTTTGAATATTGTTTCGCGTTCAAGATTGATTTCATGTGTTATGAAATGATTATCAGGTTTGGATTTTATTTTCAGCGTAAATTGTACCGAAAGTTAAAATCTAAACATAAACAATCATTTTGGGATAGTGGTACATTTTATTTATTGATTGACTGATTTTGCCTTTTTTTTTCATCATTTATAAGGAGCTGTTTGTTTTGAAGGCTAACAAGAGAGAAATATGCTCGCTGGGACCTTTAGCTAGTAAAAATGCAGGAGACCCTTTCTCTAAGAGTTTACCATTGTCAAGAACAGCAATGTTGTGGCAATGTTGGATTGTGGTTAGCCTGTGTGCCACAATCACACTTGTCCTTCCCATTACCACCCTTTCAAGTGCATTTTGTATCTCTTTTTCGGACTCTCTGTCCAATGCGCTGGTGGCTTCATCCAACAACAATATGGCTAGTTTCTTCATTATGGCACGAGCGATGGTGATGCGTTGCTTTTGACCTCCAGAGAGTTGCACCCCTTTATCCCCACATAACGTATCATATCTGTCCTTCAATCCCGATATAAAATCATGAGCTCTTGCTGATTTTGCTGTCTTCAATTACCTTTGATTCATCTAACTCTAGGGGTGCACCATATGTTATATTAATGTTGAGGGTCATGCGGCAAGGGTTGTGAATCCCACATCAGAGGCATGAAGACATGTGAATCACTTAATAAGTAAGGTGGACTTAAGACCCATTAGCTTAAACTTTTGAGTTCAGATGGGTCTTATCTTACTTATTGGGTTACATGTCGGGTTTTCTCTCCCAGATAAATCCGCAACAGTGGTATCAGAGCTCACGTTGGGCTAGTTGGGTGGGTGATTTAGCCCAAATTATCTCGGTTGATCTGACTGAACCCAAGCAGTCAAAGGCCCACTACAAGCAGAAACGTAGGGGTGGGCGGCCCAGTTACTCAGGTAGAGTACAAATTTAGGCTTGTTAAGATAATTTGGAAGCCAGATGTGGAGATTGCCCATGATGGGGGAGAATGTTGAGGGTCATGTGGCAAGGGTTGTGAATTCCACATCGGAGGCATGAGGACATGTGAATCATTTAATAAGTAAGGTGGACTCTGAACCCATTAGCTTGACCTTTTGAGTTCAGATGGGTCTTATCTTACTTATTGGGAAACATTTCGGGTCTTCTCTCTCAGATAAATCCCCAACAGTGGTATCAGAGCCTCGGTTCGGTAGCTGATGTGTTACACCAATAAAATAGAAGAGTCATCGGGTGCTGGTACGATGATTAAATTGACTTCATCCAATTATCATATGTGGAAACCTAGAGTGGAAGACTTGTTGTATTGTAAATATTTGTTTGATCCTGTTCTAGGGGATGAAGGTAGGCCAAGTGATATGACTGATAAAAAGTGTGCTGATATGCACAGGAAGATTGTTGGTAATATTCGACAGTAGATTGATCAAAGTGTGTTTCATCACTTTTCGGGAGAAACAAAAGCTGATGAACTTCGGGAGAAAATCCAGAATATGTACTGGAAGAAGTCCGGCATCAATAAGTCATTTGCGCTGAAGCAGATTATCAGGTTGAGGTAAAAAAGATGGTGCTAGCATGAATGAGCACTTGAGTTCGTTTCAGGGTTTATCGAACTAGACAGTGAATGTTGGTTTAAAGTTGGATGATGAGGTGCAGGCTTTATTATATTTAGTTCTCTTCCAGACAGTTGAGACACTTTGGTAGTGTCAATCAGTAATTCAAGCCGGGATGGTGTCTTGACCTTGGATCAGGTCAAAGAGGCTTTTATGAATGAAGAAGTCAGAAGAAAAGAGCAGAGTATTGAGTCTGAATTGCGGGCTCTGGTGACAAAAAAGTCAGACAGAAGAGGGAGAAGTAAAAGTAGAGGGCCACGTGATCAGAATGACAAGTACAGAGAACGGTCTAAATCCAAGAAAGATGTCGTTTGCTACCATTGTCAAGGGAATGGACACTTTAAGGAGTGCAGGGTTCTCAAGAGGGAACTAGCAGCGAGAAAAGGTAAAGGCAAGAAAAATGAATCAAGTGATGATGACACTATTGCAGTAGTAACTACCAGTGATGTATTTGTGTACTGTGATGATGATACAATTAATGTTACGATTCACGACAGTGATTGGTTCGATGATTCAGGTGCGTCTTATCATGTGACGCCTCACAAACACTTCTTCACCTCTTACACACCTGGTGATTTTGGTCATGTAAGAATGGGCAACCAAGCCTCATGCGAATTTGTCGGCATGGGAGAGATATCATTGGTAACGAATACAGGTTGTACTCTTGTCTTGGAGAATGTCAGACATGTTCCAGATATGCGTCTGAACCTTATTTCTGTTGGCAAACTTGATGATTAGGGTTATCATAGCACTGAAGGTGGTGGCCGTAGGACAATTACCAGAGGGAAACTTGTTATTGTTAGAGGAAAGAAGTTGAACTCTTTGTATGTGTTGAATGCAAAGTTGAAGAATGGAGAGGTGAATGCAACTCACAATGCCTCCATTGATCTCTGGTACAGAAGACTTGGACACATGAGTGTCAAAGGGCTGCAGATTCTTGGTAAGAAGCAATTCCTCCCTGAGGTGAAAGGTATTGCTCTAGAACCTTGTGTTGACTGTATCTATGGTAAACAACAGAGGGTTTTATTTCAAAATTCTCCTCCATCTAGAAAGTCCAGTCCTCCACAATGATGATATGGAAACAACAGAGGGTGATCTTCTTTGAAGACCAGACCATTGATGATATGGAAAAGGGAAAGATGCCAGAATCTTCACTTGAGATTCCTGTTGATCTAGATCCAGTTCCTCCACAATCAAAGGACTCTCCTGAAGGGGGAGCTGAGACAGAGCAGGATGGTAAGTTTGATGATGATCCTGCTACAGAAAAAGAGACACCGCCAGTTTCATCATCTTCTGTTCAGCCTAGGAGGTCCACCAGAAACAAGACACCTTCCACCAAGTACAGTGCTCATGAGTATTTGTTGCTTACTGATGAGGGAGAGCCAGAGTCGTATGAAGAGGTTCTTAGTCATGAGCAGAAAGATGAGTGGTTAGTAGCCATTCAAGAGGAGATCAAAATCCTTGCATGAGAATAACACGTATAACCTGGTGAAGCTGCCTAAGGGCAAGAGAGAACTCAAGAATAAATGGGTGTTCAGACTGAAAACAAGTAAGAATAGCTCACAACGAGGTACAAAGCTAGATTGGTTGTGAGGGGATTCAATAAGAGAAAGGGTGTAAACTTTGATGAGATATTCTCTCTTGTTGTAAAGATGTCTTCGATCCGAGTTGTACTTAGGATATCGGCCAGCTTGAATCTTGAGATTGAACAGCTTGATGTGAAGGCATCCTTCTTACATGGTGATTTGGAAGAGGAGATTTACATGGAGCAACCAGATGGGTTCCAGGAGAAAGAGAAAGAGAAGCTTGTATATCATCTCAACAAAAGCTTGTATGGGTTGAAGCAAGCTTTGAGGCAGTGGTACAAGAAGTTTGATGCCTTTATGATAGGACAGGGATATCAAAGGACTACAGCTGATCACTGTGTGTTTGTGAAGAAATTCTCTTGATGGTAATTTCATTATTCTCTTGCTTTATGTCGATGACATGTTGATTGTTGGTCATGATACTGTAAAGATTGCCAGGTTGAAAAAGGAGTTGAATAAGTCCTTTGCGATGAAGGATTTGAGTTCGGCTAGACAGATCATTGGGATGAAGATTTCTCGTGACAGACAAAATGAGAAACTTTGGGTATCTCAAGAGAAGTATATCGAGAAGGTTCTTGATAGGTTTAACTTGAGTGGTGCTAAGGAAGTCTCAACTCCACTTTCGGGGTATTTTAAGCTAAGTAAAATGCAGTGTCCTGAAAGTGAGAAAGATAAGGAAGAGATGAAAAAGATTCCTTATGCTTCGGCAGTTGGCAGCCTGATGTATGCGATGGCATGCAGTTGGTGTTGTTTAGTCGGTTTCTCTCCAATTCTGGTAAAGAACATTGGAATGCTGTGAAGTGGATTCTCAGGTATCTTAGGGGTACTTCCATATTGAGTCTTTGCTTTGCCAATGGGAAGACCACGTTAGATGGATTTACAGATGCTGACACGGCGGGTGACCTTGATGGTCGGAAGTCTACTTCTGGTTACTTGATGACTTATGGAGGGGGAGCAGTTTTATGGCAGAGTAGGTTACAGAAGTGTGTTGCTTTGTCTACTACAGAGATAGAGTTTATCGCAGTTACTGAATCTTATAAGGAAGCACTTTGGTTGTAGAAGTTTCTACGAGAGCTTGGCATGAAGCAAGAGAGGTATGTGGTATATTGTGATAGCCGGAGCGCTACTCACTTAGCTAAGAATTCCACATTTTTTTCACAGTCGAAACATATTGATGTGAGGTATCATTGGATTCGAGATGTGTTGGAGTCCAAGGTGTTGTCTCTTGAGAAAATCCATACGGATGACAATGGTGCCGATATGTTGACGAAGATTGTGAGTAAGACAAGCTCCTGTTTTGTAGACAGGAAACCGGTTTGGTTTTACCCCCAATTGAGGTGAAGGGGGAGATTGTTGGGCCGGTTTTTTCTCCCCCAATTGGTGGCCCAGCATAACCGAGAAAACCAAAACCCATTTAGTTTTGAGTTTTTGGCCGTGGGAGACAAAACCCACTACACTTAGGTTTTTTTTATGCTTATAAAAGCAAGGTAGCACAACACTTTTGCGTGTGTTTTGCCGAGAGATAGCAAACAAAATAGGCAGCCACGCAACTCCTTTGCGTGAGAAAAAATCAGCCGCGCAAAGCTTTGTGCGCGAGAAACAAAAGAGAAGAAAACTAGGGTTTTGGGATTTTTGGTGTTGCGAGAAGAAAGTTTTTCACTTTGAGATTTTGATCGGGTGATGAAACAATGTTAGTTGTTGGTGCAAGTTTGCATGTGTATTCCTCTCAACAAGATCTACAATTTTTCCGGTTCAGTATTCAGTTTAGATCTTTTTGGTGAGATCCTTCCAATCCTATTTTGTGATAGGTGTTGTGGAAGAGTATTGTTGTAATCCACCTTTAGTTGAAGTCATGTGTATCAATCGGTTGGTGAAGACTGTTTTTCCAGTGGAGAATTTGACTGTTGTTATAGTCCCGTGATTTTCTCGATTTGGGTTTTCTACGAATCTGTGTGTCTACTTTACTTTATCAGTTCTTTGATTGTTTGCTTGTTTGGTCGTAGGAAAGGAGTTTTTCCTGAGGTTCGTTTCCACTGGTTTATTGTGTTCATGCCTTTTCCGCCACAATAGTGGTATCAGAGCCCAGGTTGAGCCAGTTGGGTGGGTGATTTAGCCCAAATTATCTCGGTTGATCTAACTGAACTCAAGCAGTCAAAGGCCCACTACAAGCGAAAACGTAAGGATGGGTAGCCCAGTTACTCAGGTGGAGTACAGATTTGGGCTTGTTAAGATAATTTGGAAGCCCGATGTGGAGGTTGCCCATGACGGGGAGAATGTTGAGGGTCATGTGGCAAGGGTTGTGAATCCCACATCGGAGGCATGAGGCCATGTGAATCACTTAATAAGTAAGGTGGACTCAGGACCCATTAGCTTGAGCTTTTGAGTTCAAATGGGTCTTATCTTACTTATTGGGCTACATGTCGGGTTTTCTCTCTCAGATAAATCCCTAACAATTTTCGTGTATGGTACCCGAAAACAGTGCTGGCTCCTAGCTTACAAGAGCAATGTTTTTTCTTAATGCTCTCAAATCATAAGATTTCAGGTCTCTACCGTCTATTTTCACCGAGCCTTTTACAGGATCATAGTACCTCTCAATCAAGCTGATCACGGTAGATTTTCCTGACCCACTTTGCCCCACTATTGTTGTGGATTATCCTGCCTCAATTTGGAGTGAAAGTTGTGTAAAGATCATGACATTGGGTCGGGAAGGGTATGCAAAATCAACATCAACTAGTTCAATATGACCATGTATCTTATCGGGTTTGTAAGCTTGAGAATCTTCGGGTTCAATTAAAGAGCATTGGTCTAGGATTGCAAACAATGTGCATGGTATAATTTTCGCAAATTAACTGATCGCATGAAAGTTTTTTATGTCTTGAATCATAGAGTCTTCTAAATAAACAAAATTACTAAAACGAAATAAATGATTTTTCTTTTTGTAAAGAAAAGGAAAAAAAAAAGGAAGAAGAAGAAAGAAATACTTATAATTATTATAATGGAACAGAGAGAAGAAATAGATTGAGGGAACCTTCTCACCGATAAACTCTTGAATGATGAGACTATCAGTGGAAACACTAGCAATGAGCTCGGTGGTGTTGTTAACTTGTAGGTCAAAGTAGCCAATTTCTTGCCTAAGTGCTGCCTTCAAATATGTTGTTCTTAATGCAGATGCTTGCCTTTCCGCTGTTCTCGTCCAGCAATATCCCTCTGACACATCATTATATATATTAAAGGAAAGAAAGATAATCGACACGTGTCGCTAATTGAAATCATCAAGTCTCACTTTCAACTTATTATCATTTTAGCCCTTAAAGTTCTATTTATATGGTACTTAGTCTTCAAATTTATCGATTTTACATTTTCAAGGACGATTAATTGTGTCGAATCTCCAAAGTCCACTTGCCTATAAATAAGCCATAGACATCTAGGCATAATTTACGTATTTTTTAAATATATTTTTTAATCTAAACATAACATTAGTTAATGGTGACAATTTTTATTATACAACTTTTCAAAATTTTTGTTGTAATATTTTTGGCCAGATCTTACAAATATACATCTCATAAATAATATCAATACCTCTCATTTTGATCTAAAATTGATTAATCAAAAAAATATTATGGTTTTAAGAAATATTAGTAATTACATTATCTAATTAATGATTAATATTTTTGATTAACATTATCTAATATTTCTTAAAATCATAATATTTTTTTGATTAATCAATTTTAGATCAAAATGAGAGGTATTGATATTATTTATGAGATGTATATTTGTAAAATCTGGCCAAAAATATTACAACAAAAATTTTGAAAAGTTGTATAATAAAAACTGTCACCATTAACTAATGTTATGTTTAGATTAAAAAATATATTTAAAAAATACGTGAATTATGCCTAGATGCCTATGGCTTATTTATAGGCAAGTGGACTTTGGAGATTCGACACAATTAATCGTCCTTGAAAATGTAAAATCGATAAATTTGAAGACTAAGTAGCACATAAATAGAACTTTAAGGGCTAAAATGATAATAAGTTGAAAGTGAGACTTGATGGTTTCAATTAGGGACACGTGTCGATTATCTTTCTATCCTTTAATATATATAACTAGGTGTTAGACCCGTCCGATGGACGGGGAAGACATACACATTTAGACATTTTTACATAAATTTTGTATTTTTATAAAATATGTAATGACTTCAGTTTTAAACATGATTGCCTCTGGATTTACAAGAATTTATTTTTTTAAATGACATTTTAAATTCACTGGTGATAAGGTTTATGCAGATCTCTTTAAAATTTGTTAGGAGTTGGTACTCTCTCCAATCAATCTCTGTGTTAGGATTTGGTTCATGAAAATATGGGTTTGGTTTTTATTATTTTGCTTTTTTTAAAAAAATTATTTTAGTTGCTTTTTTTTTTGTTTTATTATTTTTTTGTGCATTTTTAAGTCTAAGAAATTAAGAAAATGCTACATAAGATTAAATCCTATGTGACATGTGTTCCATGTCTTTAGTTTTCTTTCTCTGGTTTTTACCTTAATATAGTATATAGAAGATTTGGCTTTTGGGAATAAATCAATTATGCAACTCATAGACGACATCTACGAATTGTTTCATTTTTGAGACAGTACTAGAGCAAGAAACAATACTTAAAAGTTATTCTGACATCCTTCCGACTGGAGTTGATTGTGCGGTTTGAGTGAACCAAAATAACAATAATAATAATAAATAAATAAATCAGGATTGTTGAATTTTGTTTTATGGCTCATGAGATGTGAAGTTGAAAGCGAAGAAAGAAGCAAGAGAGAAAAAAAAAAAAAAAAAAGGTAGAAAGAAGTTATCAGATGCGTGCAACCGGTCACCACTCATAATCTAAATGATTCAGTGTGTTAACGAGTTTGTTTGCTCAGTGTTACTTATATTTAATCCTACGGTGATAGTTCATTTTTTTTATCCAACGATTATGTTAATTGATTGAACGGTTCAGTTGATTGGATTATAGTCATTTCCATATATAATATAATATATATATATATATATATATTATATACAGCTACCTTCACGATTGGAAGGTTTCATTGTCAAATACATTTTGGAATCTACAAAAACTGCGGGACTCATAAGTTAATCAAAATGATTAAATCCGAACCAAAAATTTAATAAACTCTTTTAGACTATGGTTAAATATTTCAATCAGATTAAAATCTTGTAAACAATGAAATGTTTTGTTAACATTTCTGTGCAGTTGCGTACATACCATTTTGAAGGATAAAGTATCCTTGTAACAAAATTCCTTGGAGTGTATAGTGTATACCGTGACTTATCTCTATGTGAATTGACGAGAGATTTTGACACACGATTAAAACATTTAAACTAATCAGAACTGTGTTGTTTCTGTCAGTCACATCACCATTTAAGCCTCTGACCCAAACTAATCGTTGTCCCTGTGCCCAGATGTTAGCTCAATGGCATACATTAAAACCTTCCAAAATGTAGTTTTGTTTGTTTTCTGGATGGCCTCTTAATCCCATATGGTTCTAATCTTTTTTTTTTTGTTGACCAAGTAAAGAACATTGTAGCAATCAGTCCCCCACAGCACCCAAGTGGGTTCAAAATCCCCTCTGGACTTGATGCTAATTGATCCCCTACCAAAGTGTGCTCACTGAAGAGAGCAGATCATTTTTGACTAGTATTTGGTTTTTAAAACCCTCCCAAGAATCTCCAGCTGTGTCCATCCCATTTTATTGGCCATAGTTGCACTGAATCACGCAACCACCTTTACAGAATGTCTCCTTCATGGTATACTCTTTTTCAAATTTTCGACTTTTCATCATTTGTGCATTATTATTCCCTCCGTCCCACATGAATAGTTCACGATATATAAGCATTATCAAAATATTGCCAAGGGTTGGGAGAAAAGAACAACCATTATGGTAAAAAGAGGAAATGTACTAATCATGAGGATTGCTTGCCATGTACACATTTTTGCCAGAAACCCTGCCTTATTACTACAACAACGATTATACGCTCTTCAGAATACTACTGCTTTTGAGATTCACTATTTGCCTATCGTCACTATACAAAACAACTTTTTATCGTATGTTTTACTTACAGAATTGAATGTGGTATAGAAAACTATAGGATGAGACCATACAAACATTGACCTTGATCCGGTTGAGAAGCTTCAGGATGAGTGTATTGTGGAATGGTGCTTCTAACTTTCTGGTATAGGTGCTAGCAGTTCCTGAAAAGCCCCATATCAGCATAAACATTAGTTGCTGCCATAATACAAGTGCACAAAAACAGTATAGAATCAAAGAACCAAAATCAGTTTAATGTAGAGACATAGTTCACCTCAGAATATCTAAGATGATGGTGATGCACCTTTGTTGCCTTAACAATTGTTTCCCACTTGGGATCACCAGAGTGTGGCTTGGGAGCCTGATTTCCTAGATGCATTCCAGTCCCAAAATGAGAATTCCTAGAAGCATTCTTTGACGACATTGAAGGCAAAGTGCGACACAGCCAGGAGTCAGATGGAGAGTTTGGCAAGGGCGGGGGAACAGGAAACTCGGCGTTAATTCCATGATAATTTTGCTGCTTTTCAGGTATTGGATTCTTTTTCAAACTTTGAGTTGCTTTCTCAACAGGCACTAGTAAAATTTCAGAATTGGCTGCATCTTGGTAGAGGTCCTCATCATCTCCAAAAGCTTTTGCTGCATTATTTTCAGTCATTCGAGTAGTTTTACTGGCCAGTGGGGGGACACTAAAATTGTGGGTTTTATGGAAATCGGTCTTTGATACATCTCTCCTAGAAACATTGTTCGACGTTTTGATAAGGGAAGGATCTTCTGGGAGATTTGTTTCTGCCATCTTTGTAGAAGCTTTACTAACATCTTCTCCAAGGTTTGTTAGCTCACATGTGTTCTGTTCCACAGACGTCCCTTTATGCACAGTATCGACATACAGAGTTTTCTCAACCGCAGGACTCCCTGAATCTAGTTCCTCCGAGATTCTGTCATCAGCCAATAAATCCCTAAAGCTTTTGTACCCCTTACTATGGAGGCTTAAGCCATTATTCCTGACGTCCTTTATTTCAGAAGAAATGGCCGGGGAAACAGTTTGTCCAATAGAAGCAGCTAATTTGTTTGGGTGGTCTGACTGTTCATATGGCGATGATCCATCAAGTTTCTGAGACTTGGAAGAAATTTCAATAGAAGGATTTGCCACATCACACTTGTCTTCAAATAACTCAGTTGTTTGAGATCCATCAATCGATCTCTGCTCGCTAGCATCAAAACTCGAAAGCTGTAAATACAAAAGAAACTTTTGAGTCCAAAAAAATAAAACACTAATCCAGAACAATGTAGTGAAATATTTTTCCATGAATATTATACTCAAAACTGTTTCTTTAGCCTCTTCTTCGTATGGTTTTCACTCTTAAGTTTGAATTTCACAAATACAAGAATTACCTCATTATCAGTCTTGCTGCATGTACTAGCTGAAGAAGATCTAGCCTGCACCCTTCTAACAGACATGGGTGCCCTCCTAGTCCTCACACTCATCCCAGGTAGAGGGTTTAAAAGGCACATTGAACTCTTCAAACAGAATTTGGGAAGCAAGCCACATGCATTGCCGTGAAAGTTCTCACTCTCATTATATTCATCATCACTTTCTTCTTCGGCTGTGTATTGTGATTCAGCATAATGTCTTGCAAAACTAGGCCCATACCTAAGTTGCGGCTGATTGTCTCCCTTTACTACCTTTAGTTGTCTCGGGATGTCCTCAACCTGAACCATCGGTTGCTTCTTGGGAGGAGCATATTGAGGTGTTTCTGAAATCATTGCTTTAGCTGCAGGAAGAAAACGACCTATCATGAATTCCTTAGCTTGAGGATCTGTAGAGAAAGTATCAGGCGGCTTTACGTCTGGGTAATCCAATCCACTTATCCCGCTCACGCTGCAATTCAAGAAGAATGATTCAGTCCTTGAAAGCGAATCGAGGGCATCCTCATATACTTCATCATCATCCCCTGATTCACTTTTCCCCTCTTCTGCCTGTTCCTTGATGTCCTGAGCAGATTCAGTTTCTCTAACATGTTCATCCAAATGGGTGACATTCTGCGAGCATTTAGGACTCTTGTCTTGACTTTTTTGGAAAAGTGCATTTGCCGAGACATGGTCATTGCTTTGCTGATTGATCAAAACCCTCCCAGGAGGAAGCTTGGGGGCAGCTGGAGGTTCTTCAAAAGTTCCAGTAGTCCTCTCATCCTTGGGTCTTCCAGGGCTCCGTTCCCATTGAAATGGCACCGTACCTGGGTTACTCACGGGACCTGATTTTAGTTCAGATTTATAGGCAGGAGGCCGAGGGATACTTGGGACAGAACTTCTATTGCTCCTTCTATCATCTTTTTCCATGACAACAGTCGATGAATGGCGTCTCACTGATAGCAGTGGTCGACCAAAGTTCAGTTGCTTGTTATCCATATTTTCCAGCAACATCAGATCACAGAATCACTGCAAAAATTATGATCCGATCACTACTTTGCTAGATATGGATGTCAACATTAATCTTACAGTATCTGACAATTAAAAAGTCTCACAGCTTGAAGGATTACAAAATCCAACAATACAAGTCATAAGATTAACAACACTGAGAAAAGCATTCAATGATCGATCATTGACAACATCCATTTCAAGTTCTTGTTCGAGAAATAACTAAAACACATCATGTACTAAATTCAACCTAAGCCCACTTCTATAATAGTATCAATAACTTGACAACAGCAACTGATTATAGTTTTTGAAGAACCAGACAACTTCCAAAGAACAAAGGCCTGATTTACTACTAGACAACTAGAAATCCCCAGGAAAAACTACCAAGAAAATCGGTTACAAGCAACCCTGATTCAACATTCTGTCAACCCAGCAACCCCTTTGACATGCAAACACATCAACCCAATTTCTACAAGAATTCAACACATCCATTCCTGTCGGTTGGAAGTCTCAAATTCAGGCCAAGGCATAATTTCAACCAAATATCAATAAAACTTGAGCTTTTCATCTCATATTCCACAAATTTAAACAAACCCACAAAACCCAAATCTCGGCAGAAGCAAAATCATGAACAAACTCAAGAAACAACACAGAGCCACACTGTTGAAAAGAAGAAAGAAAAAGAAATCTTGGGTTCAGAAGTACGCATTGTTTAAAGAAGAATACCTTTCATAAATGGACAATCTTGATTCTTGAACTATTCTGAAACTGCTGATATTTTGGGGTTGAAAGAATGATTAGGCAGGAAGCACCGTACCATATATGATGAAAGCAGTTAAAAAAAAAAAAACAGAACCGCAAAGAATTCACAAGAGACACGGGAGATTGCAACTTGAAAGGGAAACAAGAAGGGAAGCGGTGAGAATAACTCCAAAATTTTTGCAGACTCAATATGCTCTGTTTTTCTTGGACTTTTCTGGGTTTTCCTCTAGTTTATGACTCACCTCTGCCATTCCTATTCTGAAGAAGAAAGATGCAATTTTTTAATATCTGAGCAATGAATGAATTGACTCTCAACTGTAATCTGCAATGGGTTTTAGGCTTTCCAAAGTGTGTGAACTAATGAATTTGTTACAGGCTTTCATCAGTTTCATTATTATTATTATGGGAAATTGGGATGAGGGGAATCAAGATACTTAACTCTTTTCTTTTTTTTTAGTCCAATTTTAATTTCAAATTGTTTAATCTAATAAACTTTTGGGTTACCTGTTTTGGATCATGTGATAGACATTTTATTTAATACAGACTGGGGTCCTCATTCAAAGTCATAATAAGCCATACACATGCAAGAGGGGCAAGCAAATGCAAAGCATTGAAGGTGTAAAATCTGGGAGAATGGAATTTTGCTGACTTGCATTCAAGTTGCCACACTTTGAATATCTTTTGGTTTTTAGTTTTAGACTTTTTACACTTCTAATCATTCGTTTGGTGGTGTCTCTGATGTGTTTGATCAATTCAAATCTGTTGGTAAAAAGTTCAGATCCATTACGATTTTGATTCCATCACCAGTTTTGCTAAGAACATAACTAGGCATGTGTATTTTTTTTTTTAATAATGGTTTGGTAGCTCAATTTTATTTTAAGTTAGAAAAAATAATTTGCATGTACATACAATTTAGCTGGCATTTATTTATTTTTTCTTTCCTCATAAAATATCTAGGGAAAAAAACCTACACGGTAGTTATTAAATTTGCGAGTCTAATTATAACACGATGTTCATTAGTAATAATGTTAAGCAATTATAAATGAATTGATTGTGTTATTGTATATTGACTAATTGTATTTGATGGTTCAATCTCACTATAAATTATAAATTATAAATTATAAATTCTTACTCGAATATTGTGTAAGGTTTGTATCAGATTCTTTTGTCGTGACAACTATTATTACTCCACAACGCACTTAAAAGGAAAAGTTGAGAACAAATGAAATGAAAGATTACTCTAATAATCTTTTTTTGTGTGGATGGGAGTATTTGTGGTGTTTTTCTTAAAGCTAATTATTAAAAGTATCCTTTATGTGATCTTTGCTTTCTCTTATTGTATACGTGCCATTAATTAAAAGGTTGAGAATGAAGAACTTTATTGCAAGGACACATCATCTTGGCTACATTATTATAGCATCTTTTTTCCCCCTTTTTCTTGATTTTGATTCATTATTGTTAGATATCATATCTGATAGTAATTCATAACTAAATTCCAAATTTTCAAATTGCAATGATTAAGTTAGAATATGGCTATTAGTTAATTTAATAGTGTCATAATCATCACAATTTAGGTTGATTTTGACGTCATTTATTGTCCTAATTATTCCAATGATTTGAGAGGAAAGTAATAATATAAATACACGACACCGTGGGGTATTGTAGATGGTTGGCAGCCAGTCTCCTTCCCGTTTGTTTTTCTTTTCTTCATTGCAATTTCCAGAAGATAAGAGCTTTTTTGGCCAACATCATTTTGTTTTAGGTTTTTTTTTTTATTTCGGTTTGAAATATGATTTAAAATGTGATTTGAGATAAAATTAAAAAAGTTGTTTGAGTAATATTTTGAATGAAATAATAATATTTTTAGACTATTACCGGACCACCTCTGCCGGTATAGACCACTACCTGACCACCTCTACCGGTAGAGGTGGTCCAATGTTTGTGGACGAAAATTGTATAAAAATAATATTTAAAATAAATTTTAAAAAGTAAATTTAAAATTTGTTTGGATAATATTGGTATTTATGTTTGAGAGGTGTTTTAAGAGGTAAAATGAGACAAAAAAGTAAAACAAATGGTGTCCAAACAAGAATCCCATTTCGTGAGAATTTCATCAATCTATATGTGCTAAATTGCCAAAATAATTGTCCGAAAATAATGGTCTCAGATACAACAAAGAAGATAATTATTTTTTGACCGAGTAGAAATACTCTTTTTGACAAAATGAAACTTGTGGGCAAGTAGGAGGCAATTAATGCAATGATACCATATGACATGGGATACAGTAATTTGGTTTTTTTTTTTTTTTTGGTTTTACTCATAAAAAAAATGAGAAAATGATAAAATAAACTAGGTAATTATTCTTGGAACAAAGGGAAGGGAGTACTCCTTTGCCAGAGGCCCAGGCACTAGAGTTTCCATATAAAAGTCAGGTATCAAAGTTTATCCACAATTCCACATCTTCCAATTGCAAATGTTCAAGTCATCCATTTCCAAGAAGTTAATCTTCAAAGCAAAGGAACTGCATAAATTCATCAATAGGAAACAGAAGAAAAGGCTTATATTACACTTCAGCTCCAAGAAAAAAAAAGAAGACAGAAGGTATCCTACAGCAGATACCTCTGACAGGCTTTAGCTTCACATCACAACAGTTTCAGGATGATCACCAATTCACTACTACCTACTCAAATGAGGCAATCTATTTATAAACACTAGGGCATTTGTCTTCGGGGTAATCATCTCAGATGACTGAATACCATACCATACATCTAACTGTACAAAGATTCAGAAAATCAAGCTAATATTTCAACAAGCAGCTGAAAAAGGTTCGTTGCAGCCCCGAATTAACATTCCTAGCAATTTAAAGCATCAACTATCGACATTGACAACTGCGATAAATATGCCAAAAATTTCATGAAATTTAAGACAAAATAGATGAGAGATGAAACATTCAAGAACTCCTAAATATGACATTGACGAGTGAAATTAAGATCCTGAAAATTTTCCAAAATTCAAGACAAAAGAACATGAGGGTTAAAACATTCAAGAGGTCCCAAATATTCTCCAAATTCAGAGCCAAACAGCACAACCGATGAAATGTATACGCATCATTCTGTCTCACCCTTGAAAGTGTAATAAGAATTTTCATTCGCTGAAAGACACCTGAAGTGCACTCAGTTAACTTCTAACTCAGATATTGCATGTTAAAATCTCTAAGCCCGAAAATGTTAGCTTCCTTACTTTGAAAAAACATAAGACAATCCAGAACTACACTGCTCGTCCACTCTGAAATACAAGCTGAACAGGTTCACTGAATCACAGATAAGATCCCTCAATTTAGCTCCAGAACCAAGCCGATTCCTTCCATCCATATAACATCATGTTGGTAGATTGATGTTCAATGAGAATCAAAATTATTGTCTATAGAATCAACAAATTAGACGAGATTGTGCAGAGAAAAATTCACAAAGAAAGCAAAGAAAAAATTCACGTCTTCTCAACTCCAGTATCTAATGTTGGAATTCTCCACCAATAATTGGATTTGACTGGTCAGTAAATGTACCTTTTGAGTAGGTAGGATTATAGAGAAAAGAGATGATCATCTTGAGCCATCAATTTCTAAAACCATGCACCTGTTTCACAATAATACTAGTAGATAACGCTGAAACATCATCCCAAAGTAAAAAAACAAACAAAAGAATTCCCTGACAGTTTCAAAAACAAAAAATGAAAAAGGAAAATAAAAAGAAAAAAAGACTAATTGATTTTGCTCTTCATACACAATCTGCATTGTCTAGGTGTATAATTCCATAACCAACGCATTCCTTCTAACCAATGCTCACCCCTAAGCCTGAATTGTCACAGAACCGATGTGCATAAATCATCACGAAAGGAAAAATTAGAATACAAATATGTGCGCAACACCACAAATGGAAATCATATCCATTTCCTTTGCTTGATCTAGGACTTGCCATCAATTAAGTATTTGGTATGCATACGATAAAATTCCATTTGCACCTTCTCTATGTGTCAAAAGCCACAGTGAATTGTGAAAATGAACAGAAACAAACAGTGCATCGCTGTCGCGTAATAATAAACATGGTGAGTGTAAGATATTCAAAAGAAAATAATACAAACAGCTGCCATAGCATTAGTAATTCACAGCATTCTCAATGTCTACCTTTTAATGGTGCCCAACAATAAAGTAGTAACAGCGAAACTGGCAGCAAGCAAGTTGCAGTCCTCCGTACCAGGTGTCGAACCAGGATTTGGAGATATTCATCTGCTTATTCCTCTGCCGAAGGAAAATATTCATAGTAGTGGTCTGGAAAACCTGCATCAGAGCATGACATAACAGGAATGATACTGCAAACAAGAAGCTTTGGGTAGAGGAAAGAAAAGGACAAACACTTCAGCGAAAATACTAAAGGTACCTACTTTGTTTCGAACTGCATTGAAGCCTTTTAAGGCAAGAGAGATGGTGAATCATGCCCAGAAATGAAAATCCAAAATAGATTCTGAACTTATTCCACCATAACTTAATAAACCAGGAACAGAAGTTTCTTTCTTAAATGAATTTACATCATAGTGTCAACTCCCCCACAGGCAAGCAGGAAGAAGTGAAATAGTGATCTGAACAGACTATTCCAGTTCCATTAAGTGTAAATCCCACTTCTAAGGAAACCGCATGAACATTACCAATAGTCCATGCAAGAACAGGAGCCATTTTTGAAATGGTGAAACCGATGTCGATCCCTAACCACAATTTCGCGATTGAAAGCTCTAGAAGTCAGTTTAGCAGCCTCATGACAATCACTACAAATCCTTAAGTTTTTCATTATTCTTATTGGCATTGGTGAAATAATCGCAATGAGACCAAAGGCAATAGCAAGCTTCTCACTGTGTCTAAAAAGAGAGCTTTCCTTCTCCTCCTCATCAATGTCAAAGAAAACCTCCTCAGAACTTGGCACATAACCTAGCACCTTCAGTCGTTTGGACATTTCATCTAACATTAGTTCAATATCTTCTATTTGAGGGTGAGACTTATCTCCTGCAAGGAATTCATGAACAGCCCCATTGGCCTCGATCAAACTACAGCCAGGCGTCTTCACTAACCCCTGCTGCATCATAGTCCCTCTGATTTCCACAACATCATTCCAATTGCCTTTCGAAGCATATATATTGGACAATAATACATGAAACCCATCATGGTCGGGTTGGAGCTCAATGAGTTTCCTCCCCACCCTCTGCCCTATTTCATTGTCACCATATTTTTTGCAAGCACCAAGTAAGGCACCCCAAGTGGCAACATCTGGTTCCATCGGCATACTGCCAATGAGTTTCTCGGCTTCTTTTAGCAAGCCTGCACGACCAAGGAGGTCAACCATACATCCGTAGTGTTTAGTATTGGGTTCAATATTATATATTTGGGTCATTGACTCAAAATAGTTACGGCCCTCATCTACTAAGCCCATGTGTCGGCAAGCCCCAAGAACGGCAACAAAGGTTATCTCATTAGGTACTACTTGATTGGCTTTCATCTCCTCAAACATCTTAAGAGATCTTTCCACCTGCCCATTCATTGCTAATCCAAGAATAAGAGCATTCCAAGTGGAAACCCCCTTCTCTTCCATGTCTGTGAAGACCTCAAAAGCATTATCCACACATCCACATTTCATGTACATGTCAATAAGGGTGGTACCCAGGATGGAATTTATGACAAGACCATTCTTCCTAATGAAAGCATGCAGCCATTTTCCTTGATCAAGGGCTGCTAAATGAGTGCAAGCTGAAACAACACTAACCAACGTGGTTTCATCAGGCTTAACATCTTTGGATAGCATCTGTTGAAAAAATTCCAATGTGTCTGAAAATTGACCACATTGGACATACCCAGAGATCATTGCAGTCCACGAAACAACATCCTTCTCAGGCATGTCATCAAATACTTTTCTAGCCTCTACCAATTTGCCACAACTCAAATAGGAAGACACCATGGAGTTCCATGATATCTGGTCCAAACAACAACTGGATTTAAACAGCTTTTCTGCAGCTACCACCTCTCCACACGAAGAGTACATGTGTATCAAGGCATTTTGGAGGTTCACATAAGACTCAAAACCATTTCTTACAATCAGCCCATGTGCCATCTGACCTGTTTGGATGACTAACAGATTTGCACAAGCAGAAAGAAAACTTACCATCACAACTTCATCCAAAGAGCATCCGTTATACAACATCTGCACAAATAATTTCAGCGCCTCTTCATACATTTCATTTTGCTCGTAACAAGAGATCAAAGCTGTCCATGAAATCACATCTTTCTCCCTCATTTCACTGAACAGCTGAAGAGCCTCGTTCACCTTACCACATCTACCTAACAGCACAATCATAGAGTTTGAAGCAATTACGTTCCATCTAGGCAACTGACTATATATGAGCATTGCTTCCTCAACATTTCCCATCTGAACATACCCTGCCAGGATAGAGTTCCAGGAAACAGAGTCTAACACAGGACTTTCATCAAACAACCGCCTTGCAGCCTTCATATTCCCACAGACAGCATACAAGTTAATCAAAGTATTCTGCACATAAACATCATTCTCAAAGCCCTTTTTCATTACATGACCATGAAACTCTCTGCCCTCAAATTCAGCAAACCTCAAAGTACAAGCTTGGACTATTAAAGGATAGGTATAATTATCAACACAGCCACAATTTTCCAACATCAATTTATACAAAATGATTGCATCTCTGGGTTTACTCCTTTTAATATAACCCCTCATCATGGCGTTCCACGTGAATCCATTTGGGTTTTTGATGCAGGTAAATATTTTGTGAGAGTAACCAATATGCACAAATGAAGAGTCGGTGGAAAATCCAATGATTCTGCTTGCTGCATGAGTATCTCGGATGAACCCAGTAGAGATAAACTGGGAAAGAATTTGCTTAAACTGATTTAAGTTGAAGCAAATTGACGAAGGTTTCCCATACAAAACCGTCTTTAATACATCAAGCCTTGACAATGGACCCATTTGTTCTGCAACAGCAGAAAACAACTAGATGCCCCAATCTGCATCTAGTCAGAAGCAATCCTATGATTACAAACATAACTTCACTTAGGCCAACAGGTGAACGACAAAATGGGCCAGTCATAACGGACAAATAGAACAACAGAAAACTACAGCTGCAGACCCTGAGATTTAATTTGCAAGCATAAGTTAAAATGTAAATGAGGCGTGCCTCAAAAAATTACAGCCGTATGCATGTAGAGAACGATTCACAATATTAAGAGGAAAAAAATAGAACACATCGTGAATCCCTTCTGGGAACAGTAGGTAACCCAAAGGGCCCCAATTTCTGTGTCTACAATCCCATTCGACACATATTTCAAGAGTTCTATATTTTTGTTGGTTGAGTTCCCTGACATCGAAGTATCAGAAAAATAAGGAAGGGACTAAGTTTGCTTTGTCGATAAGAAGTGAACTGACTTTGCTTAAAGTCACAGTTTCTTCCTTTCACCCATTTCATAATTCAGTCACAGAAAATAATATTTCAGAACAAAAGTTTCCTCGCATGATCAAGAACAACAACAAACTCAACACGCAGAAGAAACAAGATTAAAATGTGGATAAGCACAAATTGTCCACAGTTGACATGTGCATCTAATAGACATGAACAGGGCATGGTGGAGCAGTACAGATTGGTGCAAAAACATTATAATTCAAAACTTCGACATAGCTTGATTACAACCTATCAAAAAGGTTTCCATTTGGTATCACGTATTCACGTTGACATTTGTACACCAATCATCAGCACTGGAAGTAGGATAGTACTAATCAAATCCAGGTTTCATCGACAATCTAATTTTCAAACAGATAACTAGGTTACAAGTTCACTTCAAATGCACACATCCCATCAGGGGGAAAAAGAAGCTATTATCCCAGTTATGTTCTTGCAACTTTCACAGTCGGGAGTTCTTCGGATAAGCAAATTTCATCAGGCAAAACTACTTAGAGTCGGACATAACAGAATCGAGAAGCATATCCAAACCAACACTTGTGAGAAGATGAAAAGTTTTAACTTCATGAACATTCAACAGTAAGGATCAGTAAGCCAGGCGTATCATAGAATTGCTCTATAATTTCAGAAGAATTTTTATGAAAATGAAACGAAGATGGGACGAAATAATTTGAAAGCGGAAAGTGCGAGTTTCAGCAAAAAAAACATTACTCACCTGAACTCAATTTCAGAATCTCCAACGAACGGAAGGGGACGGTGGCGCCGCGGTGGGAGACTGGAAAAGGTGCCGGAAAGCCGCTGTAAAGTTACCCAGAGTACAATGAACCCAAAAACTTCAAAGAATGGGCCAAATAATATTATAGTAAGCCCAAAATCTGGAGAGGGAAGCCCAAGAGGAAAAGCCCTGTGAGCCGGCATATGAACAGTCGCGTGACAAAAAGGCCAAATCCCTTTCACAAATGGGCGCATCATTAATTACAGTCCCAAAATCCACAAAACTCAAATCCAACCCCCGCCTCTCTCTGTCTCTCTCTCTCTCTCTCTCTCACGCAAATATTTACTCCTCGTTTGCATCTCATTCGCTTTCTCTCTCTTATAAGTTATATACATCATCAGTTTTCTTTTTCTTTTTATTTTTCTCTTCAATTCTCCAGTCCATTTTCAAATTCTTTTCACTGTTCTTTCGGTGTTTGTTTGATATGTAATTTTTTTTTCGAGTAATTGAATTTTGGACATGAGGCTGATTTCTCGGAAGCGTTAGGATTCGGAAATGCAGTTTTGCTAAATTTGGTTCTCGAGTGTTGTTGGAGTTGGACTTCAGATTCAAGTTTTTGTTTTTGGTTTTTAAGATCTCTGCTGATGGTAATTGTTCTCCTCGATCACGCACTCACACACTGAATGATACGCTTTGCCGTTTTTTTTTTAATTTTTTTTTTGTGTGTGTTGGTGAAGTCTTAATTGGTGTTGTTTTGATTAATGCGGCGCTAATGCGCTAATGAATTCTGTATTCGGATTGAGGATATCTGGATATGTGGTTGCGTTGCGGCAGTTCATTGCTGAGAATGCACGGATTGGGATTTGGATTAAATTGGGGGGAATTGATACTGAAGTGAACTGAACTGATTGAATTGTGTGTCATGATGAACTGAAAGTTGAACCAAAAAGGAAATAGGAACGGCAAAATGTTGGAGGAACTGATCAAATCTTTGTTTCCTTAGTTTGGAGCATTTCATTTTTACTGGGGATCTTGAAAACCTCTTGATTCAATCGTTTTGTGTTTATTCATTTCTTTTCTTATTTTACTTGAATTTAGGAAATCTGAGGGCAGAATGTCAGAATTTAATTAATGTGTGTGATCATTATAGAGTTGAATCGAAGTGGATATGCAGTTAGCGTCGTTGAAAACACCATGTTGTTGAACACACAACTTGTGGCAGTGATAGCGTTTCCTATAGATGATTAATGACTTATTTAAGAACGTAAAGGAGAGCAACATCAGCACCTTTTCCTTCTTTTTTTTTATTATATTTTCATTGATAATGCCAGTGTGTAATGTAAGTGTTGTTGCAAGAAAGTTTGTGTACGCTACTTGTTTCTGAACCGTTATACTTTGGAGTCGGTGGTGGGACCTTGGAGCACGAATAACCATGACCACGTTTTTTTAGTGATGAGTTTTTAGTGTTGAGAAGCTTGATTTGTCGGACACTAGTTTGTCGCATTCTGGGATGATCCTTGTCCTTAAGGAAGTTGTATTGCTGTCAGGCTTTTGTTCACTTACCACGTCTCATTAATTGCTGGATGCAATGCCATTTGGCTCTGTTCTTTGTATGGCTTTGTTCAAAAAAGTAAATTCAGGGTAGAAGCTTTCTTATTTTAATTGAAAAATGGAATTACCAGTAGTTGATTTAAAGATAACAGGAAGCGGTGCATGAGTTAAGTTATTATGTGTGAAATGAATTAAAGGAACTCCCTCTTTTGTTTTTAAAAAAGGGATCTATTATTTCCATTTCAAACCTACATTGTATGAATTTATGGGAATTAAAATGTTTCTTTGTCATAGCGGATAAATTTGGCCACACATATTATGGCATATATTTAGTAGCTTAATTAAATTGTACAATTTCACATTTTGACAAGAACATGCATAGTTTTTGTTAAACTTTTTTTTACAATTTTTGGATGCTGTAAACAATATTAATCATGCCAAGCTTTTATTGTTTCTTCTTGTTGAATCATCTGTTTTTTATGCCGGCTTACTTCCCTTTTAGAGTTCAAAATGTGATTTGTTCTTGACTTAGTTGTGCTCAGGCTGAATGTGAACATGGATCACTCATTGCTCATTATGCAGGTCACACGACCTCCGTCTTTTTTGTCGTAGGAAGTAAAATTTGTTGACGATGAGATCTACATTCTGCCAATGGATTAAAAACTGGCTATGATGGTGATTCATTTTGCTCGCTTATGGAAATGGAAGACAAACAAGACGCAGGGCCTTCAGAACATAGGCCTACTGATACGTGGTGGTCCTCAGATCTTGTTGAGAAGTTTGGATCTGTTTCCTTAGATACCAAAGAAGAAGTTCTGAGGAACAAGAGATCAATAAGTAAGGATGGGTATGATAGCTCATCACATCAGACAGCGTCGCAGATCCTTTGGAGCACCGGAATGTTATCTGACCCTATTCCAAATGGTTTCTTTTCAGTTGTACCTGTAAGCGTTATGACCTTTTATTCCATCCATAAACAAGCACGATGACAGAATTGCATGTGATTTTTTTTTTTTTTTGGTTAACTCATGTGATGTATTATATAATTAGTGTTTTTCTTGTTTGTCATATATGGTTAATTAAGACAAGTACCGTTTTTTGAGTTTTTATCTAATTTCAGAGTGTTAGTAAACAAGGAAGTTCTCTTGATAACAATTACTGGTGTTGACAAGAAAGTAAATCAAAAATATTTTCTCATTTTGTGCACTTTGGTTCTGAGGTGTTGCCTTGTTGCTAGCTTGCCTCACCAGATTTCTTTTCTTCCAATCTTCATTCTTTTGCGATTTCTGCAGTTTAATGTAGTCATTTTTCTCTTGCTTATTTATTTACTGTATTGTGGAAAAGGAAATGTTATTTGACAGTGCATTAGTCTTACAGATAACTTTCATGTGAGAGCTCTTTCTGCAGTTTAATGTAGTCATTTTTCTCTTGCTTATTTATTTACTGCATTGAGGAAAAGGAAATGTTATTAGCCAGTGCATAGCCTTACAGATGACTTTCATGCGAGAGGGTTCTTGATCTTCTTTCTTAGTCCCCTTTTGTCCTACATTATGGGAATTCAAAGTAGTAACCGGATAAAGGTTTTTGTAAGATGTCTGGTTGTGTCAATTGAAACAGAATATATTTCTTGAATTATGTTAAAATAAATTCTTTCCTCTTTAAGTTTTTCTAGTCCCACTTGATTGAAACACTATAAATCAGAGGAAAAAGCTATAAATAATATATTTTGCTGATTTGAAATAATCATCTAAAGAAATTTTTCTTTTGTTATGGCTTTTGTGTTTTGATAGAAGGTGTTCTAGTGTTCTTGCAGTCCTTTCTTGTTTCACTTGAGCAGTTGTTTCTCATATAGGATTTTCATTTGGTTGTGCATTTTCACAGGAGAAAAGACTGAAGGAACTTTTTGATGAGCTTCCTGCTTTGGATGAACTTCAGTCTTTGGAGCTCGAAGGATTGAGACCTGATGTCATAGTAGTGGATGCCGAAAGAGATAAAAAGCTTTCAATGCTGAAACAATTGATTGTAGCCCTTGTTAGAGGTCTTAGTTCGAACCCTGCAGCAATGATAAAGAAGATTGCTGGATTGGTCAGTAAATATTAGTTCCTGCTCTACCCTCTAAACTTGCACATTCTTAATATATTCTGCTTTGTGGTTTGTGTTGTAATTCAATGAATGGTCAATATGGTTGGTACTCAAGCCTCTCATACTTTAAACACACACACGCGCACACTCACGCATAATGGTTTTTGCTAATTTTCAATTGAAAACTTCTTCTTGCGCTGGTTCATATGATTAATTGATTTGTGAGCAGGTTTCTGACTTTTACAAGCGACCAAATTTGGACCTCAGTCCTGGAAAAGCTTTTCTAGAGGAAACTTCACATCTATCTGAGAGCAGAGGTGCACAGATGCTTGGACAAATAAAGCATGGTTCATGCCGTCCTCGAGCGATATTATTCAAAGTTCTTGCAGATACAGTTGGTCTGGAGAGTCGTTTAATGGTGGTAAGTTTACATTTAGAATTTTTTGATTGATTTTTGTATTTAATTCATGTGAAATTGTGAACATGAACTCGAAGAGCATATCATTTCCTGCCTTACCATATTTCAGCTGCTACATTATGAACTCTTGTTTGGGTTTCCTTTAAAACAATTGCACATGTGTGAAAATGATAAATATTGGGTACACTATGTTCAAAAATTTATTTCTCGTTTACTGTTGTGGCATCTAGCTATTTCCATGTCACTCAACTGAACCCTGGGTAGCCCTTCGAATCTTTCAGGGATGAATATTGAATATGCTCTCTGAATGTTTGAGAAGGCTGCTTATGAGTATATTTATTGCGTATATTTGTATCTCATTATCAGCTAATTTACTTTGACACATCCCAGCACAGAGAGATTGGGGAAATCTTGTATCTGTTGTTTGTTTTATATTTGCTTTGACTTATTATGAAGTGACTGGAATTTTTTGTCCACTATAGGCTACCGGCCATGTTATTAAACTGTTTGATACACTCATTATTTGAAATTTCTTGCTATTTATGATTTGACTGGTATTTTTCTTCCCTCAACTTTTTTTTGTCAGGGTTTGCCTACTGAAGGAGATGGCGAGTGTTTAGATTCATATAAGCATATGTCTGTTTTAGTTGTTTTGAATTCTGTGGAACTTCTTGTCGATCTTATGCGGTTTCCTGGCCAGCTTATCCCTCTAACAACAAAAGCTATTTATATGACACACATCTCTGCTGCTGGGGAAAGTGATTCTGCAGAAAATGATTCTTGTGATTCTCCGCTAGAGCCAAACAGTCCTCTCTATGGTGTTTCAGAAAGAGTCGATATTGAGAGGTCAGAGAATTTTTCACATCTATGAAGTTGATAATTTGTGAGAGTTGGTGGATATTCATGTTTGATTTTTGTAGAAAACTAGACGGCAAACAATAAAGAAGTCAATAAACTGTTAGTAACTGTATTTCTTGGGTAAATGCTTAATGGATCTAGAAAATGTTTCCATCCTCAATTAAATTCTTTGTTGGCTTTGTGAATTTTTCTTTTGATTATGACTTTTGGCAGTGCTGAGAAGGATGATAACTTCCAGTCCCAGAGGAGATTAGAAGGAACTTCTAGTGCAGCAGGGCCTTCTTTAAGGAATACGATGTTGAGGTCTTCTACTTTTGTTGATAGGAAATTGAGGTATGTTTTAACTCATTAAAACTGCAGTTTCTTGGGTATTGAACATTGAAGAAATTAACTGCTAGATAAAATAGTGAGATCTATTAGTATTAGTATTGCTTATGCTTGGTTATCTATTTTATTGGGCTGATTTTTCTGAATTATTTCACTCCATCAGTTCATATCACAGCGAACCTAATATTGCGGCTACCTTTTGGAGAAGGAGCAGGAGAAGGGTCATTGCTGAACAACGGACCGCTAGTTCAAGGTGTTGTATGCCTCCCCGTTTTATTGCCCAATTTATGTTCAAAAGCAACAAAAGGGGAAATGGAAGAACTAAAAGGACTTGGAAACTACTGAATTTCACATGGCTTATTTAAATTTTAAAGAATGTATGTATGTCAATTGAGCATGATTGGTGATAGATGATCCATAGCTGAACCGACATATTCACATATTGGGATGGAAGCATGTCGCTTTGTTCGTATTGTTGCATTTTAGATGCAGGCACCAGGAACATTAGCTGTTGCTGTACATTTCATTTACAACAACTAGAAGCTAAGATACATTTGGTGATGCTATATATTTTGGTTATCTTGAGAATAGATTTGATTTAGGATTTGCTAAGGAACATTTTTATGTAAACTCTTCCGGGTGATTGTTGTAATGAGGCTGTCTTGTTCTGTTGACTTGCATGTATGGTGATAACTTAATTAGTCTCATCTTGGACATTTTTAGGGGAAATTTTTTAACTTTTTTGTTGCTCTACAGTCTTAAACTTATCATGTTCTATTTTTGCAGTCCAGAGCACCCTTCATCTCGCGCACGGGGACGTTCTATGCTTAGTGGTGATAACAAATCATTTAAAGATTTTTCTGATGACATTTCTGCATCAAGGTGCCCCTGTTAATTTTTCACAGCTACTGTTTACTCTTGTGACATTTGTGCAAAGTGAATGTGCTGAAATGGTTTGCTAGAAATAGTGAGTGATTTTGATGTAAATTAAACTCTTAGAGTGGTTGGACAATGTTAAAGGGATATGCTACCCGAAAATAATGGTGAAAACAGAACTGCAGATCTTCTGACTTTAAAATGAAATTGTTGCTTTTTGTAGATTTTTTCATTTTGCATGTAGTTTATAATTTTTTTTTTTTGGTGATTTTCCCTCCTTCTCCAACTGGCCTGAGACATGATCTGATTTAGCGACAGATCGGAAGGTGCTTCAACTTCAGAGACGCGCAGACTAAGGCGAAGAAGTGTTAGTATAACTCCAGAGATTGGTGATGATATTGTAAGGTTGGTGTTATCTCAATTGTATTCACCATTCTACTCTTGTGATATCTCAATTGGGGGTTGAAGGTCATTGCTCTCTCCCGAGACCCTTCTTATCGATATGCTATCTTCTATGCTTATTTAGATAAATGTTACAATATATTGGATGAAATGTTCTGTACATAATGAACTTCTTTTCTGTGCTTTATACCTATAATTGAAAACAGAAAAGTCTTTTTTTCTGTTTTTCTTTTGTTTCCTGTTATTTATCTCTCACTCATTTGCCATCTTCTTATTGCTGAATTTGAATTTTTTTTTTTTTTTTTTTCCCATTTTAGAGAAGGGTAGACAATTTTTTTGATTGTTTGTTCCTAACAACAATCATCACTTTAAGAAGAGTCTAAAACATAAAATCGTTAACCCAAATTCAAAGGAAACAGGGAAGACCTAGAAAAAACAAATGGAAAAAGAACTTTAACGAACATGATTTATTTGATCTTCAAAATTCAAATGAAACTATGTGTGTTGACAGAGCTATATGGTGACGCATGAACCATTTAGTCGATTGCACTTAGTGGGTCGACTGATATTTGTTTTCATTTGGTTGAGCCTTTGTTGAACTGCTAAATCTAGTCATCCTCGAACAAATTTTTTAGCTAAAGATTTCCTCCGATGAAGCATGGATTATTGTGTAGAGTTCCATATAATAAGATGAGTTCCATATAATAAGATCTCTAGGGCTGAAGATTTTAACTTGATTTTGATGAAGAACTGATAGCACAATGTATTTTTTGTTTTGCGCTGTGTTAATTTGCTTAATTTTCTAATTTAGGCTTTCTTACTTAATTTATTGGTGTTTGATGGATCATGTCAGGGCTGTTCGGGCAATGAATGAAACATTGAAGCAGAATCGTCTCTTAAGAGGACAAGATGAAAATAGGTCTTTTCCCTATGGAGCAGAAGACAGGAGTGCAAGTGATCCTCAAAAAGATGTATGCTTTCTCCTTATTGTTTGATCTTATGATCTCTCTCTTTTTTCTTTTCTTTTTTTTGATTTTTTTTTTTTTGACAATGTCGTAGTTGGCTGATATGTAGACATCCCTTTTTTCTTTTTGGTACATGTTATGGAGTGATTTACTCTATGAAGATAATTGTTTTTTCTCTCCACTACTGTGGTTATCATCTTGTATATGATCCATATCTGCTAAGGCATTACCAGAAATGACATGTAAATTGAGGAAACTTTGCTTTGGATGTGTTTCATTATGTTATGGTTTCCCTATTGGATTTCTAAAATCATTTTATATTACTTAATTCCATTTGATTCAATTTTACTCAGGTACCTGATTTTCACGACCATTCATCTGGTGGAAGGTCTTCTTTTTCCCAAAAGGCCATATCTTTACCTTCTTCTCCTCATGAGTATGCAAGTCAGACTGAGAGAACTGGGACTTCGAACCACAGGTTAAGTGAAGATACAGTATTGACATGGAACAAAGTTTTGGGATCACCTATGTTCCAGAACAAACCTCTTCTACCTTTTGAAGAATGGAACATTGATTACTCTGAGTTAGAAGTTGGCTCTCGTGTTGGTATTGGTAAGAAATTGGTCAAAGAATCCCTGCTTGTTTCCATTTACGCGGTGGTACATAGAAAGTTCAGTTTTTCTGGGGAATTTGTTGTTGGTGGTTGGAAAATGTTGGCTTACAAATGTTTTTGGTCATCATGTATCTGTAACAGCATAAATCCGACTTTAGTTATTATGTGCACTAATTTGAAATTTGAACTCTTTTTAATTGTTCTGATTGACTCCAGCGGCACAATTTAGGAGAAGTCCTGATAAGTGGAAAGTTTTTGTCACTCACACATGTGGTTTTACGTCTGTTTCTTCCACTAACTAAAGCTATTCATATGTAATTTATTTGTACCTCTCTGTTCCTTGTATACAAATATCATGCAAGAGAAGTAGATGCTCTTAAAATCATTTTTTGTGTAAGTTTCTTTGCATATGCTACATATTGTTTGGCATGCTTGATGTCATGGATTAGGGTTGAATATGCTCAAACCGCCACATAAACAGTTACCCACAGCTTTTGAGGGTAAAACTCTTTTTAGTTATCTGTCATGGAACTAGGATGTCTGAGTGAGTTGGTTATATCGAAGAGTTTGTCATCACAAATGATTGAAAGCATAGTAGGATATGAACATGAAAATTTAAATTGAGTTTTTCAGGTGAAGGTCATAGTTAACCTCAATGTTTTGAATTGAGCACCTTTTCGTTATTGTGAGTCATCTATTTCTTTTGCTTCATTTGATGTTATTTTGTGATAGGATTTTTCGGAGAGGTCTTCCGTGGCATTTGGAATGGAACTGATGTTGCCATTAAAGTTTTTCTGGAGCAAGATCTTACTGCTGAAAATATGGAGGACTTTTGCAATGAGATTTCCATCCTAGGGTACTCTTTACTCTGATAGAATCTCTTAAACGCATTTATGGTTCTGTTTTAGTTTGTTCAGCATCCAACCTAACTATGCTTTTTCTTTTTCTTTTTTTGTTTTTGCCAGCCGCCTTCGACACCCAAATGGTTCGTCTCTTGTCCTTCTTTGTAATGTCCTTCTGTATTCTCATTTTGATAAATGTGTGTGCATAGGACATAATTTAGTAAAAGTCCCCCTTTTGCCTGTGGGTTGATTAAAGGAAATTGATGTACCCTATTGTGCACGGTCGTCAAAATCAAACTTGAGAAATGACGTTGTATGAAGAGTAAGTGATTGGTTTATAGGAGTTCATTCTGAGTACTGGTGTACTTTGCAGTTATACTATTTCTTGGTGCGTGCACAAGACCTCCACGACTATCCATGGTTACTGAATACATGGAAATGGGTTCATTATACTATTTGATCCATCTAAGTGGTCAAAAGAAAAAACTCAGCTGGCGAAGAAAATTGAAAATGCTCCGTGATATATGCAGGTATGTTTTTGTCCTTGGGACATATAAAAGCATTTGCTGACCATCATATATGTGCGATTTTCTTTTTCTTTTTTCTTTTTTTTTTTAAAAAATTAAAACGTGTGAGTTTCAACTTTTAACAATCTGCATAATGCCTATTCTTAATGGATTTTTGGTTTGGCCTTTGATTCTGATGGCGTATTGTTTTGAGAATTGTGCTGTAAACTTATAATCCTAATTCATGCACTCAAGTTTTGGCTGATTGGCCAGCTGAAGCTTTGGTAATTTTACTGAAGGAGGTGTGCTTGCCTTGGTGTTGGCAATGGAACTAAATGCTTTGAAAACCATGCTTATTTGTCTTTCTGACCGTAATTCACTTCAAGCATGTCTTGTACTTTGGATGTGTATTATAAATTTGTTAGGCTGCTATAGATAGTTTGTTTTAGACAAGTTTCTGTTGCACTCTTTGTAACTTTTCTTTGTGAGTAAAACTAGGGGTCATTAAATTGTTTTTGCGTTGCCTATTTAAATAGAGCGTATGAGAATTTGTTGTATAACTCATTTTTGGATGCTCTCTTTGTTTGAAGTAAAACACAGTGTTTTAATTTGTGAAGTAACGATTTGTTTCCATTGTCGACATAGAGGGCTGATGTGCATACATCGAATGAAGATTGTCCACCGGGATCTAAAAAGTGCCAATTGCCTAGTCAATAAACACTGGACTGTAAAGATCTGTGATTTTGGGCTTTCAAGGATAATGACAGAATCACCCATGAGGGACTCGTCATCGGCAGGGACCCCAGAATGGATGGCCCCAGAACTTATCCGGAATGAACCCTTTACAGAGAAATGTGATATTTTCAGTCTCGGTGTTATCATGTGGGAGCTGTGCACTTTAGCTAGACCCTGGGAAGGCGTACCACCTGAGAGGGTATGTCACATTGTTTTATTGTCTACTTGTTGACATACTTATGAATGTTCATCCTTCGGTTAGTTACTGCTCTTCATATTTGACTATTGAAGATCTGTAATGAGTCAGATAACTTCCTACGTCTAGAACGGAATCTAGAAGTCAAGTAACAGTGCATCTTCATGAACACTTGTAGGTAGTTTATGCTGTCGGCAATGAAGGATCTAGATTGAACATACCGGAAGGCCCTCTTGGCAGGCTTATAGCAGGTAAGCTTTCTTTTCTTGTATCTTCATGCTTAACGCTATTGGCAATTACCAATCTTGAATGTCTTTCTGGTGGCAGACTGTTGGGCAGAGCCACAGGAACGTCCAAGTTGTGAGGACATTCTTACGCGCTTGGTCGACTGCGAGTACTCACTCTGCTGAGCAGTATCTCTGAATTGTACAGAAACAAATAGTAGAGGTGTTACAATATATTCGGCTCAAATCAAAATGTAATTTTGTTTGACTTCAAATTTTCAGGAGAGAGGGGTTTTTGACCTTTGAATAACTTGTACACTTTTATTTTTATTGATTTTCGCAATCAAAAAGATTTTACAAAAGGAAAAGGAGTCAAGACTATCTCTGTTTCTCCCAAACTGGCAGGAACACCTTATCTGGAGTTATTTATACATTTTCTGTGTCTACCAATCGGCTTTTACACATCAAATGAAATCCGCAAGAAAATTGTAGCACATACTCCGCATCACAAGTGTGTCTATGACCCAGTTGTATAACAGTTGTATACAAACTCTATCAGAGTTACAACAGTATCTGACAATTAAAAAACATGCATCAATCAATAATCTGGCGTCTGTTCAGAGCAGCTTCAAAACGGCTCAAGGAATCTGCCCTCATTTCGGTGCTCATATCATTTTCCGGTGCTGGATAATAATCTTCCCTCAGCTGGAAATCCCTCAGATATGGGATTTTGAGGAAAAAGTTCAGGAAATGCTCATGCGCTGTTCCGTGAATAAATAGCTTCCTGAGAGAAGGGCATTGCTGGAGCAATCCAGCTGCAGGCAGAGACAAACTCCTCTGGTTGACATCCCTGTCTTGAGGTGGCCAGTAATCAAGCTCACTAAGATTCAATCCTCCAATTCCCAACAAGTAGAATCGTTCCCACTGGCTCAAGTCCATCTGCCCAGAAGGCGCTGTGTGCGCATAACCTATGGTATCACCACAATCCAAATGCATTTTTGCTAAGCGAGGAAACTGCATCAGAGTGCTCAAACCAAATGGAGACTGTGCGTGCTTTGACCATTCCCGGCAATCTCCTTCAACCTTGATATGGATCTCCTCTAAATTAGGGCAATCCTCGAGCCCGGCGTCTACCAATGGATTCAGGAGCTCTCCCACACTAATCCAGAGTGAAAGACATTGAAGCTTCTTCCATGAGTTATTATGAAAACCATTGGAACTGCTATTCAAATCAATATCAAAACAATTCGAATCATCAGAATATCTGCATCTCTTCCGCTTGTTGCACATCCCATTGTCATCAGTGTCTTCAAAGTTGTTCATTGATGCATCTGATGGACTTGATGATTCATCACCCTGATCCAATTTGTTAAGGTCAAAATCAAGGTTAACCCCATCAAGATCCTCCATTTCATCTACGGTTCTCCAAACGCAATCAATGTGAAGCTTCTGGATTTTATCCTTCACTGGCTCCAATGCCTTCAGTGACATAGATGCATTCAGATTCTTACAACAAGATATCTTGACATCCACCAGAGTTCGCTTAAGCAAACTAGCCAAAGTTCGCATTCCTTTCATAGTAATCCTCTTACAACCTTGTACTTCAAACCTTTTCAACTTCCAACACCCCCTTCCGATAGCAATCAAACCCATATCATCCAAGTCTCCGACATTCCTGATGGACAACGATTCAAGCTTTTCACAAAGTGCAACTCCATCCAATTTCGATTCTACGGGCACAGAAATCCCATGAAACTGCCCCAATTTGAGTGACCTCAACTTGGTGCATTTCACTTTGAGTATCTCTAAAGCAGGACCACTATCTCTAACGTTATTGCTAACATCCAACACAAGCTCTTCAATCAACGAAAGACCAGAAAAGAACTCAATCAAACCCCCAACACTAATCTTTGAATCCTCGGCGGTGAAACCATCAAACTCTGGGTCTGCCCTAGAATTCGCTAAAGCCGTAGTATCAGCTAAATGAAGCACAGACAACCTAGGACAATTAACAGGGATAGAAGCTAAACATTCATCCCCAACAAACCCGATGTACCTAGGATCAAACATACAAGCCACCCGAAATTCCCCCAGGTTGGGGCAGGACTTGGTAATAGCCATGATTTCATCAGACTTGAAACCTTCAGAAAATGAAGGGTTCATCAGATTAAGACACGTCAAGATCGTGGGTTCCGTCAGAGCCGCCGGAACATCATCCGTCCAGCAATAAAAATTGGACAAATCAAGCTTTATTAACGACTTATGGTTCTCAAACAGAGCCAGCAATTCCTCCCCAGATCCTAACTGCGGCCGCTGGTGCCACCGGACAAGCTTAATCTCTTTCAAATGCGGCCATTTAGGGGCTAAAAGATGAATACCAGATGGGTCCCTGGCGTAGATAATGAGGGAAGTAACAGAGGGAAAAGCTTGGTAAAGCAGCTGGGCGATAAGGGTTGCGGAATCGAAGGATGAGAAAATGGGGTGACCCCAAGGAGAGAGGAGGGACAGATCGAGATGGGTAATTGATTCGAAACAACTAGGAAGAAGAAAAAGGTCGCGAATATTACCGCGGAGAGTGATGGAAGTCCGAGTGAAACGCTCCAGGCAGCGCCATTTCTGGCAGACTAAGGCCGCCGCGTTCCGGGTGCGGACGTCGGAAATGGCCGCGATTATGTTGGAAAGGATCACGTCCGGCAGGTCGTTGAGAGTGGTTTCGGATAACCATCCAGCCATTTTTCGGGATTTTGGTGGTGTGGGGGATTGGATTGATTGATTGAGAAACTCAATTGGGGAAGATGATGATGATGATGATGATGATGATGTTGCCTTTGATGTGGATGAATGAAGGTGGAAAATTTTTATGCTTACTAGGCCTTTTGGTTTATGTCTTTACTACATTTGTTCTTCTTCTTTTCTTTTCTTTATTGTGGAAAATGTTGGCTATTAGTCACTGAATCAAAAGAAAAAAATGATTTTTTTTTTTTTTAACCATTTGTTTTCTTGGGGGCTTTTTTGGCAGATAGGGGGTGAGAGATGGGTGCGGTAAGGGGGGTGGGTGTGGAAGAGTGAGTGCCTTAAATATATGTATTTCGTTTAATTACACTTATATTATTTATTATATATATAATACGTAATAAGATTTTCTCGTCAACATATATTTACAATATCAGATATTTTAATCACAAAATGTAATTGCTAGAATAATAATAAGAAATATTTATTAAAGAGAAATTGAATTCAGCATTTCTTATTCAGTTACATTGGTTGATGATTACCGCGACAAGTTCAAGCGAATTCGAACGAGTGAGTAGTGGTAAGAGGGGAAGTAGGGGGCATATTTGCACATTTTAGGGTTGGGGGAATTTTGTCTAGACACTAGACAGTGAGGTGGTGACCCATGTGGCCTTGTGCCATGTCAATTAAAAAAAACCTATGCACTTCGGTGAAGGATGAAGACGTTAGTTTTTTTGTCCTTCCCTTCATCTTCTTGTGCCAAAACCATTGTTAAGGGTGATGAAGCAGTTGCATCATCAATCACACCAAGGCCATGTTGTGTTCTTCAGAGGAGAACAGATTTATTAATGAAATATTGTAGGTTGGTGAGAATAATTAATACCCTTATTTGGGATTCCTTCAGGTTCAGAATAAAACTAACAAGTTGAAATCATAATAGTTTGTTGGATACTTTCTAACGTTCGAGATGACATGTATTCTGTCTTCTTCTTCTTCTTTCTTTTTTTTTTTTTAATAATAAAAAATACGTGTATATTGTATATTATCATCAAAGGTTTCGACTACTGATTTTGTATTGCTCAAAATGTTCAAGAAGAAACATATATTAGCTAATTAATTTGCTTTCTCATTCAAATGGTTACACATTTATTTCATTACTAACGGTCTATTCTTCTTCTTTGATCGGATTAAGAGTGGAAAACAAATAAAGTTTGTTGTGAATCAAATCATAACTAGAAAATGATGTAATCGATAATTTTTCACTAACCAAATGTTCAACTTTAATCTATCTTGGATTACCATCCCTCCTTTTCTTTTTGTATCAACGGAAAATTTCTTTTTGTATCAACGGTAAAAGAAAAGAAAAAATATATTTCATGTGGTGGGATGAGATGGGAAGGTCAAAAAGGAGGTTCATAAACTTTTGTCTCTTTGGAAGTTTCGTGAGTGCTTTTGCAATGGATTGATGATATTCACTGTATGAAAGATAAGGTGCCGTGGTTGTCAAGCTGGATAATTTGAACGGAAAAAAAAAAACATATTACTGGTATTAATAAACTAAATAGCAAATTAGGCTTATGAACCCTTTAAATATTGTGAAATTGATATTTGTGTGTGTCTGCTGAATTTAAAGTGACTAAAACCAAAAACTTTTCAGCATGGTATCGGAAAGTAGTTACTTTTGGTCACTTTAAATCCTGGAGACACACACAAGTATCAATTTCACAATATTTACCATGTTCGACAGTTTCATTATTTATGTTGTTAATTACTCGATGATAATAAAAATTTACGTGATGTGCGAAATGCGTGTGATGCTTACGATATTTGATCGAACCAACCAATAGCTAGGGTTCTTAGGCATGGAGATCATGTGATGTGTAAGTGGCACTCTTTGCTTATTGGTCTTGTTGTATTTATTTTATAGCACTCATTTTCTGGTTCTACTGGCATTTTATTACGCACCGACGATATAACATACGACAGATTCCCAATCTTTTAATACAATTCACCGGGTCTTTTTTGTGCCTATTTGCATGGTCAAATTGTGGATTTGCTGTACCAAAGGATCAGATGTATACTCAAGGAATGAACTTAATTACAACAAGTTGATTACATTTTTATTTGAAATAATGATAGGTACAAAGAAAAATAACAAAAAATAATGTGTCAAGATCTTAATTATGTCCTAACCATAAATATATGAACCCTGTTTAGAAAGTTTTAACAATGGATGAATGAGATCATTTCTTTGTAATTTTTCCTTATCATCTTTTTCTTGTACCAATCATTATTCTTTTATTTGTGCTTCTATATTGTCGATTAATGGATCACCACTTACATTATTCTTACCTCTAATTGTTTTTTTCCCATATACTATGTACATACGATGTTCACCATATAATAATTAATTAATCCATTTATATTCAGAGCGAATTTTAAAACTCTCGATCTATAATTATTAAGGATAAAAGAGTTTCTTTCACTTTAACTCATTTTTTTTTTTATTCTTACTAGCAAATATGCCGATGCATGCATTTTAAATTCCACGGTTAATATTTTGTTTGATCACCAACGTAAGATCTCCAAGATTTGTTCATGATATTGTAAAAAACCCATGCGTAATCATAAGCGCATGAACTTTTCGTGAACCCAATGTGTGTACTTCCCAACACTTACGTGGGATGAAAAATGATCTTTCAATGGTCCATTACGTTCATGTTACTAGCTAGGTACTGTTTCCATCATCTCTTCTTCGAATTTCACTTTTGTTCTAAAAAATTCACAAAAATTTAGTATTCTCTTCGATCCCGCAATATAATCATTTGCACCGTATGTAATTTTGATAGAAACTATATCAACTTTTGTTGAACAACGCGTGCGTCGATAATTATTTAGAACAATAATTAAGTAAAGTAAGAGGTATAGAAACTTATGGGGTTCCACCTCAAAACCAATTAGCAATGTGTAATATTTATGGAAGGTTTTTATATTTATAAAACGGAAATAAGCTCACCATCACCGGGATAGTGACGGATTTTGCCGAAAAGTACAAAGATGGAGCAAGCTCCGGTGAAAAATAAGAGAAAAAGGATCATATAATTCTTATCACTTTTCTAATAATGATTCTAGAATAATTGACTTAGATATTTATACTAAAAGATAAAAGCAGCCAAAACAGATTCAACTAAAATATTAACTGATGTACTTCCGCACCAAGCCACCCGAATTTGAATTTTCAAATTTCTGTTCCACCGACTTCAACTTGGGCGGCATCACAACTCCCCATTCCTCCAAACAATTGCTTGTCCTCAAGCATGAAATCAAATCTGGAAGCCTGGAAACTGACCTTTGATGAAATTACAATCCTCCCACGAAGCATCTTCAACATCTAATCCTCTCTATTTAACCAACCATTGGATGACTTGTTGATTTCCCCACCAAATGTACCTCCTTTGCAGCACTTATTCAGGCTCCAATACACATGATTGAGGATCATCCAAGTCAGGTAACATGGTAATGGTAGAAGGAGGTGGTCCATGGTGCTTCTTAAGCAAGGATACATGGAATATAGGATGGACTCTTGAATCCTGGGGAAGCTCAAGCTTGTAAGCAACACTGCCTATCTTTTCCAGGATTTTAAAAGGGCCAAAGTACCTGTATTTCAACTTAAGACAACTCCTGTAAACCAAAATCTGTTGTCTATAAGGTTGCAGTCTGAGATAAACCAATTCTCCCACTTGAAAACTCCTCTAAGTCGTAAGTTGATCAGCATAAACTTTAATTCTCTCCTGTGCTTTCTTCATTCTTTCTTTCAGCTTCTAGTGACTGCCTCTTGCTGTTGATATAAATCAGCTGCTGCGGGAATGACTATATGATAGTAAGCCCCAAGAGGTATTCCCACAGGTGGTGATCCGTACAAAGCCTAATATGGTGTCATCTCAACACTGGAATGATAAGCTGTATTGTACCACCATTCAGCCAAAGCAACTTATTGTGACCAAGTGTTTGGAGCTAAAAGACAAAAACTTCTCAAATAATTTTCTATACACTGATTGACTCTCTGTCTGTCCATCAGAATGTGGATGATAAGTTGTACTCATGTTCAACTTAACTCCCATAGCTTTGAACAAAGCTTGCCAGAAATGACTAGTAAAGATTTTATCTCTATCAGTGACAATAGAATCTGGCAGACCATGAAGTCTGTATACCTCTTTTAAGAACTTCTCAGCAACCTCTTTGGCAGTGAAGGGATGTTTTAGAGGTATAAAATGGTCATACTTAGTCAATCTATCCACCACCACCATCAAACAATCAAACCCTTCAGTTGAAACAGACAATGTTTCAATGAAATCCATGAAAATACCCAGCCAAGCTTTCTGAGGAATAGGAAGTGGTTGTAACAACCCAGGATAGTGAACGTGCTCCACTTTGCTAGCTTGACAAACAACATATTGCCCCACATACTCCTCCACCTCTTGATTCATATTCTTCCAGGTAAATAAACTTTTCAATCTTTGATATGTAGCCTTTTGCCCAGAGTGGCCACCCAGAGAGGAAGAATGAAAAGATTCTAGTAATGGTTTCCTGATACCACCTTGATTTCCCACCACAATCTTTCCTTGAAGCTTCAACAATCCTCCTACATACATCAGTTGGGGATTATTGACACTGTCCAAGGTAGCACCAAGAATCATCTCCTGACATTCATAATCTCCTTCATAACTACTAGCCAACTGTTATTGCCAAACTAGTTGAACTTTGGTAAGAGCACACACATGATCATCAGAATTGTCCACATTCCTTGATAGGGCATCAGCAGCTACATTCGCTTTCCCTTTTTTTGTATTGAATTTCATCATCCATTCCCAACAATTTGACCAACCATTTCTGTTGCTAAGGAGTAGTGATCTTCTGTTCCAGCAGATATTTGAGAGCTTGATGATCAGTTTTGATGATGAAATGATTTCCCTGCAAATAGTGCTTCCACTTAGTTATGGCCATAACCAAGGCTAACAATTCCTTCTCATATGTGGACAAGGCTTTGTTCTTCTCACAGAAAGCTTTACTCAGATAAGCAATTGGTTGGCCTTTTTGCATCAAAACTGCTCCCATACCATCTGCACATGCATCTGTTTCCACAACAAAATCTTGTGTGAAATCAAGTAGTTTTAAAACAGGTGCAATAGTAAGAACTTGCTTGAGCTGCTGAAAAGCCACCTCAGCCTTTCCATCCCACTTAAAATCTCCCTTTTTAAGTAACACTGTAAGATGCTTGCTTATCAAACCA